ACTTGTTTCCAGTATATCCACCACAAAGTTTAAGAGAAAGATGATAATGCTCTTTCATTACCACCTGTTTTGAATATTTGTGATAATGTTTGGTCTTTTTTTGGTGATAATAGTTGGTCTTTATTTTCATTTATATATTAAGGTTGATCATTTAAGAGAAAAAATTGACAATGATTTCTCCCGGAGATGTATAGTTTAATGAGCACTCCCTTGATTGGCGCCATATTGTTTTTCGCCGTAAACAGCTGGATGCAAGATAGCACGCGAGAGGACAGAAGTCATACATTTATAGATATATAGAGATGTTTATTGCTGGGAAACAAACTCTTCAGGTATTTGGTCAGCTGTAGAATTTGAACATGATGTTTTTTATTATTGCCAAAGGGTAGGTTTTTCATTATTTGCAATCTAATATGTGTGTGCAGTGAAACATACTGAGATTTGGAAGAGTCCTTTATTTAAAGTACAGGTGTTGTTAGATATCAGCATTTTATGTACATGTTCCCTTGTTAAGATCATCTATCGAGTATATTAGAGAGAAGGTGTATATTTGTAGTGTTTTAAATCAGTTATTTTCAGTGTATGACCTACATTTCAATATGTTTTGGCCACCTGTCACCCCTTTGGTCAAATAGAGTAGGACTTCCATTTCTTGGAATTGAGAGTCAGAGATGCACTGTTTCCAAGAATTTGCGTGTGCCAGCGATGTTTGTTTACGAGTACATTTAAGTCTTTTTGAGTTTAGATTGGAGTTGTAAGAGATGTTATTGAATGTCTTATTATTCATGGTATGATAGATTATTTCTGGCAATGTAGAGTTTAATCTCATTATTTTATTGTTCATGATTCAGAGAAGCATAGTTATGACGTCGCAGATAATACGCACACATAATTCATTATATGAGAGATTTCCAAGCGTCTCTATAAGAGATTAAGTGTAAACATTTATGAATTATAAAAATGTTATTTATCTGAGTTTTATGAGTGTACAAATGACAAAGAGAGAGAGAGAGTAGATAATAGAGGATATATTGCATACTTATGAGAGCTCATTATTGTTTTCAGAACTCCATGATCCATACTTCCTTGTGTTTGGGAACAAATGGTGTTGGGAGACCACCCACAATAGACTTGTTCTTTGACCTGTGAACCACCACCCATTTTGTTTTCTTATCATTTGATGTAAAATGGCTTTTGTTACAATTTATGACTCCTGGTAGCAAAATTGCTACATCAGTTCAACTCCTATTAATTTGAAATAATCATTTCCGAGAATCTCTAAAGAAAACTAAATCTGACAGAATAACAACAATCTTCCATTGTTTTGCAGGACAATGTCAAACAATTTGATGTCAAGAATGAATGTTGATGGGCAAAACGGCAAGTTTTCTTTTAAGAATACAAGGTTGTATTCAATCATCTCTGGTAAGTTACAGCAGTGAAATGAACCTTTCAAGTGATTGATTAAACAAATACTTGAATCATTTAAGACAATATATCTTCCATATAACTTATTCATGTATTTAAATATATAATTTCAGAATGTGTCCTATCTCAAGGGAATGAGATGGGAATGCATCCGAAGCAAATTTCAAGAAAGAGTTAGGAACGTTTCTGAAGTATCCACCTGGCCGCCAGGCAGGGAGTGGCAGAAAGAAGATGAGCTGATAATTGTGTTTTTGGAGTTGTAATTGTGTTGAAAAATCTGAACTGTGGTATTGAAATTGGTGGCGTAAATGTCACTTTGATGCTATATGCAGATGATATTGTGTTATTAGCACAACAGAGATCACCTACAGACTATGTCATGTGTGATGTTTTACATAATGCATTAAACCACGTTTTCTGTGTGCGTGTGTTTTCATAAAGATTTCATGAAAAGTGACTTGTTTTATGTGCTGTCTTCAGGTATAGTTCCTGGTCATCTTGGATCCCTTTCATGGTGAAAGTAATTGCATTGTGTTTATTCAGGTGTCTGTCTAAGAGCTGAAATTCAGACAAAATGTCTTCTTGGGACAATTTTCACCTTTTCAAGGTAACAATACAACAGTAAATAGTTTTTCTTAATTTGGAATACTCTTTTCTTCTTACTGGAATTATACGTCCAACTGACATAAAACTTAAATGAACATTATATTGAATGTGGAATTTTAACCAAGTATTTTATCAGGTAAATATTTTTACTGCAATTTTCTGTTTGAACACTGTTTATTGCAGGTAGCTTTTGGGTATTTTAGCTGGATGCAGGAGTTTGGTGCTACTTTATTGTAGTTTAAAGATGAAATGCGAGTCTATTTACAGGAAAGCGTAATACCTCCCAGACACAACCACGGAACAACCCATTTTCAACGTTAAGAATATGTCAGACTTCAACATTGATTCCACGTCGGATATTTACGTCAAAAAAACTTTCATATACAACCTATTTTCAATCTATTTTCAACGTTGAGGATCAACCTATTCTCAACGTTGATAATCGGTCAAACTTCAACGTTGATTCCACGTCGGATATCTACGTCAAAAAAACTTTCATATACAACCTATTTTCAATCTATTTTCAACGTTGAGGATCAACCTTTTGTCAACGTTGATAATCGGTCAAACTTCAACGTTGATTCCACGTCGGATGTCTACGTCAAAAAAACTTTCATATACAACCTATTTTCAATCTATTTTCAACGTTGAAGATCAACCTATTCTCAACGTTGAAACAACGTTGATGTGCCTGCTGGGTATATGGTTAAAAATATATGTTCAACACATTTCGCGAGTGACTTAGTTAGACTTCGCTTTATCAGGAACATTTCACCAGTTTACACCAATTGATATAAACACAGTGCATGATAAAACTATACATATTTCGAGTCATATTCAAAAGCACATTTGTCACATTTTCCCCACAATATCATTATGCATTTCATAAGTGCACTCATCAGAGTGCTTTACGTAATTACCAATAACTCGGGTATTTATTGATCTTAACATATCTATTAATCGTCGAACTGATCCGACCGGCTCTACATTATAAAGGGGATAGCCTTGTAAATGAAAGCTGTCTGTCGTCACGCCGAAGACAGGGTTCGATTCCCATTTATATAGGTACAATGTGTGAAGTCCATTTCTGATGTCCCCGGATGTTGCTGATATGCTGCAAAAGGCAACAATAACCATACTCACTCATATCAGCAGTTTACTCAAATCTATCATTCTTATGGATAGCATATTTCAGCTTTTATTGCTGATTCATAATTACTCTGCATTAATACCTTTGCTGAACTGACGAGTAAACTATTGTAACATGAATGTTCTGCAGTGTTAAAGGCACACTGTCACACAATTTCGACAATATTTTGGTCTATATGTTATATATAGGGTCATATGCACTCACTTTAGCTTCCTATTGATGCAGTAAAAGACTTATCATCCCCTACGACTAGCCTGAAATCGATAATTGAAACTTATCGATAATTGAAGCTAACAGCTTCCAGACAGACAAGACTTGCCATATATGGAACGTCAACAATTGCTCCGTACCACGAAAGCTGTTGCATGCGGTGTTGGCGGTGTTTGAAGAACTGGTTTCAATCATTAGGTTAGTTTGTCATACAGACCCTGAAGCAAACATGTCCAAGAAATCCCATGCAAGCCTGGATTGTGTGGCCAGTCTAAATTTCCAGTTTCAGGAAATGAAGAAAGTCTCAGGGCTCCTTTCATTGTGAACTGTTTTTTCTTTTGTAACAAATGTTCATTTCAGAGACTAGTTGTTAGTCTATCACAAGCTGTTCGTAGGATATTTGAAATAATCTTGGGCAGATAGAGGGCGCGAAAGTCGATTTAATGCAACGTTGCATTAATTCATTCGAACATTTTAATTTAATACTGTAATCGTTAATTTGAACGTTAATTTGATTAAATCATTTCCTTTGTGTTAGCGTTTTCGCCTAAAGTGAAAGAAAATAGATCACGCCCATTCACGATCTACTGCCTTCTGATTGGCTGATTGGCTGATTTTACGGTGGATGGCACTGTCATTATTAAGCCGAGAGATGTCACAAATTATTGGCTGTCTACAGTGTTATGTGTTAATGATGAACTGCTTTTGACATTGTTGTTGATATATGATATTTCAAGCATTAAAATCACTATGGTTTTAGAAAAGTAGCACGCCGTATTACAAATTTTCGCCTGTATACTGGGCAAAGCAATGCTTGATAGTGTAAGCAGCCGGCAGATCAGAGGGCTCGGTGACAGGCAATCAAATTGGTCAGTGGATCCTGCTCCCCTGTTCCAACCACGATCATTTTAGCCACCTTTTACAAAAGGAAAAGACCCGTGATGATCCGGGATAGATTTGGTCTCCATCAGCCCCTGCTTGTCGTAAGACGCGACTAACTTGATCGGGTGGTAAGGTTCACACATGTCATCGTACCCAAATTACGTAGATCGATGCTCATGATGCTGACCACTGGATTATTTACAGACGGCCGCTATAGAGCTGGAATATTGCTTGGTGCTGCTTTACACAAACAATCAATACAAAAATACATCTGTGTAACAAGTACACTGACGTATTTGTAAGTTTTCAAAGTGTATAGCATGTGGAGCACACTCAGGATGAAGGTCGGTCGGTGATGTTGGTGTCGGTACCAATGTGGTATTTACTTACCAACAGACGGATTAGTGTTGAAATGTACGTTTTGCTTTGACAAACTCGTGTCAAAAATTAATAGTAGCATCGAATAATTACCCCGGACGTTTCCTGATTGTTTTTATTATATTCTAATGTTTGACAATCGACTATGTACATAGCAAGCAGGATAAGTGGTAATGATTTCACGAAATTCATTCACATGCACGCACGCGCAGAACCGCATACGGCTTTGATGTTTCCGACATATGTGACTTGTAATTTCCGGGCTGTACCGATCGGGGGCGGAAACACCCGATGGAAGATCAGAGAGTGGGTATAAAAGTCGTATATGAGGGGCGGTGGGAACAACGTCGGCGACCACCATGAGGACCGCGGTGCTGTTTGTTCTTGCCTTGGCGCTGGGCCTGGCAGCCGGAGCTGGTGAGTCTATACTAAAATGTCTTAAAATCTTGGTGTACCAAGTAACACTACCAGTGGTATCTCTTATCCTGATGCTAATTTTGTCAGTTTAATGGCACAACATATCTTTGAACCCGGTGAAACCAAGTTGATCAGTATCGAAATTTACTTCTGAACAGAGGCCGTGGGGTGATTGGGGTAGACGGAAAATGGTACATCAGAAGAAAGAAAAGCAAGATTTATGGATGTCAACTTCTTTATTGTGAATAACACGACGTTTCGGTGTGTATGCATGCTTGCTTCTTCATCAGGTGAGTAATCATACGCCTCCGAAACGTCGTGTTATTCAAAATAAAGAAGTTGACATCCATAAGTCTTGCTTTTCTTATGCATTCCACTTCTAAATGCCCTTCAAAGATTGATCAGAAGAAAAGACAGTCTTACAGAAATAGAAATTTGTCCCAAGAGGATGTTTAAAATCTCTACCACTATTACAGAAGGTTGAGTTGTCTCCCCGTAATGCTATCCTTGACCAATATGTCGTCCCAGTGCTTACTGAATAAAATGATGAAAGATTGGGTGATATACACGTGTGATTAAACACTATGTTGATACCAGTGAAACAGAAGTATTTCAAGACAAGAATAAATTATCTTCTCTCTGTGGGTTAGAATTTGCCCTTTAAATCTGTGCTGGTAGTAAGACAGAGTTGAGGGACTGCATACCAAGACCTCGAGGACGTGGGCCGTTGCTCACTATTCATTGGGCAATTTGGACCGGTCCTCATTATTAAGAGACTGCAGTCAAAGGGATATTGTTGAGCATTAAACAACAAACAGCTGGGGTTGTATTTTGTGCAGCACGGTGCCATTCATGAATTGTCAATTTGTTTAACCTCCAGCCGTAGGAAGGAACAAGAGGAGGGCTGACGTGGATGCCCGTCTCCGAGCTGTTCTCAAAGGTAACTGATATTGTCCGATCCTATGTCGTTTTTTCCTGTTGTTGTGGGTGAGTGCGTGGTGTGTGCGCGTGCGTGGTGTGCGTGCGTGTGTTCGTGCGTGATGTGTTCGTGGTGTGTTTGTGGGGGTGGGGGTGGGTGAGCGTGTGCGTGTGTCTCGGGTGTTTGTGTGTGTAAAAAATGTCTGTGAGGTTTGTGTATGTGTGGGCTTGCGTGCGTGCGTGTGTGCGTACGTATTGACTGTCGGTTTGTGTGTCAGTATACACCGCACGGCGTGGAAAGCATCTCATTGTATATACCGACGACTCGTTCACAAGTACTGAATAGATGATAAATGTACGTTGACCTTGTCGCCCGTACTGATTCCTACTGATGTTTAGAATACTAGACAAATGTAACAAACGACAACAGCGTCCATAACAGATACTACTAAAAGGCTAATGTGCTGACAGTGTATTCATTCTCCTTTGTTGAAGTGAACAAGGTAGCTCACAACCCATCTGAAGTCGTACGGACAAAGAGAGGTGAGTAGATTAGCAATCTGACTGGAACGCTTCACAACATTCATTCATATTTTCGTCTTCTCAATTATGGATGTTAGGTGTTCCCTAGATGGCATTTCTTTTCAAATAAATTGAATAGGGAACCATTTGAACCACGTCTTACTGCGTCCTCGAAGGTACAGCAACAACATTACCCCAGCTGATATTTCTTGTGAAGCTCTTGCCTGGAAGTACAAGTGGGGGCAACTGGATAGTGCCACGTGTCGATTCCCCACTTGAACTGAAATAGTTAACCGGGACTCGGTCCGAAAAAGAAACAAAGAAATTTTTAATTAATTAACAATTATTGTATTCTAAAATATAAAAAATTCACAAATCAGTAAAAATCACTATGACAGTATAAAATTCAAATGTAATATAATACAAGAGGAGTGATTATAGGTCTACTCCCATTTGTGAGAACTCCCATTTGTGAGACTCCCAGTTGTGAGACAGTGTGAGACAGTGTAGTAGGTAAGTAGCAAAAAAAACACACCTTACTCCCCTATCTGATAGAATGGATTAACCCCAGCTAATTAGGGATTAGCTATTTAACTGAATCTTGTGGAGGTAGCTTAAAAGATAAAGTAATTAACCTACTCAGGTAAATGGCTTTAAAAATAAACACTTTGTGTAGGTAACTTCGTGATCAATATGAAAAGTGTCAAAATCTCCAAATATGGACCCATGTAAAAAAGTGTTTTATAATGACACACAAACATCATAATAACGCAAATCATCAAAATGTGTGAATCAAAAATCATAATGAAATATTTAATGAACTATTTCTTCTGTGTAAATATAATGATAATCTTTTTCAGTATTTCAGTATTTAACTTGTTCTTTATTGAAAACAATAAATGCTCTTTAATGCTCATTAATGAACTATGCCTCCTGCGGGTACTCTTCAGCAACAGGGCTGTTCCCACTTTCATCGTAGGGATGGGGAAGCACCACCTGTGTGCACTGAACCATTAATTAATGTGTCTCACAACTGGGAGTTCTCACAAATGGGAGGACACTGTTTATATATTTTCAGCTATCAACGGCCTAGCGAATCTTGAAGGTAAGACATCCATATTTCCTCACTGTACAAAGTTTGAATAACATTAATACGTTAAAACCTAATGTTAAATTGTCGACATACACACATGCTGGAGATTGAGACAGTGAAACACTTGTACTTCACACACACATCTATATTGGAAAATCGTCAAGAGCGATGAACACCGAATATTGATACCGCTGGAAGAATTGGAGCTGGCCCAGGTTCGATACAACCGCAGAATTATGACTAGATAAAGACTACTCGACAACCGCAGGTTAGACACATCAAATATCAATACAATGGTGTTTGATTTTGTTGAAACTTACTGTTTCTTAACTGGCCGCCTCAAAGAAAGTTGTGTTTGGGCTATCATGTCACGGTCATTCTTCTTCCTTACAGAGAGGAAACCGTCAGAGCAGCTACATCGACGGAAGAGATGTAAGTCATACAGAATTATATACGTGATGTTCACATACCACCTGCACCGTATGTCATTGGTTCTGTAAAGTCCAGACACAACTATATATTAAACACAACAGTACTAACAGAAGCATGATCATTACTTTCTGTCTTATTCGGAAAGGTAGACATCGACTGCTCATTTGAAATGCTGCTATTTTTAGAATTGTTGGGTTTTCTTATTTTTATATGATAAAACCTAGTATAGGGGTCGTAGGCAGATAGGGAAGGTCTTTGTGACGTGTTATATAAGGTTTATCACCCTTTCGTCTCATGATCATGCTTTGATCCGCTGGTCATGAGTTCCGAGTCCCATGGTCTTTTATAATCTCAATATGTGCTACACAGTGTTACCAGCGACACGTCGGCCTGTGGTCCCACAAAAACCAGGCACTATTGGGGTCTAGTTTTACCGGTGACCTTGTTGAATCTATATCTATCAATGACTGATTTAACGGGTTGTACTAGTGTAGTGGACAGAACGTCTGATAGGTGTTTCGGCCGGTAATATCGATACCAGAACACATGGTACTTGTTGTCACTGTGCCTGGCGCCGTCGTGAAACTGGCATAAATTCTGACTTCTGAAGCCCTCACACAACCATATGTTTGTACGTCGCTATATAATAGTCTAGTGGTTAAAGCGTTGGCTCGTCACCCGGGTTCGAATCCCCACATGGGTACAATGAGTGAAGCCCATTTCTGGTGTCCCCCGCCGTGATATTGCTGGAATATTGCTATAAGCGGCGTAAAACCAAACTCAGTCAGTCCGTCATATAATTCCGATCTTTATCGTGACGTTAAACTCCTTTTCATTTACCCTCTAAATTTTAATCCAAACGCTGCCAGGGGGACTCCTGAAGAAGTTAAGCAAGGGTATAAAGAAGGCTGCCCGAAAGGTCGGCGCCGGTGTAAAGCACGTCGCCAGAAAGGTCGGCTCTGTGGCCAAGAGCGCTCATTCCAAAGTCGTCAGTTTCTTCAGAAGCTCCAACAAGATCCACAAGATCGGGTCAGGAGTCAGGAGCGTCGTCAGCGGAGCCAAGTCATTTGTTAGAAAAGTTGGTTCAAAGGTCAAGAGCACTGGACACAACGTCGGGTCTTTAGCGAGGAAGGTAAGAATGAAATGACATGGTAGCCATTCCGCGCCGACCTTCAGCTGTCAGTGTCAGTCTTCCAAGATCGATAAGATTTTGTCGCTCGAAATATGTGTCTGAGGGTTAGAGGGGGAACATTTTGGATGTGTGATTGTCGTCGTATTGCCTGGCAAGTCAAAACATGTATTACACAACAGTCTCATTTCCTGCTGACTTGGTTCCGTCCTATTGGGAAAATTAGTACAATAACCAGTCCAGAATTTGTAGACCAACTCATTCAACTGGATATATAAATATTAATCAGTATCGCAAGAAACGTTTGGCGGTCTGGTGCGGACTTGATATTATATCAATCACATTGTACTTTAGAAGATACACTGAATAAGCGCAAAAAACGCATAAGAGAAGTAACCAGTCAGCCACATGCATTGTGAATCATTTTACGACCTCATCAAACAGGGGCAGTCTGTGACGTCTTAGTTAAGGTCATGCTGCCTTAACCTCGACATAAAATATAGAAATAATTTTTTTTTTCAAAGTATAAAATTAAAATTCGTTTGTAAATACCATTTTCTTATGAAACAAAGAATTGGAATTTCGTGTAACCATAGTTGTTTGAAGTGTTTCTGTTCACTTTCACACGAGAAAATTCGGATCGGCTGAAAAGTAGGTCATTGTCTGAATGGGTTAATGAGAGTCATGTTTCGGTTGTGGGTCCCACAGGTTCAGCTCAACCGTTTTCGGTGAGAAAGATAGTATGAAGTGTTGACATAATATATATTTAGTAGAGGTCAAGAAACAGGGGAAAAGTTACATCAGTTACTTATCAATTCAGCTTATGAGGTACAACCCGTGAAGATCTGGGTTAGAATATTGATCTTCAGTAACCCATGCTTGTCGCAAGAGGCGACTAACAGGATCGGGTGGTCAGGCTCGCTGACTTGGTTGACATATGTCATTGGTTCCCAATTGCGCAGATCGATGCTCGTGCTGTTGATCACTGGGTTATTTGGTCCAGACTCGATTATTTACAGACCGCCGCCATATAGCTGGAATATTGCTGAGTGCGGCGTAAAACTAAACTCACTCACTCACTCATTATGGAGTACAGGTCTAGGGTGCGACCGTTAATTGTTAATAGAATATTTGCTACATGTGTAAACACTGGACATGTTTCACAAACAACACGACACGGCTTTCCTCTCAGCAGTTAGTCTGCATACGCCATTATCGTCCACGTATTGTCAAAACCCGCTCACATTACATGAAGATCGGCGTATTAGTGAGTGAGTTTTGTTTTACGCCGCTTTGTAGCAATATTCCAGCAATATCACGGCGGGGGACACCAGAAATGGGCTTCACACATTGTACCCTTGTGGGGAATCGAACACGGGTTTTTGGCGTGACGAGCGAACGCTTTAACCACTAGGCTACCCCACCTCCCCCTCGGCGTATTGAAGACCATGCAGCCTACAGTAATTGGAATGACAACTGTTGGAATATTGGTAAATGTATGTGTCGTGCACACAGTGCCCTACCTGGACTTTCTTCAGTTCCGCAACCCGTGAAGGTCCGGGTTAGAATTGATCTTCATTTACCAATGCTTGTCGTAAGAGGCGACTAACGGGATCGGGTGGTCAGGCTCGCTGACATGGTTGACCCATGTCATCGGTTCCCAGTTTTGCAGATCGATGCTCATGCTGTTGATCACTGGATTGTCTGGTTCAGACTCGTTATTTACAGACCGCCGCCATTAACTGGAATAATGCTGAGTGCGGCGTAAAACTAAACTCACTCACTCACTCTGTTCTGCAGGTGGTGTCTAAGGTGAAGAGCGCGGGGAGAGGCGTCCACGGTATCGGAAAGAAGATCAAGTCTAAAGCTCACAGTGTCCTGAAAGCCGGCAGTGTCAGGACAGGTATCAAGAAGCTGGTTCACGGAGCCGGATCAGTTGTTAAGAAAGTAGTGTCCACTAAACTAGGCGAGGTCCGGGGAGCAGTCTCCATTGTCCGCAAAGCTCTGTCCAAGACGCACAGTGTGGCTAAAAACGTGGGCGCTGTGGCCGTGAAGGGTGCATCGAAGGTCATCAGTCTCCTGAAACACAGTCACGGGAAATCTCGTAAGAAGTCTCATGGAAAATCTCGTGGGAAATCTCGTAAGAAGTCTCATGGAAAATCTCGTGGGAAATCTCATAAGAAGTCTCGCGGCAAGTCTCCTAAGACAGCAACGATAACTAACGGTGGTGTGGGATTGGTCATCCCAGGTGCTGAGGTTGGAGGAAGTTTGACTGTACCAACAGGTACCGTCGGAGCTGAGGGAAGTCTGGACCTGCCAACAGGCAACATCGGAGCTGAAGGAAGTCTGGACCTTCCTACAGGCAACATAGGAGCTGAGGGAAGTCTGGACGTTCCTACAGGCAACATCGGAGCTGAGGGAAGTCTGGACCTTCCAACAGGCAACATCGGAGCTGAGGGAAGTCTGGACCTGCCAACAGGCAACATCGGAGCTGAGGGAAGTCTGGACCTTCCTACAGGCAACATCGGAGCTGAGGGAAGTCTGGACCTTCCTACAGGCAACATCGGAGCTGAGGGAAGTCTGGACCTTCCTACAGGCAACATAGGAGCTGAGGGAAGTCTGGACCTTCCTACAGGCAACATCGGAGCTGAGGGAAGTCTGGACCTTCCTACAGGCAACATCGGAGCTGAAGGAACTGTTGCTGTGCAAGGTAAAGTGTAAACATGCTGATTTTGTTCCAAAAACTGCCCAACATATACACGTGTGAAGATTGTGACGGTGTGTCATGCAGTGTGCCAGGGGGTGTTAAGGGTCAATAGCAGTTTAAAAGGGAAACCAATACCCATAAGTGAGCAAAACATTTCAACCAATGCTGATGCAGCCATCCACTTCATGAAGTAATGTCACCATGGTACCAAAACCTGGCAACTCTTGTCAAGGATAACGAGGTAAATGGCAGACATAGCTTTTCCAGTCTATTACGCTACGCATTCTTCTGCATTTTTGTGAGAATAGTGTTAGTGTGAACATGTTGCTGCGCTTGTTGTTCCAGAAGTACCCCAAACACCAGAAGTCACAGCAGAGGAAGGTGAGCTTCACACTTCACAAAGTGACTAAGATGTGAGCGTGTGGATGGAAGGAAGGATGGTGTAGTTGGGGTGTGTGGGTTTGTGTTCGCTAGGGCAGCTTATCGAGCGAGTGGGAAAACACTTTTCCATAAGTGCCACTGAGGAGATAGCCATGAATAAGCTTCCTGTATCGATGCATGTGCGGGTATACCACGAGCATCGATTCTATCTGTACAGTAGAATGCCATTGTCCCCCCAAGATTCGAATCCAGGAAATGTAATAATGTTTATGTCTGGTCTTCCTGTACAAGACCCGTACGCCTTTGCCTACAAGGTTCAGGTTGTGTACTGTGTGCAACAACAAAAAATTAGCAAAACTCTGCCAGTCACATTTGCAGATGTGGCCTGAAGATCCGGGTTCGATTCCCACAAGGGTACACTTTGTAAAGCTCAGTGATGATAATTTGGAGATTTAACGTGCACTTTCCGACATGATGCGCATTTCGCGCACGGGCGGTCTGTAAAGCCCAGTGCTATCGTTAAATATAGTGAGAGCGGCTTAAAATATTATTCACTCACTCTCACTTTAGACATTAAATCATTTCGAAACCCAAAACATGGCTAGTAGCCATCTCGTTAAGCCACTGCTAATTCGTCAAATACCAACTGCCACAGATTTCTGCCGATGCAAGGTGAATGGTGACCCCCACTTCCGAACATTCGACGGTCAGATGATCAACTTCATGGGAGAATGCATGTACACGCTGTCCAAGTCGATAGACCAGACTGACCCTTGCGCTTTCAACGTCGAAATTAAGAATGAGGTCAGAGATGGTAAAACAATGGTTTCATGGGCGAGACTGATCGACTTCAGCATCTATGGCCTTACCGTCAGATTAGCTCTCAGGAGGAAGGTTTATGTAAGTGAATCACGACATCTTGGTGTGGTTTGTACTTGGTGACTCATTGATCTTCTGCTACTTGTCTGCGCCCTGATCTGCTTATTGTTTGTTCGATCGTCTGCCTGGCAGCACAATACCTCCTATGTCTCTTACCTTTTTCGAGCATCAAACTAATACCTCATGTTATTACTGTTATCTCATAATAGGGATTGAAGGATAAGTTAGAATTTTACGCCAAAATGGTATTTTACGCATATTTCGTAATCGTACTTAGATTTGTTTTATCAGAAGTATCAAGGAAGGCATATGTCAACTGGTGATAAGGAATTAAGGTGATTTAATTGAAAACATCTTTGTCAAAGGTCTTTCGTGCTGAAACCAATATCATTCAAGGTGTGATCACAAGACTCATAGAAACCTTTTCAAAGAGCTACAGCATTACAAATCAGGATATAAGTGTTCCTGTAAAATCGGATTCCACAGGTTAACGGCCTCCGAAAGTACCCGCCATTCATGGGTGCAAACGGCAAGCTATCAGTCACCATCAACGGCCAGTTTGTTCAAGTCACCACGATGTGCGGGATAGAGGTCGCTTTTGACGGCCTTCATCTTGTGAAGGTAAAGGTCCCGAAGAGATACGCAACGAGCATGACCGGTCTCTGCGGAGACTGTAACGGAGTGGAGGATGACTTCCGGTTGAGTAATGGTACTGACGTCAGCACGCTCGACACCAAGTTCTCCCAGATCGGCAACAGCTACCTGGTGTTCGACAACTCCGACAAGCCCGACAACACGGACAAGTAAGTCAGATTTCGGAAAACTCGGGAAGTGAATAAGGTGGATGATAAACATAGATACCATATACCTGGACGTAGTGTGCGAGATAAATATAATTCATATTGCTCTTGAGGTAAAGTGAAAATTATTGTATGTAACAGCAAAGTGTTATTTGTGACGTTCTTGTAGTTTGGAAATATATAATTAATAAGGTTCCTGTATTATAGCAAGACTCGATTATTCACAGACTGCCTCCATATAGCTGGGATATTGCTGAGTGCGGCGTTAAACAAAACCAACCAAATTGTGGTATCAGCAATATGTAACTGATGCCATTCCTGTATAATAGCAACATGTAATTGTTCTACAGCAAGATACGTTCGTGTCGTGTTGCAAAGTATCGTTGAAAACGTACTTGAAATGTATAGTTCATGAAGTACCTGCTGTAAAGTGTAAGAGGTGGCGCAATCAGGTATACTTGATCTGTGTTGTATATACTGAATTGTCGGCAGATGATGACGTGGTAATGTAGCGAGATGGCGCTGACGCCGTCCTTGCAGTGTAATGATGTGTATCCGATAACGTACCTGCAGTGTAATGATGTGTATCCGATGACGTACCTTCAGTGTAATGATGTGTATCCGATGACGTACCTGCAGTGTAATGATGTGTATCCGATGACGTACCTTCAGTGTAATGATGTGTATCCGATGACGTACCTGCAGTGTAATGATGTGTATCCGATGACGTACCTGCAGTGAAGTGATGTGTATCGGATGACGTACCTTCAGTGTAATGATGTGTATCCGATAACGTACCTTCAGTGTAATGATGTGTATCCGATGACGTACCTGCAGTGTAATGATGTGTATCCGATGACGTACCTTCAGTGTAATGATGTGTATCCGATGACGTACCTTCAGTGTAGTGATGTGTATCCGATGACGTACCTGCAGTGAAGTGATGTGTATCCGATGACGTACCTGCAGTGTAATGATGTGTATCCGATGACGTACCTGCAGTGAAGTGATGTGTATCCGATGACGTACCTTAAGTGTAATGATGTGTATCCGATAACGTACCTGCAGTGTAATGATGTGTATCCGATGACGTACCTGCAGTGTAATGATGTGTATCCGATGACGTACCTTCAGTGTAGTGATGTGTATCCGATGACGTACCTGCAGTGTAATGATGTGTATCCGATGACGTACCTTCAGTGTAGTGATGTGTATCCGATGACGTACCTGCAGTGTAATGATGTGTATCGGATGACGTACCTGCAGTGTAATGATGTGTGTCCGATGACGTACCTTCAGTGTAATGATGTGTATTCGATGAAGTAACTTCAGTGTAATTATGTGTATCCGATGACGTACCTGCAGTAAAGTAATTGTAGTTTGTGTCGTACCTTCAGTGTAGTGATGTATAGTTATACCTGTTCTGTGACTATGTGAAGTTGATGTCGTTTCTGCAATTGTATCATATGTAGTTGTTGACGTACCTGCAGCTGCCGCGTGGTGGAACCGGACATTAACTGCGGTGCTCAGGTCATTAACCAGCTGGACGGCCCGGACAAGTGTGGGATGATCAAGGACAGGAGTGGTCCTTTCGCGGCGTGCATCAACGCCCTCAGCAGGGAAGTCAAGGAATACTACGAGGCCTGTACATTCGACGCCTGTCTACACAAGGACGATGAGGGCGAGATGCAAGGTGCCCTCTGTAAGAGTCTCGAGGCATTCGCTTCCGAGTGTGAGGAGAATGGTTTCAACGTCAAATGGAGATCGGCCAATATATGCCGTAAGTTGTTCACTCATACAATAAAGAAGGGTATAACCCTGCGATGCTGTTTGTACGTATTGTATTTGCTTGGGTATTAGTACAATGGAAATGAGAGCGTTTAACAAAATGTTCAGCTGACACTGCCCTTTCAATGTGGATGATTTTTGTGTTAGAGGAGTTTGGCTATTCACACACACACCCCAGACGTCATATGGCAGGAAATGTCAATATGCTGACCATAGGTTACAATGTAATGGGTAACATCTCACTCAACTACTGGATGTAAATGTGTCACAAGATCAGAGAGAGAAACTCAAATAATACCACTTAAACTGTTTAGACACATTTTCCTTAAAATGTACAAGATAATATATCTAACACCTTCGCTGCTGGCTTAATCAATATATGGCACACTATATCTTGTCAATGGTGCTTTCTCATGTATTTACAAACTGATTAATTCCTGCAGCTATGGACTGCTGGTCCAACAGCTTCTATAATCCGGAAATGAGTGGATGTCGCCCACAATGTGGAGCCTCGCTTTCGCCTACACTATGTGACCTTGACCCAAGGGAAGGTTGTGAATGTTCAGCTGGCTACATACTGAGTGGAGAGGAGTGCGTCAAGCAGGACGACTGTGGCTGTGTCGAATCCGGAGACTACTTCCCTGTACGCCATCTATCAAATCACACGATTTGTTGCAGATAGTTTAAATTTAACTATGTTGTTTATGGACGACATTAGGATGAATTTGGCAATTCATTTTTTACCATACTTAGTTGAATTTCGTGCATTTTGAATATGAACCAGAAAAATACAAATTCCGTTACTTATTGACTTATATTGCGGTATTTGTCCAGTGAAATGTGTTTCGGCGAACAATAGAGCGTGGTTATTTGCTAAACGTTCTGTACGTATAAATATATGAGTGGAAGTGTGTCATTTTACCGATTGTACGAAGCGAGTTCCAGAAGTCTCGGGTATCCATCAGTGGGAATGCATATAAAATGAGAAACGTTTAACTTTAGGTTGATACGTTGGTACATCAGTGAGTTTAGGTTAGACTTGAGATGGTTACTTTCTAAACTAATTAAGTACTTCGTTAAAATACTATCACTTACCCCATATCAGCTGTACCGTATCAATTGTACCATATCACCTATACTTTTCTTCTGTATCGTATCACATGTACCGTACCACCTGCCCTGTATCACTAATACTGTATCATCTGAATCGAATCGTCTCTTTGAAAGAATAGACATTTAATCACACCCTAAATCAGTACGATAACGCTTCCTCTGTCATATTGTCCTGTAGATTGGTACCAAGTTGTCTGCCAACGACTGCAGCACGGTGAGGGAGTGCAAGAAGATCGACGGTGTTCCAGTTTTTGCCGAGGTGGTGGTAGGACAGAAGTGTTCAGCTAACGCCATGTGTGGTCTGTTTGAAGGGGAGAGGAAGTGCGCATGCTTCGATGGCTTCAGCGGCGATGGCGTCACTTCCTGTGTTTCACTGCAGTGTAGGTCACTGACTGTATTATAGTTCCTTTATGTTAATATAGTTATTTATTTACAGACATGGACAGACGAGACGTGTCTTATTGTGCTTAACAGTGCGAAGGCGGGTACTTGTGCCTATCTTGATAGTGTCAACATTGAATGAAAACCGCCTTTGCCAAACAAAACCCTCGGGAGAGGTAAATATGAAACCAACTATCACACGGAATCCAATACTGGTACCTATTATTATTTGGCAAGCACATACATAATCTTTTAATCTGGTTATTTCCGCAGTCCCCGAGGTACCCCCAGAACTGAAGCCGGCAGAGGTTGATCCCCCCAGAGGTTGATGTGGAAGAAGAAATCATCCCTGAAAATGTCGTGGAGCTTGTCCCAGAAGAGCCATCAGAACCGGAAGTGCCAATAGTACCATCAGAGCCAGCAGAGCCAGCAGAACCAGCAGAGCCAGCAGAACCAGCAGAAGTGCCTGCTAAACCAGAACTCGAGGTAGAACAAGAAGTTCCAGTGCAGGAAGTTGAACTGGAGCCTGCAGAGGTGCCCGCAGAACCAGAAATACAAGTGGATCCCGTTGAAGCAGAAACCCCCTGTACAGCAAGTCGAAGAGGCAGCACAAGTAAACCCCGAGCCCATTGAAACCAAGCCAGCCAAACCTATATTTGAGACAGGGAAGAATGTGGCCGATGAGCCGGTTGCTGTCCAGGAGGTAGCTTTGGAGTCCCAAGTGCCAGTTCTTTCGCCTGAGACTCAGGTTGAAGAACAAGCTGTTGAAGAAGTGCCCGTGATAAAGGAGGTGCCAGTTAAAGTTCCACAGCCCCCTCTTGTGGAAGAAAAACCTGTCGTCAAGGAGGTTCCAGTCACTATAGATGGTGTTGTTGAAGAGGTACCTGTTGTACAAGAAGTTCCCGTTGAGGTACCCCAAGATCCTATCGTGGAGGAGGTCCCTGTCGTGGAAGAGGTGGAGAAGGTTGTTGATGTTCCAACCGTCGAGTCTGTAGAGCAGGTCCCCGTTGAGCAATCTGTTCCCCAGGTCCCAGAGGCTCCTGAACCACCAAAACGTATAGAAGTACCAGTGCCAGAAACTGAGGCTCCAGTGGCAGTCGTCTCGGAGGTCCCCGCTCTTCCAGAAGAGACCACGGCCGAGGAGGTCCCAGTAGCTGTGGTCTCAGAGGTCCCTGCTCTTCCAGAAGAGACCACGCCCGAAGAGGTCCCAGTAGCTGTCGTCTCTGAGGTCCCCGCTCTTCCAGAAGAGACCACGCCTGAGGAGGTCCCAGTAGCTGTGGTCTCTGAGGTCCCAGCTCTTCCAGAAGAGACCACGCCCGAGGAGGTCCCAGTAGCAGTCGTCTCTGAGGTCCCCGCTCTTCCAGAAGAGACCACGACCGAGGAGGTCCCAGTAGCTGTGGTCTCTGAGGTCCCCGCTCTTCCAGAAGAGACCACGCCCGAGGAGGTCCCAGTAGCAGTCGTCTCTGAGGTCCCCGCTCTTCCAGAAGAGACCACGCTTGAGGAGGTCCCAGTAGCTGTGGTCTCTGAGGTCCCCGCTCTTCCAGAAGAGACCACGCCCGAGGAGGTCCCAGTAGCAGTCGTCTCTGAGGTCCCCGCTCTTCCAGAAGAGACCACGCTTGAGGAGGTCCCAGTAGCCGTAGTGTCCGAGGTCCCCGCTCTTCCAGAAGAGACCACATCTAAAGAGGCACCAATAGCAGTCGTCTCTGAGGTCCCCGCTCTTCCAGAGGAGACCACGCCCGAGGAGGTCCCAGTATCTGAGCCGGAACCAGTCGAAGTTGGAGGTAGGTTATTCTTATCAGAGTTATGATTATCATCAGAATTGACATGGACATTTGGATGATTAAAACTATACCTTTTCAGTCGATTTTAGCGTATGGCAGAAATATTACACGTAGATACCATTCAAATCATTTCTCTCTGCTTATGCGTGTTGGGAGAAACAACTTAAACATTAAATGCCCTTTCTACGTACGCCACAAGTTGGGAATAAGTGAGTGAGTTTAGTTTTACGCAGCACTCAGCAATATTCCAGCTATATGGCGGAGGTCTATAAATAATCGAGTCTGGACCAGACAATCAAGTGATCAACAACAAGAGCATCGATCTGCGCAATTGGGAACCGATGACATGTGTCAACCAAGGCAGCGAGCCTGACCACCCGATCCCGCTAGTCGCCTCTTACGACAAGCATGGGTTGCTGAAGGTTCATTCTAACCCGGACCTTCACGGGTTAGTTGGGAATGAACACAATGGGATAGTTCTTTCCTGACTTATGTTAAGAGCAATGTTCATTAGTAACCTAGCTTGTAATTGAAATTTTGAAAATTTGTATTTGGGTACTTTTAATAAAAAAAGTAGCAATCGCGTGATCACCAATTTCGATCGCTCTCCAACAACACAACACTCATGTATACATAGGGCAGGGTAGTGAAGGGAGAATATATTCCAGAAATGTAGTGAGAACTTTGCATATCAACCTCTCTAAAATTGACAACTACTTATCGTTTCAAAAACTGGTTAAATTTATTCTTCACTAGCAACAGTGATTTCTAGTGAATAGGTAGTGAAGACAAATAATATTTTAGGCATTCACAGACATTCATAGTTCATGGCAGTCATCATAAAAAATAGCTGGGAAGATATCCCTTAGCGAACACCCTTGCTTATCCTTTCGTTACTTGTGAGTGTTGTGCTTGTCACGTCCGAACCTGTGTTGTCCTCAGCCCCTTGCTCGTGCATGGCCAAGGGAGACCCCCACTACACAACGTTTGACGGCGCACACTTGTCCCTGTCCGAGGACTGCAAATATGTCATGGCCGAGGTCAAGGACGCGCCGGGATGTAACGTGAGAGTTGAGGTGAAGAACGAGAGGAGGCCGAGGTCAAAGTTCCCTGGGCGTGCCTTCACGAGACTGATTGATGTGAAACTGGGGGAAGACAGGATTAGGCTGGGGAACGGGAAGCGTATTCTGGTGAGTAACAGGCACACGTGTTCTGTGGTGAATGTTCTGTTTCCTGTGGTTCATGTCTTGTGATATATATATATATATATATACTATGTTCGCTTTGTATGTTCTGTCTTCTGTGCTGTATATTCCATTTCTCATATTCTATGTTTTTTGCCCAGTGTTCCAAATCAGTGCTAAAGAATCAGGTCAGGAAGTTGAGCCTTCGATATTTTAGAGGGAGGCCTTTTAATCACATTCAATTTGTTCTTACAATTTCTTAATAAAAGCCTTTGTCCTATGAATTTAAAAGGGTAAGTCAGTAGCACTTATTGAAGCACAGACGTCCCCAATACTATCCGATCAGTGATCAGTGGTAATTAATGCCAGTCTTTCTATATATAATACACTTCTCCATTCCTGTACGTCTAGAGAAGTAACATGAAGTACCCATTACACTGAACTACAGACCGTAGCGACGATGGTCGAAAGTAAATTTAAACTAGCATTTATAAATGTAAATATTATGGAGCGTCCCTTTATTCTCTATTATGTAATTAACAAATGCTAAGTCACAGCAGTTGACTTAACTTTAGAACCCGACTATATAATTATAACGTTGTTTCAGGAATAATTAGGCGTCAATGAACATAGCTCAGGCTAGGACACTGACTTATACACGAAGAGTGAGTGAGTGAGTTTAGTTTTACGCAGCACTCAGCATTATTCCAGCAAATGGCGGTGGTATGTAAATAATCGAGTCTGGACCAGATAATCCAGTGATCAACAGCATGAGCATCGATCTGCACAACTGGGAACCGATGACATGTGTCAGCCAAGTCAGCGAGCCTGACTACCCTATCCCGTTAGTCGCCTCTTACGACAAGCATTGGTTACTGGAGATCAATATTCTAACCCGGACCTTCACGGGTATTATACACGAAAACCATCTTGACACACCTGTGTGAGAGAAAGTCAGTACTCACGTGAACACAATACACAACTGAAAGTAGGATCGGGTGGTTAAACTGTGTGACCAAACTGGTTGTATATGGACTGCACCTTGTAAGGTGCACCGTTTATATGGTTCACACACACTTTTACCTCCTCAGCCACCCCAGGTAGTGGCAGCGGCGTCAAACAAATATGTCCACTTCCTACTGATGTTATCCCGTCGCAGCCTTGACAATATGATTATTTATTCCTAATATATTTCCAGGTAAACGGAGCACGTGCTGATGTTGGGCTGAGCCGCGATGGGTTCAACATCACTAAAGACGGTTTCTACAACGTTGTCACTACGTCTTGCAATATCGTCGTGAAGTTTGATGGCGACTACATAGCCAGGGTCATAGTTCCCGCCACTTTGAAAACAAAACTCAGTGGTCTCTGTGGCAACTGTGACGGCAGCGAATCCGACGACCTCACCGTCAACGGTCGAAACATCGACAGCTACAGCAACAGGAAGGAAGGACTCCTCGCTCTCGTCAGTCAGTTCATCGTCAGAGACGACTCGGACAAACCCAGCACAAACCCTGTGTTAGTATCTAACGGAATAGTTGTTGTAAGGCAAACTTACAGTGTCAGTTTAACTGTTGTCAGATTAACCTGGGCGGTGATGTTTATTTGTTGTTTAACGCCGGAATGAGCAATATTCCCAATACATGGCGACGGTCAGTAAATAATCAAGTCTGGACCAGACAATCCAGTTATCAACATCATGAGTATCTATGTACGCAATTGGGATACGATGACAGGCGAGCCTGACCATCCGATCCCGTTAGTCGCCTCTTACAAGCATGGGTAGCTGAAGACCAATTCTTACTTGGATTCTTGGCAATGAAGCAGACCAAAGACGCGCATGGTGAAACCAGCATGCAGTGGTGGCAGGATGACATTGAAACAATTGCATGTTGCGCGCCAGCAACACTTGTGTGTGCCCATGAACAACACACATCTCCCCTCCCATCGAGTCCTCACGTCCATCCTTCAATTCCCATAAACAACACACATCTCTCCTCCCATCGATTCCTCACGTCCATCCTTCAATTCCCATAAACAACACACATCTCTCCTCCCATCGATTCCTCACGTCCATCCTTCAATTCCCATGAACAGCACACATCTCCCCTCCCATCGAGTCCTCACGTCCAATCTTCAATTCCCATGAACAGCACACATCTCTCCACCCATCGAGTCCTCACGTCCATCCTTCAATTCCCATGAACAACACACATCTCCCTTCTCATCGAGTCCTCACGTCCATCCTTCAATTCCCATGAACAACACACATCTCCTTCTCATCGAGTCCTCACGTCCATCCTTCAATTCTATGAACAGAACACACACATCTCCTCCCATCGAGTCCTCACGTCCATCCTTCAATTCCCATGAACAACACACATCTCCCTTCTCATCGAGTCCTCACGTCCATCCTTCAATTCCCATGAACAGCACACATCTCCCTCCCATCGAGTCCTCACGTCCATCCTTCAATTCCCATGAACAGCACACATCTCTCCTCCCATCGAGTCCTCACGTCCATCCTTCAATTCCCATGAACAACACACATCTCCCTTCTCATCGAGTCCTCACGTCCATCCTTCAATTCCCATGAACAACACACATCTCCCCTCCCATCGAGTCCTCACGTCCATCCTTCAATTCCCATGAACAACACACATCTCCCTCCCATCGAGTCCTCACGTCCATCCTTCAATTCCCATGAACAACACACATCTCCCTTCTCATCGAGTCCTCACGTCCATCCTTCAATTCTCATGAACAACACACATCTCCCCTCCCATCGAGTCCTCACGTCCATCCTTCAATTCCCATCAAGATCCGGGTTAGAAGTGGTCGTTCTGAAAGCCGTGCTTGTCCTTAAAAAAACATCTAACGGGATCGGGTGGTCAGGTTCTCTGACTTGGTTGATGCATGTAATGACATCCCAACTGAGTACTTCGATGCTCATTATGTCAACCACTGGATTGTCTGTTCCATACTGTATTATATACGTATAGCTGGAATATCACGGAACACCGAACAAAAAACACGTAGCGCCCTCATAGTCGCTGACATAGCGGCATATTTGTTCTAGAATATTTGATGCATGTGCTTATGTCAATCCTTTGTTTCAGATGCCAGCCAGGAGAAGCTTGAGATGTTACCCTGTTCTACCATCACCAAATATCCCACATTCACAGATACAATATACTAGATACAATAATATACCAGATACAAGTTAGTTGCCTCAATAAATCATTTATGTTGCACGAAGACTGTAGTTTGTTGTAAATAGCAGGACGAATAGCAGTGAGCGTGTTCTGTATTACGTCCCTTTGAATGAATTAAGTAACTTCACCGTGTTTGAGATTACCCATAGTGAGGAAACTCGTAGTGACGCAGGTGAAACCACGAGCAGGGGGATGGGGGTGACAAACAACCGATCATCATCACAGAGAATCAGATATTCCCACCCTGCACAGAATGTTTTCCTTGTGATGATGAGTGAGTGAGTGATTATAGCAATATTCCAGCAATATCACGGCGGGGGACACCAGAAATGGGCTTCACACATTGTACCCATGTGGAGAATCGAACCCGGGTCTTCGGCGTGACGAGCGAACGCTTTAACCACTGGGCTACCCATCCGTCCCGATGGTGATGATGCCGATAGCGGTGAATATGGAATATCATTCACACTTCCATCTCAGCCAGTATGTCCGATAACATTTCATGCTTAAGATTTACATTTGTGAAGGTTTACAGTCGTGGGTGGCGTGGGGATTAAACGTTCTATCTTCAACTCTGGGATCGAATCTAACATGGTTGCGTGTGACGTTGTACATCAACCTCATCTATTGTATAAACAACTCATTCCTATCTACTGTAACAACAACTCCTGTATATATTCTCTCAATTCGTTACTCATGTATCACTTGCTTGACAACGACATTAGAACCTATGTCGAAACGTATAATTGTTATTATTCTTCATCAACTCAACTTTTAAAATGCCCATCAAAGAAGTGTGATGTTGGAGTTTGTTAAAGCGGCCTAAAGTCATACTCATCCAAGTGTATACAGTACGAATAGCTAGTGTGTTCACATATCATCAACTTAATGTTTGTCCAATATAGTAAGATGCCCCTATTCTCGACTTATGTTATTTGATACGTCCGCTTTGTTTATATGCGAAATACTCAGTGTTTGAAAATACATTTTGTATTTCACTAAGCTACCTTTCTCATTAAGGTTAGACAACAATCGACTCAAATCCGTAGCATGTTTTTGCTGAAAATGAAGTAAAACTCTTTAAAAATACATCAAAATACATTCATAGCATAATAATTCTGGTCAAATGTCCTTTTCTATTCGGCATGTTTTATTCTGTTTTCGATTGTGCTCTCAAAACTACCACTGATTTGTCCACGTGCCGGCTGCTGGAGGGGAAGGTGCGATATATCGACTCATTGTTATCAGAAACTGTGTTTGATGGTGTGGCTGTAACACCGACAGTTGTGCTGTGACGTCACTCTCAGCTGCGGCGACTGTGACACGTTGATGGTACATCTGAGCGGGCAGCACCGATGTTCACACAAAATCCAGCAAGGCAAAGATTTATCTAAAATATTGTGGTATATTTATGATCCTCCTAAAAGCCTACAACACAAGACCAGACTGCACATGTGTGGTTTTGTACAGAAACTATGTTCTGTTTGTCTGTTGTTAAACTGTACTCAGGAATATTCCAGCTTTATGAGACCCGTACCACAGACAGTGTGCACCTTAATGTGACGGTGGTTAAAATGACAGGAATAGGAAATAGTTATTACATGGATTTGTATTTGATATACGTTACAGAGTTGTATTTGACCTCACGTTTGCAGTGTTCAGTCAAGGAATGTCTCGACTGGTCAACTTCCAGGTGTATAGTATTTTATTCAAAGCAGCGTAGGTTTCGTTTGTTTCAGCATTTTAGAAATCATATGGGTATACATTATACAGACCAACAGCTCACACATCCTTTACATCTTGTGACAATATATTGACTTTGTACCTCATTAACACGTATGTGGTCACTCCCCCGCGTATCTGAGATCGAAGTCAAGGGTTCTCAAGCTACCCTACTCTACGTAGTCAATGCTCACCAGATGGCGCTGACATGACGTATCCAGTATGGTCACAAGAGGGCGCTAAATATGACACACTATGAAGAAACCAGTATATAAAGCACGAGCCAGGTATGTGCGTTCTCTATTGCTGTCCGTCACCATGACACACATGTGGATTTTGCTCGTGGTTGTCATGGTGCTTCCTCTTGGTTCTCATGGTAACGGTTCCTTATATTCTTCGGATGTGAAATTTAGATCCTTGGATATCATTCCTCTTTGTTTATATCATCTTATAACATCAGTGAAACACTCAACAACGTTTATCATTAACCTAAAGCTTCAGCCAAAGGGATGTTCACCATGATGTGTACCATCATAATATTTTTTACAATGTGACATCATTATCAACAGACGAGTTCAAATATTCATTTTTAATAGCAATTAGTGTATGATGCATTCTTGCTGTGTTGGACCGATACCACTGGTATGGCCTCTAAATTAGATGTTCTTATTAGAAGTTCTGATTAGATGTTTCATTATACAATATTTCGGAAACTGCCAGATGAAATTGTGATGCTTTACATCATTTTCAGGTAACACCGATTGGAAAACACTGGACGCCAAGCTGGTAGAACTGGCTAACAGCCCAGATCCTGAACAGCAACCCTCTAAGATAGATCCATCATTTGTTCAGAGAGCAGGAAATACAATCGGTCCTGATGCAGCTTCTGCTGATACAGGGCTGACACCAGATAAAGACAGGATTAAAAGTCTTCTTGATTCAGGGAATCTGATGGTCCCAGGATCGGAGGATTTTAAGGACGAGCTGCAGCAGCTGGTACAGGAAGGAAAAAAGCGCATGAACCCTCTGCCGAGTGATGGACAAGAAGGACCTCTGTCCACGGACATCAGCGAGGCCAATGGTCCCGGAGAAGTAGTTGCTGTTGGGAAGAAGAGGAACAAGAGGAAGAGGAAGACGACTGTGGCAGCACAAAAAGTTGCTAGACGGAGGAACCGTGAACTGAAACGCCAGGATAAACAGAGACTGAGGGAGCTGAAGAAGAGGACACGGTTAGAGAGAAAAAGAAACAGGCAGGTTGGAATCAAGGGAAAGAGAAGGAGGAAACGACCAGTTCCGGTGTTAACGGATGAACAAGTACAGATTCAACCCGTCATGGTGGAAAGTGCGAGGGACAAAGACATGCGACCAGAACTACACACACAGAGATTTGGTTCTTCAAGAAACATAATACCTCTTGAACAGGGTCCAACTGTAGAGAAACAACCTACGAACAGCAGATTACCATCTCGCGTCGACACCCCAAACACAGATACGTTAAAAGTTGGAACTGACAATAAAGAATCAAGTGAAGAGATTGCAAATCCTAGGGAAGATCCAAACGTAGAAATACAACAGGATCGTGCCAGTATCCCCGTCTTTCAACCATGGAAGGTTCAGAACCAAACTCCCGATGAACTGAATAGTGAGGCGACAAATATTGATTCAAGACAAGAAGATAACATTCCCATTTCAGAGGGAGATCCAAACGTAGAGAGACAACAAGATCGTGCCAGTATCCCCGTCTTTCAGCCGTGGAAGGTTCAGAACCAAACTCCCGATGAACTGAATAGTGAGGCGACAAATATTGATTCAAGACAAGAAGATAACATTCCCATTTCCGAGGGAGATCCAAACGAAGAGAGACAACAAGATCGTGCCAGTATCCCCGTCTTTCAGCCGTGGAAGGTTCAGAACCAAACTCCCGATGAACTGAATAGTGAGGCGACAAATATTGATTCAAGACAAGAAGATAACATTCCCATTTCAGAGGGAGATCCAAACGTAGAGAGACAACAAGATCGTGCCAGTATCCCCGTCTTTCAGCCATGGAAGGTTCAGAACCAAACTCCCGATGAGCTGCTGAATAGTGAGGCGACAAAGATCGATTCAAGACAAGAAGATAACATTCCCATTTCAGAGGGAGATCCAAACGTAGAGAGACAACAAGATCGTGCCAGTATCCCCGTCTTTCAACCATGGAAGGTTCAGAACCAAACTCCCGATGAGCTGAATAGTGAGGCGACAAATATCGATTCAAGACAAGAAGATAACATTCCCATTTCAGAGGGAGATCCAAACGTAGAGAGACAACAAGATCGTGCCAGTATCCCCGTCTTTCAACCATGGAAGGTTCAGAACCAAACTCCCGATGAGCTGCTGAATAGTGAGGCGACAAATATCGATCCAAGACTAGAAGATAACTATCCCATTTCACAGGGAGATCCAAACGTAGAGAGACAACAAGATCGTGCCAGTATCCCCGTCTTTCAACCATGGAGAGTTGAGAACCAGGCACCAGATGAACTGCTGAATAGTGAGGCGACAAATATTGATTCAAGACAAGAAGATAACATTCCCATTTCAGAGGGAGATCCAAACGTAGAGAGACAACAAAACCGTGCCAGTATCCCCGCCTTTCAACCATGGAGAGTTGAGAACCAGGCACCAGATGAGCTGAATAGTGAGGCTAGAAATTACAATACAGGCGAAGAGCAGGAACCTCTAGATGGAGACGCGACGCGATTTAGGAGAGGCCTTAAAATGCAGCAGGCCCGTTTTATTCCCAGACAAAGAATTATGGGTCGGATGAAGAGAGGTATTAACAGGATATACAAAACTGTGAAGTCTCATTTTAATCATCAAGCAGCTGATCGAATCAAGCGAGACAACAGATTCAACAGGAGGTTCAAGCAGTTCAATTTGATGATGGCCCGCAGATAGTGACCCAGGTAAGAAGTCGGAGTGGGATGTCATTGGAAGGGAATTACCTTCATGTGAGAAAGGGGAAGTCTAGGCAAACCGAATTACCAAATGAGTGGCGTTGTGTCTAGTATCTTGTAGAGGACATTTCACGCACACTCGACTTGTTTCATGTCTGAAAGCGTTAACACAATATTGCCACGACCATGTTCGGCTTGTCGAATGCTTCAATGCCTCCATTGTGTGCCTTCCCTGCGTTGCCCTTTGCATCTGTTGGGAGTAGCAGAACACCCAGTCTGAACAAAAATCACCTAGTTTTCTTGAATTACTTTAGGTCACATGCCAGGAAGCGGTGTTACCTTACGTTGCTACAACGAGCTGTTTAAATTGGGAATGCCCCACCAAAGTATGTCTCACCACATCTGAAACAATAATCTACGTCTCACCATATACGCCACAACAATCTACGACTCCGCACAAACGACACAGCAATCCATGTCTCACCACATACACCACAACAACCCATGTCTCACTACATACGCCACACTGATCCATATCTCACCACGTACGCAACAACAATCCATATCTCACCACATACGCCACAACAATCGATGTCTCACCACAAACGCCACAATTCTCCATGTATCACCACATACGCCACACTGATCCATGTCTCACCACATACACCACAACAATCCATGTCTCAACACATACACTACAACAATCCATGTCTCAACACATACACTACAACAATCCATGTCTCACCACATACACTACAACAATCCATGTCTCACCACATACACTACAACAATCCATGTCTCAACACATACGCCACAACACCAAACACACTGTAACAAACCATCTTTACACAAACGATGATTCTCAAATCTTTTTCTTTATATGCAGCATCCCCGACGACACCCTAAACATCGCAGCAGACTTTAAGACCGGCGACAACGTCCCGTTACAAGGATGGTTAGGCCTCAACTTACTATGGTCACGTGATGACGCATGTCTCATTCTAACGAAATACGACGGTACACTGGATCATACAATAAAAGGCTGCAAATATTGCATTTGTGTTCATGTTTTGTATTGAATCGTCTTTAAGCTTTGCGAATGTCAGTGTTGTGAGTGTATGTGTTTATGTGTGTGAGTGACTGTATGTGTCTCACCATCCATGTAGCGTTGTGTTTGTATTTGAGCAGTCTCGGTGTTAGGACGGCATGTCAACGGCGGCAACACTCGCAATGACGTTACGCAATGGCGACACATTGTGCGCAGAAATAATCACTGTTCAATATTACAGACTGTGACATGTGAACGCATTGTGGATCTCACTGTTTTCACAACAAGCATACTTATAATGCCGGTAGGGGACACGTAGAGGACACCCAGCAAAGGAATGAATGTGATTGTACGCCGCTTGAACTATGACACGGCGATGTTCACCTACAGCGAGCGAGTTTGGTTTTACGCCGCTTTTAGCAATATTCCAGCAACATCGCGGCGGGGGACGCCAGATATGGGCTTCACACATTGTACCCATGTGGGGAATCGAACCCGGGTCTTCGGCGTGACGAGCCAACGCTTTACCCACTAGGTTACCCCACCGCCCTGTTCACCTACGACCGCCTCCGTGGTGTAGTGGTTAGAGCGTCCGCCCGGAGAGTGGAAGGTTGCGGGTTCGATCCCCGACCGCGTCATACCAAAAGACGTTAAAATATGGTACTTGTTGGTCCCTGCCTGGCGCTCGGCATTAATGGGTACAAGGACTGGTCGGCTCGGAGTTAGTATAATGTGTCTGAGTGGCGTATTCATGCTTCACTGCGGCATGGTATCTCAGTGGGCTAGCACTATAAAACCAGCTTAAGTCTGGGCTAGTACAAGCAGCCACACATACATACGCATGCACGTCGTCATATGAGCGAAATATTCTCAAGTACGACGTTAAACCCCATATCACCTATTTAACCTACAGTATATTGTCTGCATTGTGACATCGAACTCGGACATAAATGGGGATGAGCTACCACTTGACTACATGGCTTGAGGGTGTCAAAATGAAATCATAGAAATCCGTAGTCAGCAATATTATATGTGTACCTGTAGGTGTATCATGGCGACGTGTAGTCATGGACACCATATTTATATCACAACATGCCCAGTTACCTGTGGTGGTTTAGTCTGTTATGGTAGCAGACCCGGATCTACCTCCACCCCGGGTCAGGCTGACGGCGATGTACTACACTGTACTTCCGGATCTCGCGTCCTGTAACGGGAGACTGTGTTAAGTCGTGTCTAAGTCCGCGGTAGGTGAAGTAAACGTGATATGGGGAAACAAACTCTGTAATTGTCATATCATTTGTCATAAGACATATATCATCAAACAGATGATTCAACGGCGGATATGCTATTGGGAGAGGTTTATCATGAACTGATTTCAGTTAAAGTCAACAGCCTGTGCAGGAATGTTGTGTGTTGTCATGACTGCAGGTAGTAGGCCCCAGGTATAACAGAGTCCTAGCTGGTGTCACCTGCAACACTTACCTTGTTGACGTTCCGTGTCCCCATGGTGTGACACTGCTCCACAACTTGCCATTGTCGCCTATCGAGTGAGTGAGTTTAGTTCTAAGCCGCACTCAACAATATTCCAGCTATATGGCGGCGGTCTGTAATAATTGAGTCGGGATCAGACAAACCAGTGATCAACAGCATGTGCATCGATCTACGCAACTGGGAACCGATGACATGTGTCAACCAGGTCAGCCAGCCTGACCACCCGATCCCGTTAGTCGCCTCTTACGACAAGCATGGGCTACTGAAGACCAGTTCTTACCCGGATCTTCACGGTTCGTCTCCTAACGATAAAACAGTTACCATCTTTATAAAATGTTCGGAACTAACATGTCTTTTCTACATGCCCAGATACATCATTGCGATTCGATCCACGCTACATCAGACTGTAAACACGCTATCGTATCGTACGTGCTTAATACTTCTTATCGGTAATTCTCCGTTTACTGATACTCTTAATGATATTTATGTATTCTCAGAGAACATATAATAGACTATGGTCTCTGGTATGCTATCTGTCACGATTAAAATGAGTTCCATCTCTTTAATATATTCATAGGCCACGACAGCACAGAAGCTGTCACGTAAGTAGCCGTTATTCGATATATATATATATATATATATATATATATTGAATTGGTAGCAGTTTTCCATGGTTTTACTGGATGGAGTTTGCCTCATAACAATATTAAAGAAACCAAAGGTCATATTTGCAATCAGTTCGCTGAAAACTCTGCTGTGTACACTGAAATACAGAAATATCACACAACGCTGCTGACTTTGAATGCTCGTAAACATCTGTCACGTGACTGTATATCATCCGGGAGTGTGGCGATAGGTAAACGCAGAACGAATCTCACACAGCACAGCGCTCCTCGGAACCACGTCCGGGATACCTGGAAAACCCACATGACGTCACACATCCGTGTCCAGGTTCAATAATAGCCGAACCGGACACAGCGCGAACACAGCTTATAATATAAACACCCGGAAACCTGCGTCACTACAAGTCAGTCGCTCACAGTGATACAACGTGACCGAGTCTTACTGTACAGAAGAAAGAAACTGCTTCGTGAATAATCTAGATATTGTCTTTCATTTACCGAGAATTGTTTCAAGTCATACATTGGTATTCACCAGACATGTCCGTTGTCACCGTGTACACAAACCAGCCGCTGGCGAAGGTCCCCCGGGAATTCCAGGGAGCCCTGACAAGTCTGGTCCAGAAGGGTGTAGAGGCGAGCAGAGAGGTGAGACTATCATACGTATATACAGTTGAATATGTCTCCTGTATGTTCCTAATAACTCCTTCATTTGTTTTCCTGTAGCCTTGCTACAAGCCCATGGATGTGTAGTAATTCAATCCTCCAGAGAATAAAGTCTAGATACTGTAACCTTGCTACAAGCCCATGGATGTGTAGTAATTCAATCCTCCAGAGAATAAAGTCTAGATACTGTAGCCTTGCTACAAGCCCATGGATGTGTAGTAATTCAATCCTCCAGAGAATAAAGTCTAGATACTGACCTTACAGCTACAAGTCTGTTATTTATCCTTAAAATCTTTTACAAATTATCATTTAATTTCAGAGAATACCTTAGAGACTTGTGCAAGACTAGTTTTTATGTTACAAATTATTTAGTCTACCTTAGGAATCCACCTAAATCATCGGAATCCACCAATCATTAATATTGAAACAGTTGCAAAACATTAACATTATAGTTACGATACTGTACACTGAGTCTGAATCAAGTTTATGAATGCCAACCATTCATATAGTTTGTCTGTACCACTAGTGGTGCATGCTCAGTGACATGTAGTGTTCTACTTAAGTGCTTTACTAAATATACAGTGGGTAAGCACTTAAACAAGTGTAACATTCCTGTCACATTTCAGAAACATGACAAAACAAAAGAAACTGAGACCAAGAAAATATTTGTTATTTCATTCCTCCAAGATCAGAATTGACCTGTCTAATTTCATATTTAAACATCCGGCAAACGAAAGCTGACACTTGAAAATTGGATTTAATAAAGAAAGTAACGAACACAAGCAATATGTACCGTGCTGAAACCAGTCGTCAAAACACTGTAAAGTTTAGGTCCAAAATTAGCAAACAACAGTGTTGCAGGATCTCAGTTCGGTTGGTGATGGTTTAGCACCTATAAAATATCAGTGTATACTTCCTTTTCTGACTCTTAGGTATATATTAGTTAAGAAAGCTGTGAGAAACACAGGTCACAACACAATAAGCTGTGGAGAGTTGTTTCCCTTAAGTGTGTTAGTATCCGCATATTTGCCCTGATTAGTTTAAGGTTTGTCAGAATCATTTGTGTTTCACCAACGTGATACATTGTCACCTTTGAGTTTCAATATCAGGCTGACATGACCTGATTTAAGTGTAACAATGACTGGCAGCTGTAATCCCCCCTCACTCATCCATACAAGTGGTTCAACATTTTGACTTCATTTCATGATTGACCAGGTTGTCGTGGTGCGGTTGTGTTCGGACGAGAACATGACGATGGGCGGCAACTTCCACCCGTGTGTGTTCGCAACTCTGGAGACATCAGCTAAGCTGTCCCCGGCCAGGTGTGGGGAGGTGCTATCTCAGCTGGAGAACTTCCTCCACACCATGCTCCAGATACCCACAAACAGGTAATGTACACAATGTTGTAATGGTTCACAACTTTAGAAACATCACACACTTAAAACATATCACTAAGGTTGTAATGGTTGGAAAAATGACCCCGTCCAGGCCATTGCAAACAAGCCAAACTTCACTGCGTGTGTAAAGTCAATCCTTGGTCAGTTTCTCAGTGTGTGTGATGTTGGATAGTAACTAAATATCCCTATTTAGTCTCAGTTTGGACATGCAACGTATCACTCACTAGCTGTGCAACAAAGAATTGGTGTTTATATATATATACTATATTGTTCAGTATTTGGTTTGTCCTCCATCATTGTCCTTGATATTGCTTAAAGTGTCGTAAAATGTACAGTGGCAGCGTACTTTGTGGAAATGTTTTCATTTTCATCATCTTTGAACTTTAGAAATTGCTTATTCAATTTATGATCTTATTCTAATCATGGTCATCATGGCTGCTATATAGAAAATTTATATTTTCGCTTTACTCAACAATTTCTCATGAATCCTGAACTATGTGATATACGGCACATGAGTCACTTGTGGGTAGCTAAACAGCCTTAAGGCTCTATTCTGCAGTAGTATGGACAATGGGGATGCGGGATCAGTCTGTTCAGTCTTTAATATCCTCCTCTCTACCACCTTGTGTTACAGAATCCTGATCCGCCTCATCCCTGTAGAGTCACACCTCTCCTCCTTCACCAGCCAACAACAGCATCTCAACATCGTCGGCTCCTGAACATTTACATGGGCCACGTACATTCTGTAAATATGTAAATAAAGTTATTCTACAAAATCACAGTACGACCCTTCCCTCATTTCCACACGACTTGTCTCCTTGCAAAGGATGCCACCAACCATACCAAAATCCATATTGCATAGATCGATGCTCATGATGTTGATCACTGGATTGTCTGATCCAGTGATTACAGACCACCACCATATAGCTGGAATACTGCAGAGTACAGCAGTAAACAACAACAAACAAACAAATCATTTACCTTATTTAAACACATTACATTCCATGCAGTCAGTGGACTCTCACACCAAGTTTGCAACACAGTAAAAGAGACTGCTTTAGTAGTAACTTTCAACCATAAATGGACAAACTAGATGATGGCAAACATGTATTTTATTGAGACACACTGCTCAAATATTACATGACAAATATATACAACCAGGTTATCATATCCAGTGTATAGACAGAATGGATGCACCTCCATTGTCCAAGGTGAAATATCTTCATTCTGTTAGGGAAGGCAAATAGATACATAAATGCTTTTCTGGGTGGGCATATATACCGGTATATAAATGCTTTTCCGTTTAGTTAATTATCTATGACATTTTAATACCACTGATAACAGTCATTAAATATAGTTATGATGTCGATCGAGATGCTTTGCTTCTTACAAGTATTTGATAAATGCAGATGAAGAAAGATCAAGACCACTTGCTTCTTTATGAGTTTAAAGGATAAGATTACTTTTTTTTTCAGCCCATACAGTGGCAAGTGAGATAAGAAATCTTTTATCATTTAACACTTGAATGAAAAAATATGGTAAACAGACAAAAATATGGACAGCCTTATAAACACCCTTGACCTGATCACCATCTCTATTTCATTTAGAAGTGTGTGGAAGGGATTTTATTGGAGACAGCAAGCGATTCTAGAACACAGATACAAGACAACATCTCATGCTGATAACATACTACAGAATTGACACAATTGCGCAGATCGATGCGTATGCTGTTGATCACTGGACTGTCTGGTCCAGACTCGATTATTTACAGACCGCCGCCATATAGCTGGAATATTGCTGAGAGCGGCATTAAACAACAACCAACCAACAGAACTGACACTATTTCTTGCACATTTCATTCTTTCATTGACAAAATCCCTAATCCATATGACTGCCAATCAATACCAAACATTGACACAACATGCCTTCAGTGAACACTTCCAATGAGACATTTCATACACTTCTTGCTCAGGGTCAAGACATTACATTCGTTATGGAAAATGGTAACTGCTTAAAAGTCCTATTAAATAGCAACAGTCCTAAAAAGGCCTCTACAGGACACCAAGTCAATAGTGCTTTATGAATTATTCATCATGGCCACATTGTGATTACTGATCAGTTTGTTTAGAGTGGTGTTAACCTACTATAGTCTGTTTGATTTCATTTTAGACCTATGAATTGATCACTAACACAAAATCTAATAATTGCAACAAAACCAAATTTTGCACAGTCCCAGGAAATTGACAGACCAACTCTGATGATTTGTCTCATAATTTTGGACGCCCAAATAAAAATGTTGTTTAACAAACAATCATTAGTTTGTTGTCACTTTTCGCTATTTCTTACGAGGGGGATCACTTGCTGGTAGAACAGCCAGGTAATCAACAAGCGTGTGTAGTGAAATTTCAATTTCACACGTGCAACTCGCACATCTAGCTGAAAAGCACTTATTGAACAATGGCAAGCCAGTGTATCATATTTACAGGACGCCTATTGTCAGTTGTAAACTTCTCTACTTTTATATGTTGGCCAACATGACCCAATAAGAATACAATCAACAGAATAAAATATTACAGACACAAAAATCATCATTCCCCAAGAACCTTGATCTGGAAACTTTAATATATTTTCGAAATCACTTACTTAACATACTTTAACAACATCACCAAAGTATGGATGAAATAACTGGCCCACTTGCCCAGAGCAGTTTCTGGTTGTCACTGGCCTAGGGACCAGCAGACTCATCCATGTACAAATGAGGATATAACAGTAAAGACATTTCATCCTGAACAAACCTGGTGTAACAACAAGCAACAACAATACATTAACAAGTGTGAGTGAGTGAGTGAGTTAACCAGGTATTTCAGCCATGTCATTACAAGTCAGCATCAGGTGAGACAATCCAAAGTGATGCGGGTCTGATGTTGGTGAAGCAAACAAAGCTAGAAACAGAACTGGAGCAAACTGGGAGTTGACGCCACAATCAATACGTGTAAGACTGAAATCAGGTCATGCAGCTATACACTTGGACTGAACCAGGAGTGAGTGAACATTTTATCACAGCAAGGCAGCAGCAGCAGCAACACAAGAAGTAAAGCAGAATCATTAACATCAGGTTGTTCTCATGGTGAGGCATTCCGTGTCAGAACACTTGACTCATGAAAATCTGGATAGAACTGGTCTGCAGTAACCCATGCTTGTCTTAAGAGGCGACTAATGGGATAGGTTGGTCAGGCTCGCTAACTTGGTTGGCATATTTCATCAAATTCCAACTGCGTAGAAAAATGCTCATGATATTGATCATTGGATTGTCTGTTCCTGACTCCATTATTTACAGACTACCGCCATACAGCTGGAATATTGCTGAGTGTGGCGTTAAACAACAAAAAAACTCCATGCTTGTCTTTCAGGGAATAAAGTTAGACAGCAAAAAGGCAGTGCTGGCAGACTTGATACAAGTCATATAAAACCACAATTCCAGCAGTTCCTGTTTCTATTACAGAGATAGTGTCTCATTTTCTCAGCACCATTGTGCAAAACAAGTGCTCAGTTGGTAGCACATGAGCAGTTTTCCTTCCAATATAGTGAGCTACTGTTGTTCTGATGTTAGCTACTGTTGTTCTGATGTTAGCTACTGATGTTCTGATGTCAAATATCTCATTTTGAAACAGGAAAGGAATTTCCAGCCCAAACAGTCAATCAACTTAAACATCTGATTGGTAGGCCACTGTTGTATCTTAACATTAGATAGGCGGATCCAGGAATTTTCAAAGGAGGGCGTGGGGAGAGTGGGGGGGTGTGTGTGTTAGTGGTTTGTGTTTGACCCCCCCTGCAATGCAAAACGTTAACTTCAAAACGTAGTCTTTAGTCATTTCCAAAAGGGAGGTGGGTGTCGTACCCCCTACCCCCACTGGATCCGCCAATGTGTGAGATTACATACAAAGTCCATACCTATGGGAACTATGCACTGTTTTCACACATCCTTCTTGTGATGTAACCACACGTGTTACACACATCTATGTAGAACACACACCATTCACACACATTTCTGGCGAGGTGCACCTTCTACACAAGGCCATCGTGATACACTTGTCAATCGGGGACAATATACAGGAGTTAAGTCCTGATGTGTGATCCAACCATTTGTCGGTCTGTCATGGGAGTTCCGCACTAAGCAGCGTCTATCCTGATGTCTAGCCCCACATCTAGCCCCATGTCTAGCCTCCAATCAAGCTCCACCTCCTGCCAGTATTCCTGTCAGCGTACACTCCCATACTGACCACGTCTACCTGGTCAGTTCGGCCTCCCGGACTGCTGGTTGTGGTAGGTACTCTGCAACAAGGAAAGTCACAGTGTTTACACCACTCTGTACAGTATTTCACAAGTATAGGGGTGTCTGCTTGGTGTGGTGTGAGACAATTTCTATATGGATAACTTCAACAATCTTCATCCTCCTTATAGTAACATACATACACAAACTTTCAGTGTAGTCAAATTGTAAAAGTGTCTGCATTCTGCCAGTGCATGGATAAGACCTGTGAATGAGTGTTGTATTTCCAGATTTGTGTGTTATGTCTAAAACTGAAATAAGTATAGGATATGTTTGCTGATGCATAGTGACAGCTTCAATGCACCCATCATGTTAAGCATAGTGAGCAAACACATCTTTCTCAACACACTGAATCAATGTCTGTCATGTTTAAACTTTCACCTGTGTCTTAACCATAATGTGATCCTGGCCAAAAATAATTTAAAACACCACAACTGTTATATTTTTCCCCTGAATCTGATGGTCAGCTAGTTCGATATGGGTTAAAGATAACCAGATCCTGATTTTCAAAGCTCTCTTATCGCTAAGATAGTTGTAAGTTAATGTTAATGTATGGCACTTATGACTACCTTAGCGCTAAGAGAGCTTCGAAAATCTAGGCCCAGGCTGTACCTGTGTGGGTGGCTGGTAGGTGCTGGAGGCCGGAGCCTGGGTGCGGGCAGGGTACCCCGTTACTATACTGCCCTGCAAGGATATAACACACATCATCATAACAACCATTCGATAGCTTACATATCACACATGTAAAAACAAAACCTAAACTCTGTCTATCCCTCCTGCTCTCCTGCTGTCAGTATCACATGTAAACAACTCTTGTCTCCACATCACTGGGCCGGTGGAGTAGCCTTGTACATCTGTACTGACTCACACACCTCTCCTCTAGGGAGAACGCATGTCATTCATCTACCATTTTCTAATGGTGCAATTATCCTGAAACAGTTACCATGGTTCCCTTCCTGAATAGTGGCAACATTATGTGGACATTCCTCCCTGAAAGAGTGAGTGAGTATGGTTTTACGCCGCTTTTAGCAATATTTAAGCAATGTCGCAGCAGGGAACACCAGAAATGATCTTCATGAATTGTACCAATGTGGGGAATTAACTCCGGATCTTCAGTGTGACGAGCCAACACTTTAACTACTAGGTAAAACCCCACCCCACCCCACCACTCCCTGCCTAAGACATTCCATATTCTCCTTCCCCCTGTGATACAGCTTTAAAGTGACACCAACCCACCAACAGGGTGGAATATAATGTGTATCATCTGTCAACATCTATAAACAGAACAAGTGCTTGCTGGTTAGCCTTGTGGGCGCTGCTGACCAACTCTTGAACGTTACTATGTGTGAAGCCTGCAACTTTATCCTCCATATCCCAACATTTTGAATCTAATGATCTAATATTGAAAGTGTTTAGGTGGGTAGACTCAAACGTTTTTGACACAGACAATGTGTGTACATGTGGTTGCAAGCATTTGACCAAACTCTCCCAGAGTTCCTTGTAAGCATCTGGGCAACATGACCATGACCTTGACCTCTGAAGCCAATTATAGGAAGCAATATCAGCACTACAACAGTTAGAAATCTATCAAAAAGCATTGGAATCATGACACACAGTGCTGCTCAGAGGTCAAGGTCACTGTATCATGTGACATTTGCAGACTCAGTGTTAACCTAGCGAAGTGCAAGGAATGCTGGGAGAGCATTAGTTGACAAGGAAAGGAGAAGGTGACTGATGTACTTTGGAGGAAGGGGCCTGCTGGACTTGTATCTGTTGCTGCAACATGGCTGCCGGCTGCTGGCCCGTCATCTGAGGAGCCTTATTGCGCAGACCACCCTGCAAGGCAAGCACACTCTACTGACTACACAGTGGTTACACCAGGGCACACCCACTTGTCTTAACATAATACAGATGAGCTTGCACACACTTAGGAAAAGTACATTAAAGAAAATGCATCTATTTGCATACTACTAACTGATTTTCTTCACTCTTAGAAATATTAACAGCAAATTTAACACCAAAACTGAATACTGTTTGGGGTGTTTCTGACGAAGTGGCGCGGAAAAGCCCAGAAACACAGTGTATATAATAAAGAAGTTGACATGCATAATATTTTGTCTTATACTTTCTGACGCTTGTCTTTTCAAAAACTGTGTAAGATCATCTGCAAAACAAACAAGTTGGCCTGCTTTAAATAGTGAAAAGAAACAGTTTTTAAAGCTTGCGTTTCTACTCGGCATCGGAAAAATAGGAAAAAGTCCAGCTGCAGATTTTCCCCTTGCTGCGGTGTAGTAGTCTCCTACCTACGCTGCTGCTGCGTGGACAATGTGGCGGCATAGAGCTGATGAAGGAGTCAGTGCTGGGCAGATCAGTGAGTGTTCAAGCAGTGTATAAAATTGTTTTGAAATGTGGCCTGTTCAAGCACTGGCTGTCCAAAAAAGTGACCAGTCCTGAGCGAACACAGCCAGTCAAAAAATCTATTAAAAAAAATATCAACAAATGTTGTTTTGATCACAATAGTTATTATCCTCTCTCCAAATTTCCATATATAGTATGTCTCAAATATTTCCCCCGACCAAAGGGCGGCCTTACTTATTTCATAGATCGCCCCCCCAAAAAATTGACCATCAGGGACGTTGGGATGGACTATATTTCATACACTGGAGCAAGCATCTTTGATTATCCAGAGCACTATATCTACATACATACCCTGGACACGTTCCCCATTAGTGCCTCAAATTAAAAAAGACATTGACCCTATCTCACCTACCGCTTGGAAAATATTGCTTCTAATGAAAGATTTTGTTTATTTTGTAAATCCAAAGGTATTAATGTTTTTGAAGATGAGTGGCATATTTTGTATATTTGTGAATGTTTCTCTGATATTCGAGAGAAATATATTGTTAAATATTTAAGTCAGCCTCCGACGATAAACAACTTTATACATATTATGCAATCTGCTAATGTCGATGTGATTAAGAATGTTTCTTTATGTTTATATTATGTACAAATTAGAATTAAGAGCATAACTTTTTTATAAATCATTTTGTACCATTCATGTGATGTGTGACTGCATTTGACTGTATTATGGGCCAGTGGCCTTTTACTGAATAAAACTGTCTGTCTGTCCTACCGCTTGGTTAACTAGGGAATTAAGGGGAGGGTCTTGGAGGACCTTGAAACTTACTCAGTGCTATCTGAATCTGGGGACACACCAAATATTATATTTTCATTTAAGTGAATGAGTGAGTTGGATTTTACGCTGCTTTTAGCAATATTCCAGCAATATCGCGGGGGACACCAGAAATGGGCTTCACACATTTTGCCCATGTGGGGAATCGAACCCGTGTCTTCGGCGTGACGAGCTGAACGCTTTAAACACTAGGCTACCCCACCGCCCCATTTTCATTTAAGTGAAATTCTAAATGTGCTGTCTAATCTTTCCTACTAATATGGGGTATTCTGTGACGGTTACTGGCTATCCAACTGATTGTGTCAAAATAATTGTCTATCTCGCTGGCATTAGAAAAGAATTTAAAATAGATGAGACATTCCATAGCTACTGAGTATTCCTGCCATACAAGTTTGGCCATAAGTTAGACATATGTTCTTCTGTTCAGTTGTCAAAAAAACGTTTGTCAAAATTCCATTTTCTCAGGTTTACAGTATCTGACATGACATGTACAATCCGTTTGGGTTCAAATGAGAACCACGAATGATTAAACAACTCGAAATGCACACAGGATGACAAACGACTGGTGGAACAGTGCTGGTACGCACTTCAGGTGCAACTGACAGCAGCCCCCTAGCCGGCGCTGTTCCTCCAGCCGTGTGTCACCCCTCAGTGTGAAGCGTGAAAACAGAACAATGTTACATTTTCGTAAACAACTTTTTCTGTGATCGATCATAAAACTTCAGATTTCAGATCCTGTTGGGTACAGACGTTTCAGACCATGTGTCCTATTTATGTTATGTGAACTTATCCCCATTTCGAGTTATTTAATCATTTATCGTTCTCATTTGAACCCAAACGGACTGTAAATGGCATGAGGTGGCTGGTAATATCAGATCTTGTTTCTATCATGAACAGACAACTATTTGCTGCCTCACATCATTCCAACCTGTGGTGGTGAACACATCCAGGTGTATGTCACTGACAAGTAGTACCCATCAAGGATGAAGCCAAACTAATGACGTCGAGTTCTAAGATGCTTCGGTGAAAGATCAAAGGCACCGACAGTACTTTATCAGATGATAATGTGCACTTTTTGCATTATGTCACAATGTATTGGCGTCACTGAGCCATTCTAGTCTGCCCCCTCGTAATCGAACAATTTTGCATTACGTTGCTTCACGCAGCTAACACCACTGGTGGAAACATTACGTTTATGCTTTCCCACGGTCAAAATGTCTCAATTCGACTCACAAGTTTTCAGCAATAACGGCAACGTTCGCAATGTTTACATTCCCACAATGCAATCGTGGAATGTCGCTTGACTACTCAGCTTTATCTGGATGTACTTATTTAAACTTACGTTGGTAGTAGAAATGGGACGTTCATATTGCCCCATATGGTTTACGTTAATCATAGATGTAATTAGAATAATTTAGAGAAGATATTTAATCCGAACGTAAACCGTCATCAAACTGTTATCATTTGTTTTTTCTGGAAAAGTTTGTCTTAACGTAGGGGGAGACACATCAATAGAACAGCGCACCAGTTACCCCTGTGCGAGGATTCTTAATTTAGGCCACCGACAGCGTCATTTGTTTTCTGCCTTAAATTAATCGTAATTATCCTTAGAAAGTATTAAATTTGGCATCTTAGAAAAGAAATACAGCACACTTTCCCCCTGAACTATTATAACGTTAAAGCACTCGGATGCAAGCGTCCTCGTCCTCGTACTTTAACTATAATAGTTCAGGGCGAAAGTGTGCTTTATTACACTAAACATGGTGGTAGATCGAACTGTATTTCTTAATTAGTGTAGTGTTGAACAGATGGTGTTGGTGGTGAACAGATCCAGGTGTATGTCACTGAGAAGTAGCAAGGATGAGGCTAAGCTAAGGAAGCAGAGTTAGTGTAGTGGAAGGGGTTGTTGTCAGCACGGGGACTACAGATATGTACCCCAGGTACCTTTCTGTATACTGACTGACTGAGTTTGGTTTTACGCTGTTTTAGCAATATTCCAGCAATATCACGGCGGGGGACACCAGAAATGGGCTTCACACATTGTACCCATGTGGGAATTCGAACCCGGGTCTTTGGCATGACGAGCCAACGCTTTAACCACTAGGCTACCCCGCCGCGCCACCTTTCTGTATACAGAAATGTACCCTGAAAAATGTCAAAATACAGAAACGTCCTCGCTATGCTTAACAGGGTTTGAATGCACATTCCCAAGACCAAAACACCAAATCGTATGTAGACTGCGAGTGGTATTGTGCATTGTGAAATATTTCTTACTGTGTATGCTCGTTTTAGAATACAAGCAAATGCATGTAATACAACATTAAGACAATTCCGCACAAGAAACGACACCAGGCGTAATGGACTTGTCCTAGTGTACGTTTCTGTATTCTGATTTTGTCTAGGGTATGTTTCTGTATACAGCAGCGGACCTGCGGTACACATCTGTAGTACCCATGTCAACACTTACCCCTTCAGCACTATAGTGTAGTGTTTTATAGACCTCTAGTACCTTCAGCACTATAGTGTAGTGTTTTATAGATGTCTAGTACCTTCAGCACTATAGTGTAGTGTTTTACAGACGTCTAGTACCTTCAGCACTATAGTGTAGTGTTTTACAGACGTCTAGTACCTTCAGCACTATAGTGTAGTGTTTTATAGACGTCTAGTACCTTCAGCACTATAGTGTAGTGTTTTATAGACCTCTAGTACCTTCAGCACTATAGTGTAGTGTTTTATAGATGTCTAGTACCTTCAGCACTATAGTGTAGTGTTTTACAGACGTCTAGTACCTTCAGCACTATAGTGTAGTGTTTTACAGACGTCTAGTACCTTCAGCACTATAGTGTAGTGTTTTACAGATGTCTAGTACCTTCAGCACTATAGTGTAGTGTTTTATAGACGTCTAGTACCTTCAGCACTATAGTGTAGTGTTGAACAGGTGCACGCCATCAACTTCAACTATCGATAAGCAAGTCTAAGTCTTCTTAAATATACTGAGGACAAGCCATCAGCAGCAGAAGCCACAACGAAACCCACTACATAGATAATGTAAACTCAGTTGTATAGCAACCTTCAGCATGTGACCAACATATGATCATCTGACGACAGCTAATGCCAAGGATCCGAGTTACTATGATACCAATGTATAATGATCAAATCTTCTTTAACAGACGGAATATTTGTTATCTAATGGTTTATTATCCAACACTTCAATAAACTTAGCATTAAGAATGACCCAAAATATCAGGCACGCTATATGGTGTTATAGGGAAACAGTTTGAATACTTTTTGCATTCATTCTGCTATGAAAGCAAAACACATTAGGCCCCACACAATGTGTAGGATTGGTATACTTCAGCAAAGTCACTGTTTTTTCTACCATTACCTGCATATTTCAGTGTCAGTGATTAAATCTAAAGCATGTTTTTTTTGTTGAATGACACACAAATTGGTGTGTGCCACATTATGTTACAGCACCAAAAATGAAAAACATTATTTCTTGAATAAGACAGAAATAATATGACTGAAAACAAAACCAATATACTGTGGCATTTTAGATCAGTGAACAATATAACAAACAGTCCTAAGACAACATAGCTCACAGACAATCAGAGCCGTTTATAATCAGGTAGAACTATTCAGAACCTGTCAAGACACTTTAGCTGGCATCATTAATACAAAGTTTCAGGTTTTGTAGGCTCAGAGATTTCAAAAGCATAGAAACACAAGAATTATGATGCTACAAAGTACCTGAAGGTTAAATATCATAGATTAAAAAAACATGTCCAAAAATGTATGTTTTTGTCAGCACTACATACAGACATTTTCAAAATGGCCTCCATAACAGCCATGTTGAAAATTTGAGGGGAATCCCAGAACAGAGATTAGAGACCCCTTAGCTAAGATGAAACTGACAGTGCAGTGTCCACCTAGCCCACTGAGGATGTGACTGACCCTGGAGTATACTGACAGTGTAGTGACCATCTAGTCCCCTGGGGGGATGGCTGACCCTGGAGTATACTTACAGTGTAGTGACCACCTAGTCCCCTGGGGGGGGGTGTCTGACCCTGGTGTCATGATGTACTCACCCTGGGGAAGGGATATGCACCTGCTGGCCATGCCTCAGACTGGTAATTGCGTTGTTGTTCACGAACCTGAAAGTAAGAAGTTGATTTAGGTTGACACACAGCACTACTCATGCCTACGATGATGCAAGACTTACACCATGCACAAATGTGTGTCCTGCAGTTTCCACATGTATAGAACACACACAGAGAAAAAACATGTTATAGTCATAATGCACAACAGTATTTACTGTAATGTAATTTTTCAAGTAAAATTGTTATTTTATACTTATCCTGACTCATGATCTTTTGCTTATCTCCCTTTCCCTTGCGAATGGTAGTGGAACACTTGAATCCCTTGAAGTTCCCGAAGCGGACGTAAAAATACACTCACCCACGAGTTACCTCCCTTTTCCCACGTTAACAGTCATGTGACCAGCCTTACTTGTCACTCTCCTGATTTTTCTGCCCAAGCACTTGGATGTACTGTGAAATCCGAAGTGTTTTCAGCGGGGAGGTTGGGAGGGCTTGACCTCATGAGTCAGGATAAATATAAAATATCAAGTTTACTTGAATAATTACATATTTTTTCTTATCATGACTCATGATCTTTTGCTTATAGAATCCTGTGGATTGGTGGTGGGTCGGGCCACTTCCTGGTTTCATCAGCTGTTCTTAGGTACGTCCTGTATCCCTCCCTTCCCCTCCCCCCCCCCATCCCCCCAATGGGAACTGCATAGCGGCATTTCCGAGATCCTATTCTTCCAACTTCCGTTATAACTCGAGGGGAACACTTTCTTGTCTTACTTCCATCTCAGACAAGTTGAATTATCTTGATTCATGTGGTTTAAGATATACTAGTATCTTCATTTTACTAGATATCTATAACAATCCACAGATTATGATAAGCTCTTTATCATAAATGAATTGCAACCCCTTAATGTACAGGTAAGATCTTTACCCGTACAGGGTCTTTAATCACTCATGCTAGTCTGTCCAGATCTTTTGTCAGGAACCGTTGCAGCGGCCTTAGTTGTAACCTTCCTGTGCGAGTCAAGTCCTGCGCCGAGGTTAGTAGACCGAGTAGACATGACTAGATGTAGAATCATGGCTTGTATCTTGACCCAATATTCTTCTGGGACCACAATTCGATTCTGTGTTTTGATAATTCTTATTCCCAACAATTGAAGATCTTGTTTGATTCTTACTCCAACTTCATCAGGTTCACTAGCCATCCTAGTTGAGTAAGCAACTTAATTGTGAAGTTCAGCTGCTGTCTGAGTTGATTGGCACTTTGAACCTGTATGCCGTTTCACCTGAACCTGTATGCCGTCGTTCAGATAACCGGGCACTGTGTAGATCCCCAATCTCCCGCCTACTAGAGTAGGACGAACCGGCACGGCTGTGGGCGGGAGGTCCCAGTCATGTTGGTTCCAAGTTTCAGCGACCTGAGTAAGGGCGCTTCCCCCTACCCCTGCCGGGTGTCGAAGGGGGCTCCCGGGGACGGTCCTGCTGACGGCGCTGAAAGTCGGGGTCGGACCTGCCATGGCCACCTCCTCTGCCGAAGGCGCTACGGACGGGAAGTAACGGCGCTTCCCTCTACCCCTCATAGATGAACTCAGAGCTTCGAAAGTAGGTAGGGACACCTCTGTATTAGTAAGGTCCGTGTGCTCCTTATAAACCTCTGGAATCCGGTCCTCAAAGAGGAAGCGAGACGCGAAAGGGGCTCTCAACACCTTTCTTATTAACTCTTCCTACCAAGAGCAAGGCTCAAGGAACCCCATCCGCCCATCGTCATGGGCAACGTCTGGAGGTGTGCCAATAAATCATGTAACACCTTCCACTGCCATTGGGGGCGGTGGGGTAGCCTAGTGGTTAAAGCGTTGGCTCGTCACGCCGAAGACCCGGGTTCGAATCCCCACATGGGTACAATGTGCAAAGCCCATTTCTGGTGTCCCCCGCAGTGATGTTGCTGGAATATTGCTAAACGCGGCGTAAAACCAAACTCAGTCAGTCTGTCAGTCAACTGCCATTGGAACAGGGTGGTAAGGTGTTCTGTCCTCGATGCGTGGTCTTCAGTCAAGTCCCAAGCTGCAGGCTTCAACATCCTCTTGAGCTCTGCATCAATAGCCAACATCTTAGAGTCCTGCACTCGGTAAGAAGACTGTGGAGAACCCGATAAACGTTTGAGGGATTCATCATGAGCCGCACCTCCATCAGCGAAATCCAAGCTATGTATCTTGTAGTCCCCTTTGCGCGACTTAGGAGCCTTAATAGTAGTATTGAGAGACAGTTTAGCAAAGTCGGCATCCAAAGAGGCCGCAGCATCGGCCACCATTGGGTGAGGCAGGAGGAGTAACTCAGGAGAAGACCTAATAGCTCTTGGGTCGTCAGAGCCTGAAGAGGAAGAAGGACAATCAGGCAGTCTGTCGGCAATCCAGTCAAACACAGCAGATAGGGGGAGGTAAGTACCCCCATCATCTTCCTCTTGTAACATCTCCTTGTTATAATCGGGTTAAAAAAATAGCGCTCCTCAGCGTCCTCCCAGGACACGGTAAGAGCATTATACCGTTGGTCAGAAGCAGCAGGCGTCGGGCGCTCAGATGACAGTTGAGAAACAGCACTAAAGGTAACTGTAGGGGAACGTGGTCGTCGTGGCGAGCGGCGAAAAGGAGGCGACCTTGAATGGGACCGACAGTAGCACCTCCCATGAGGCGGGGACCTTGAACGCCTCTCCCTATCATTGGGACGTCTGGGAGAGAGATCTGGAATCAGACCGACGACGGCGATGATTAGTGTCAGAGCTATGACGAGGACTCCTAGAACGATGGCGCTGTCGAGGAGACCTAGAGTGAGACCGCTTAGAACGACGGGAGCGCTCGGCTTCCTGGTGTCGGGAACGCTCTTCTAATAACTGACGCTATAAATCCTCCTCGGCACTGGGACAGCGCTAGGTAAGGAGGGTGTCGGCGCTGGAACGGCACTAGGTTGGGCTTCAACTGCTGCAGGCAAGAGGAGCGTCTTTAGAAGCTTCTGTACCTCCGGATGAGATAAGACGTCCGGTTGAGATAAGTCCACGAAGGCGTCAGACAGGTGCTGGGCGTCAGGCATCAGCTTACTCGGCGCAGGTGTAGACGTCTGTTCAGCTAAAGGAGAGGAGCGTCCGTCTGGCGTCCGTGGAAGAGATGAACGGGACCTCAAAGAAGAAGCAGGTGAAGACATCTTCTTCTTACATTGCGACAACCGTTTCTTCGGGGCCGCCTTAAAATCAGCGACGGACAACGGAGTACAAAAATAACAGCGCTCAGCAAGTGAACAGTCTACAGTAGCGCAGTCTGGGCACCAAGGGTGGGGATCCGTGGCAGACTTCTACACCTTGCAGATACAGCAAAACTGCCGGGTCATGCACACAAAGGCTGTAACACACGAAAAAAGGGAAACGTAAATAATACTTAAACACACAGAAAAAAAAAACCTGCAGAGAAAATGGAAACACCCCTGCAGCAAGAATGGGCACACCCAAGCAGGCAGAACAGTAGAGTAAACAACCAAGATGGCTGCCCCCACTGAGCCAAGAAGAGCGTGAAAACAAGCACAAATTAGGCAATATCAAGATACACAAAACCAAGCATGAACATTATGGTGAAAGAGACATAGGAGAATACAATACATCAAACATGTCAAGTGGAGCGACACTCGCGACGTAGGAACACACCCCACACCGAAGTGAGAGACACGAGGCAGCCAGGTAAGTGAAGTTTACTGTAATTATGTTCTTCACCCACACAGAGAAGAATATAGGATATACAAAGCATACATACCAAAAACAAACAAGAACTTTAATATCTGAAAGTATCAGTAATAGCAAACTAGCGAAATAAAAAAACGTCTGACACACAGTACGCTTGAAGTAAAGGTGAATTTTGGATAGACCACGCTTGCGCGGGAGGGGAGATCACGTCACTTCCGTTCCTGTACACTCGTCGATACTTGAGGCAGCCATTCTAGAGAATGGCGAATCAACGACTGTCTGATCTCTTCTAAGCGGAGCTTGAGGTAATATGCATAAGACCTATGGTGAGGTCAGTTAAAAATTAGATTTATCATGGTACAAACAAAACTATCCAATTGTTAAACAATTATTTAGCTGTGTGACAGTGACCAGTAAGTATTCAACTCTGCACCAGAAAATCCACTGATTCTTTTTTTGTTCAAGGTACAATCACACAGCATTAGTTACATCATACAACCATCTAGGGCTGGGACGGGCCCAACTTTTCTAATAGGGTGCCCCATCCCCTATTACCCTACCCCGATATGTTAATTCCTGATATCAAGTTTGTAAGAAATGGCAATATATTCTTCAGCTCAGAGGCTAAAATTTCGAGTTTTTCAATATCTTAATCATGTATTATATTCAAAACAGGTAACTGGTAATAATGTCTAAATCTTCAAAGACAATACAACCTTTTAATCATGAAAGAGTAACATATTACACTGTTTAATCTATTAGTCACATGATCAAAGTGGGTCAGTGTATTGAGATGGGTACCTGTGTCCAACTCATTACCCACCCGTCCTGGGTATCCGGGTTACCCGTCCCAGCCCTACAACCATCACAGAATGCTGGGGACCTATCAACCCAGAATCTCCAGGTGCTCCTATGTGACAATCTCCAGACACCAACCTGCTGGATCTTGTACTTCTCTTCGTTGAATGTGGACTTCTGGGTGGCGTGCTCAAGGGTCTGCTGGATGGGGATGCCAGAGTTGTGGGGGGGGACCCGATGTAGCTTGCTGCTGGATACAAAACATGGTTACTTTTACTCTAGTGCAAATATGTCATATCCTTTCTCCGTCAAATAAGGTTTATTTTGATGCTTCTGCAGCAAACCCCACATGATGACTGCTGATAACTGTGTGACTTTATATCAGTGAAGGCGTGTATGCAGATCAGAATAAAAGGGCCACTTCCGGTACCAGCAGGGCATGTGTGAGTCAGAAAGCAGGGAAGTTTACATTGGGTTGAGATTTATACTACACAGTTTGTGAAGCTGCAGAAAAATTACATGGTTTCTTGAAGGGTTGTGTAAACATGCAGAAATCATCCTTTAAAGATCACTGGAAGTGACAGCCATCATGAAACTGTTATCTAGTGGTGTTCCGATTAATTGAAATAATCGAAGATTGGTCGCAGTGACCAAACGACCAAGCAATCGATCACAATTTCTCATAATCGAACATAAACGATTTTGGAACTACTGTTTAGTCTTTGAAAAACTTGACAATGGAACATATCTTAGAAATTGTCAGGGCCTGAAAACGTGTTTAATTCTTAGAAAACTCACTTCACTAACTGAAAAGCCATGACTAAATATTTCTTGAAGACTCCGGGAAGTTTATGTTCATGATATTATTAGTCATCACTTTAAAGTAGCAAGTTTCATCATGTTATACATATTTGCAATAACAACCTGGATAGGAAAATCTGAAAAATGATGCTAACCAATTTTTTTCGATGATTGTTCGTTGGTAATGAAGCAATCATCAATTGTGAGATTTCAACCAATTCCCAACACTACTATTATCATGAAGTTAGTTGATACCACCAGACAAATACTGAGTGTATAGGTATATTTAAGAGCTTCCAGTCTAGATAGTGAGTAAGGTTTTAAGCTGATTTTAAAATAATTCCAATAATATAACAGAAGTGGGACACGAGAAATGGTGTAGGTGTAGAATCAATCAGAGGCCTGAGTGTGATCAGAGCACACATAAAGCACTAGGCTGCCCCATTGGTCCAGAGAACTGGTGTATGTATAACTGAACGGAAACAGTACACGTTCCTACCTTGTTGCTGCATCCTCTGTATGACATAGCCTGGGGGGTAGTTCTCTATTGGCTGCTTCTGTTGATGTTGAGCATAATGGCTTGGATAAGAGGTGAAAGCTGATTGGCTGGCTGGGTTGTACTTGCTGGCAGGGGATTGGCTGCTTGAGTAGACCACACCCTGCTGTTGGTAGGTGTGTCCTGGTTGGCTGGCGTAGGTCACATGAACAGGCTGACCCTGGGGGTAGTTGCCTTGCTCTGTGAACAAAGTTCCATGAGATCACTGGAGGCAAGTTCTACTACTGGATGCCCATGGAAGGATTTACTTCAGAATCCATACTGACTGTCCCTGGTGGGTACAGTGGAAAGAAAATAATAAGTCAATATTCAGGTCACTCTGTTTAGTTGCAGACAGGTGAAAATTCATCCTTACAAAGTCATGACACAATTGCAATATGAAATTGGAAATTTACTGCAGACAGTAGGACTGGATTAGGGATTTACTTTGAGTCCTGTATTTGAGGGTACCTTTGACTCATACCCTTTATTTTTTTAAGGGTCCTGGACAACAAAATGGGGGTCCCAGACACTTAAATATTATTATTAATACTGTTATTGTACTGTGTATCATGATCATCACATTGTTACAGTAATTAAATTGCAAATAATACCATAACCCAGCTAAAAGCAAACTCAGTGATAACTTATTGGCACTTGATTGGAATTTATACAAAAAGTATTTTGACTTTTTCTGAGTCCCTGTGGAGGAGCCACTAAATTTTGTTGCGTCCAGTGTCAATTTTGATATGTATAGGACGCAGGAATACGCATCCTGTAATTGTAAATCACTGCTGGATACATCCCTATTCATTCTAAAAATGTCTACAAAAAATAATTTGGCTGCTTGACCACAGTATTCAAAAGGACAGGCACAGGATATCACTTCTTTCAAGTGTAAAGAGAGAATATGTACCCAAGCAACTTACATTCCCACAATTCACCACCAAGAAATGTTAGAAGCTCATACTTGTTGTTACCTAGTCTAACCATGAAAACTGCGGGGTTTAAACGTAGAGAGTGATTCACACATGAAGTGGTCTGCTCAGAGTTGGTATGTTATGTCTGAGTCGTGTGTCCATCTTGACATGTGGTGTGGTATCCCAGTGGGCTAGCACTGTAAAACCCACATGTACACCAACACACATGCATGTACAGACAGCCTGCCACCCACATGTACACCAACACACATGCACGCACAGACAGCCTGCCACCAACATGCACACCAACACACATGCATGCACACACAGCCTGCCACCCACATGTACACCAACACACATGCATGCACAGACAGCCTGCCACCCACATGTACACCAACACACATGCATGCCAGACAGCCTGCTACCCACATGTACACCAACACACATGCATGCACAGACAGCCTGCCACCCACATGTACACCAACACACATGCATGCACAGACAGCCTGGCACCCACATGCACATATATTACAGAGGTAACAATACAGTGAGTTAGGAGATAAACGTACTGTGTTTGGAAATTAAATGAATGTTAGACCGAATTGATAGTCTCTAAATTTCATTTGAAGCCGAACGCGTAGCGTGAGGTTTCAAATTATTAATTTAGAGACTATCAATTCGGTCTAACATTCATCTAATTTCCAAACACAGTATGTTTATCTCCATTCTACCATAACCGATTTAGCATCGAACTTCCTCGTCCCGTGGAAGACACGGCGTAATCCGGCATGGGACGAGAGGCGAATTGAACTCGTTTGTGAATGGAGTGGTAGGTGCCTTTCGTATTTTTGTTAACATTGCAACATAAAACATATTCTGTCCAAAGAAAACAAACTACTGTTTATTCAATGCAATAATGTAACACCTAAGAGCTTGGTTTTTATACTAATAACTCCACACGACCGAAACGAGCCTATTGTTTTGTGTGCCGTGTTACTGTACCCCCCTGGCCACACTATAATGAAATCGTCTGACCTACTTATTTTCTTGGAAGTAGACAGTTACGCAAAAGTTTGAATGGCGGACGAGCCAGTGTTTACATTTTGCGAAAGGTTGAAATTCGATGTGACAGTGGAAAATACTTGACTGACTGTCGAACCTGAACCCTGCAGAATCGAAGAATAGATCCTTTTCTGATCGACCTAGGACCTGTAACTCATCAAAGACTGTTGATTTTTATGACCGGCGAGTGTCGATCATGATTTCATGTACGTGCCTCCACCCCGGCATGCGACAAAAGAGTAGCAGTGCTGCTTTGTGTACATGCGACTAACTTGGGATTCCTTGGAACATTGTTCTCATCATTTGGGACTGGATTGTGGTCAAGCTTTTCAAAGTGTTCGAACATAGCAGTGACAGCCTTGAGGGGAAGGTGGCAGAGATCGGAAATCTCGTGGTTCAATTTTTGACATTTTGAACGATGCCACAGGACATGATGGAGTATGAGTGGCCTAAATTTTGTGTTTCGCCTGACCATTATCTTGCGAATTTCTCATTCTAAACTGAAACAAATATACCATTTATCAGGTAGGTAAATGTTTACGAACGTTTTTCCGCACAAATAGGGATAGATAGGGACGTATTTCTAATTTTTTACAAGGTTTTCTGATTTATATGTTAGATATTGTTTGTTTATGTTTGGGGCTGTGTATTGTAATTGAGTTTGAATATTTTTATAATAGAAGGTAATAATTATGATAGTGAGGTTCCCTAATAATTGTGGAGGAGAAATCGTATAATAGTATTTTTCGAGTTTTAATAAATGTTTCATCAGCATTTCCATCACGCCTATTGTGTTGATATTAGTCATGTTGGTGGCCAAGCTGAAGTAGTGCGGCAGTGTTGTATATGTGCGCAGTGAAGCGCCGTGAAATCAGACGCATATTCAATCCAAATTGATACCGTCTGATTTTATTGATTGACCAATCAAATTCGAGCATTTCACGTATCCATGGTAGAATTTGTTATATATATCATATTCTTGTTACACTACAAGCAAACATTGTTATAAGTATAATAACCTTGAATGTGACGTTAAAACCCATTACTCCTATTGCACGTCACACACTTCATACATTCAACACACAAAAAACATGTAAGGTGAGACGTACTGAACTCTGCCTGTTGGTGTTGGTAGATGTGGGTGGCTTGTTTGGCGGGGGTGTAGGAGTAGCCCTGGTACGAGGTGGACGGTGGTGGGGAGGGACTTCTTGTGCGCTTCACACCCTACAACGGAAACAACAACCATTACAAACTGGCAACAGTTCACTTACATTAGAAACTAGACATATCTGACATTTCAAACTTCCGTAATTGATGATGATGACAACTACAACGCAATATTTCGGTGATTGGAAAGGATATGTTCTTCGGGGTATTTTTCCCATATGTATTTTCAAAAATAAATCCAACATCACTTAGATATGACTGGAGGTGAATGAATCACTTCCATTTACATCTTAAACTTCAAACAATATGTCAAAGCCTTGTGTAACTTGTTGAAATCATATGTAACAGGAATGTTTCTATGAAAATTAACAGAAATGAATGACCTTCTATGAATAAGTACTGCAGAAGTGTATACCAAGATGGCAGCCAGTCAGTATCAATGACAGCAACAATTAAACAAAACTATGACTAGTTGGTCAACATAATACTTGTGGAACAAATCCTTATAACTTAAACACGTATTGTAGACAATCAATGTCACATCCTTAAGCCATAAACTCCATAACTGTGTCCATCAAACAGAATTCCACAAAGTTGTCAGCATGTAAAGACATGCCAGTCTCAATGATGGAGTCTGAAGGAGACGGACCGAGTGGACACTCACGATGATAGATGAGGGAGGTTTGTACAGCGCGGGTCTGCCAGAGATCTGTTGTATCATGACCGGGTGGCCGGACACCGGGATACCGTGTGACGGGAAGCCTTGTTGAGCGTGCAGCAACATCTCACTGTAACAATAAATGGAGAATTTCAAGCTCAACAGTTTGACAACTCAACAAAAGTTGACCTTCTCAAGACCGACAGGAAGAACAGTCACCTAGAACCTTCTTCAGTCTTACTTATTGGCTTAATTGGGTCAAAATGCTTCACAGATTCTTTGCTTTCAGTGTGTTGTTGGTACTTCTTATATATACAAACTGAAACTGTAAGTGCCAACATGAAGGTATAGCCCTGCATAATGCCTGGATCTGGCTTAATTTTGGTGGTGCCAGTTTGCACAAGTGAGACCTATTAAGTGATTAATCACAAACTTACGACATGTTCAACTCAGAAGTGTCACCTCACTTATCAATTACCATTGAAGTTTACCGATGAAGATCAGCGCTAATAAATGATGCACACTAGGTAAGGGGATTATCAAATTTTTCTTTATGTACTGCCGGATTAATGAAGCAAAACTAAGTGTAATTAGCTAATCCGTTACTCCTAATTAACGTCCGGATCCGGAGAGTACCTCGAAACATAATTGAGGCAAACTAGGATTAAAACTCATCGTAAGCTGCTTGGGCTTCAAAGGGACACAACTCTGTAAAGTGAATGGTGACGCTTTAGATGACTGGTCCACCCGTGTCCACTGTACAATGTGATGGGTTAATGATACTGACCTCTGTTGCTCCTTGATCTGTGTCCGTCTCCGGGTCTCATCCTCCTGGTGTAGAACCTTCTTAAGGCGAGAAAACAGGTCATGCTTCTCCGTCTTCAACGTCTCCAGCTTCACCTCCAACTGGGACACCTGCATCACAACCACAGGTGTCATTGTATCTATCATGATGCTCTGATAAATTGTTGTTATATTAATGAATTAACATTATTAACATTATCACAAAATAATGACATAATTGTGTACACACCATGCCTCAGTACATTAGAAAATGATGTCTCGACAAAAAGATGTGTTGTTACTGTCAGTATGACCCAGAAAGTTACATCTGCCACAAAAATAGTTAATGTGAAGCAATAGCAGTAGTCTGCCTTTCTAAAACTGTCCTTACAACTGACTGACTGAGTTTGGTTTTACGCCGCTTTTAGCAATATTCCAGCAACATCACAGCGGGGGACACCAGAAATGGGCTTGACATTGTACCCATGTGGGGATTCGAACCCGGGTCTTCGGCGTGACGAGCCGATGCTTTAACCACTGGGCTACCCCACCGCCCCTGTCCTTACAAAGGACACTCACCTGTTCTTTTGTCTGTTCCAGGGTGAGACTGTCTTCCTCCTCTTTCTTCTTCTTCAATTCTCTCTCCTTTCTCAATCTCTCCATCATTGCATCCTGCTCTTGTTCTGGAAGACAGGGTAACCATGGTAACACAGTGCAAAAGTAAATTTGTCTTTGTTGGTCTGAATATTTCAATCCGTATGATTCACTCTTATCTGACCATATCCAAGACAATCCACACAACAGCATCCAGTGGGACAGAGTGAAAAAGTAACTAGTACATCAAAAGACTAATCATCGATTAACCATGTTAACTGATAAAAGCAAACACATACCTTCCAACTCATCAAAGATTTCTATCAGTAATAATCTGTTGGTTTATACTACAGGCTTCACCTCTTAGCATTCTTTACCCTGATCTTACCAACTGTATACATGGTATTGTTAACAGGCTTCTCCATGATGTGAAACCCTAATCCTATCAACTGTAAAAACCCTTCCAAACACTGGCATACATGCTTCTCAATCCATACTCTGTACATCACTTGCTCGACAATGAACCAACACTGAAAGGTTGCCCCTATTGTAATAAAGAAGATTGTTGCTCCATATATTCGTATCCTTCACCCATTCTGGTTAAGCCTGAGCAAATGTAGGAAATAATCCCAACCATGGAATTACAAATTTTGCAATTCGCGTTAACTATTAATAACAAAGTTCATGGGTGTGGAGAGGTCACTAGTATTTCACTGACTATTCTGACCATTTCCGTATGGGTACTAACTTTGGAATACTTGATAAATCCCTGGCAATAACCTCTTACATTTCCCATTCACTAATCCCAATCAGTAATCAATGGGTCCTACTCCCAGGAACAGAAGAGCCTCTGAGGTCACACAGACCATGACATAAAAAGGACATACAATAATTTCCTCATTCATGTCAGTACCAATAACATTTCGAACCACATACCCTGCTTTTTCCTCTCCCTCTCCTTAAGGATGTGTGGCGTTTCAGCGCGTGGTACATGGTACGGGTCATCTTGGGGCGTTCAAGCAGTGCGGGCATGTTGGTGCGAGGGAACTGGAGACCGCGGCGCTTCTCCAATGCAGATATTGACTGGAACTCTTACAACAGCTACAGTATACCTGGAAATCAATATAATACTTTAACTACATTCAGACTTTGAATTTCAATGAAAAATCATTTTCAGCCTTTGAGTATTTACTCACATTTTATCATTCACCATGTTCACAATGGCTATAGATAGGTTTTTATGAATAATGCAATTACTAGATCTTAATTCTGCTTGAAATGCAGTTTCAAATGACTGTTCATGTGCTGGTCCACATGTTTAATATGTGTAAATTCACAAAAGAGACGGGCTTTTTTACAAAGTTTTCATGTTCTTAAAACTGAGCATCTTAAAACTAATTGTACAATGGTGATATATTTGTCATATTTCAAATGCAGCCTATCTGGAGCTCGGAAACAGTTTTTATTGGATGTTTTCATTCAACTGAAAACAATTAAATAAGAAGCGAACGAAACAGTTTAGGGTAAAACTTGGGGACTTAAATTCAAATTTTCAACAAATTTATGATTCTAAGTTTCAGTTGCCAATCTAACTAAAGCTGTAACATGGACCCGAGTCAAGTCTGGGGATAACAGCGTCCAAAATGTCTACCTGTTCCAAACCTACAGAGTTGTGCAAAAAAGTATTCAGACACTTGACGTAATTTCCATAGACTTACATGTTATGTCAGTGTAGCATAAATAATTTTCATGAAGTGAGTTTAGGATGGATCTTTGTAAAATTTGACAGGCAAATTTGAAATCATCTCTGAGTCTGATCTGCGCACATAATTTCAGTTCACATTTCTGACCACTATTTAACTAATGACATCACATTTATCAACTTACGTATGGTTCCACAATGCACAAAAAGCCACAATCCCATACGCCACCATGTTAAAGGAGTTCACGGCACTGTACATATGTAGATTAAATTGTTGCCATTCGATAAATATGCAATGGAAAATTAAGCAGAAATTATGTGATTGTAGGTAAGATGATTCCTCACAAATGTGCAAAATTTGACTTGGATCTTACGAAAATTGAACCAGTCGCCCTACCAGTGAAACTGTTTGTGCACTCCGATCGCACACGTTTTCACCCGATATAGCGCGTGCAATGCAATCGTCGAAATCACCAGGGTCCCGTTCCTAAAAGCGATCGTAGCGCTACGATGATCGTAACTCCCATACTTTAACATAGACTTACGATAGTCGTAGCGCTACGATCGCTTTGAGGAACGGGGCCCTGAACGTCGAATTCAGCTCGTGTTGGGATACCAGACATGTCCACTGAACATATGCTGAACACAGAATTCTTTATATGTGTCGACAACAATCTGGAGCTGATTTTGACAGGTGTCTCGATGCATGCAAGTGATCACTTTTTGCAAATCCTGATCTCTCATCACAACAATAACATAACGTGATATGATCTGTGTTGATGGGAAGATTACTGTTAGATCATTATTTTGCTGAAGGCGTGAACATCAAGTCATTGTTTGTTACCTTTTGTTGACATTCTAAACAATTAGTATTTACACTGCACACACAAGGGGGTGGGTGGAATTCTTTTCAAATATTGTTCTTATATAGAAACATTGCTATATTTGACATCAGTGTACAGATCCACTGATTTATCATCCTTATATATTTCCCAATCTTCGCGTTTGAATCATTTTGCGTGTGAAAAAATTGTTTCTGGAATGGGCACATAAAACACACCTACCTTCAATTGAAAACGGTTTCCGTACCTTTGTTTACGGTCTCCTTAAATGCGTCATATATATGGAGGCCCAAACAGTCTGAATTCACCATATATTTGCAGATTTCTATACTTGACGTAGAAACCAAACCACAAATCCAAACACATTTTACATTTCCGGTGAACTCTTCAAACAGGAAGCGGAAGAAGTTGGAACCGGTTCAAATATAGCAATATTTCATTGGTCAAATCTGCAACCGGTTTATCAAGCATTGACTTGAACAAGTCACGCTGTATGATTTCTCGTTAGATATCTGATAAAATGATACAATAAGGGAAGTAACTCTCTAAGGAAGTAATGTGTAAAGCGATAATGGCAACTGAATCGACGTCGTTTATGCAGTTTGACTACTGTAACCTCTGTAAAATAAGCCACACAAAGCGGAAGAAGCACGTCTACTCTAAAAGACATCAAGAAATATTGCAAAACATACTCAAGAAGTTTGAGAAGAAGGTAATTACGAGAACATGGTGTTAGAACTGAGATATGTTGCCACTGACACACTGTCACACAGTCAGAACTGGGCATGTCGCTATACTGACGCTTTTCGCAAAATATTTTATTCATACAACTCTCAGGACCCATTTGTATCAAACTTTAATAAAGCTTTAATCGTTAATTAAACTATGATTAGTTAATCATTGATTATCTTCACTTGCATGAAACCCTTAATAAAGGAATCCCATCATTAATCCATCATTAAGCTAATGAAGGTTTGGGGGTATCATTAACTCGTATCAACATGGCAGATGACATAATGTTCCATGAACTTGGACGTCGGAGAAAAGAGAAACATTTTCGTGAACGGATTAATCACTTGGAGGGAGTACTGCACTTTCCCGGCCGCACCTTTTCAGATTAATAAGCGATGTGGGGCTCGAACGCGCTTTGCCGGATTACTGACTTGGTTAATTAGTGACGTAATTGGCGAACGCTCTACCTCGGGACCATGAGCACGATCACAGTTAATGAGGGCTCGTTTAACGGGTCATTTGCACAGAAGTGAGGCGGAAGCACGCAATGGTTTGTTTACATTTCTCGCACTTCCGCCCCACTGTAACACACCCTTCCCATTAATTTTTTTTCGTGTTATTATTTCTTGGACTGTACTGACGAGTACAGGATGGATCGAAATGCGTTTCAACTGGATATAATAGGATCATACTGTCGTAAGGTAAAGTCAAACCCTAAATAAGAATCGGAAAGGGTCCCTAACCCCACAGCGAACAACGAGGGCTGCGCCCGGCAAAGTGCATTCTAGCCCACTTGGAAAATATGAGCAACAGAGACATCAGAGCGAGGTACTGTTTCAGTGTTGAAGTGATACAGTACATCTGTGGGTTGACTGGCAACAGTCTACGTCCTATGACAGCGACATCTAGAGCACTGAGTGTGGGAATACAAGTATGAGTGTTTACCTGCAATGCATCATGGATAATAATTTGGGGATTCCCCTTAGTTAATCATGGTTTAATGAAGGGACCTTTATTAGAGGCATATTTAGTTAATGGGTGTTTAAATAAGGGTTTATACAACCATATTTAAACATTTCATTAACTAATCAAACATTAAGAATTAAATCAATGATTAGTGTTTAATTGATGATTGCATGATTACGTGTTGATACAACTGATCGTCAACCCAATTCTTAACCCGGGCCTCTCTGTCGTGGGTCACCGTGTGGTTCTCGCTTCACTGATCCCAGGTGTCCCATTGATTCTAAGTGTTAAGGTAGGGAACTGAACTCAATCCTTTCCCCCTTGGGTCCACTTTCCTTGGAAGACCATTTTCCGACCATTTGTAATAGGTACCCCTTTGGAATCAAAAGCCCTTTCTGGCATTACGTTCATAATTAGGTGATCCTTGCTGTCAGAATAGATGGTACTGAGATTCAATTACTGTTTAAGAAACCTACTCCAGATGGCCATTAATTGGGGAACACTGCTCATGTTTGTGTATTTACGGGAGCATGTACATAATATTCACACTTTACTTTGACATTCAGCAAACAATAGAGTACAGGTCACTAGTTTGCCTTGAAAAGGCCCTACTTTCTGAAAAACCTGTCAATATGTGATGATTGTACAGGAAACTAATACCTAAAAACTACTTTGCAATGTGAACATGTGTTTATGAATCTCCAAAGCAAAACATTTCCAGTATAGCAATGTAACTAGGAATTACTTCCCTTTGATGGTGGTTCCCACATTTGACCAACTCTTGATGGTGGTTCCCACATTTGACCAACATCATGTTAAACCAAGTACTTATATTTTCTGTGTCTCCTTATGGCCTTAGAAAGGTCTCACGCTGTAACCTGTATATGTCCAACTGGGTTTATCTGATGTTTCAGATACAGGATGGGCGTATGTGTATTGACAACCCAGGTGTTGAGGCTCTGGGGTGGGAGAACGGAGCAATGTTCTGGTGTTACTTCTGTGAGTTGGAGATCAGCAAACACAGGGTGGAGCCTGACTGTACGGTCAAACATGGAGGACTTATACTGCACTTAGCAAGGTGAGCTGTTTACCAGATCAGTCTGATATAAAGCAATACCTGCAGCATTGTGTTTTGATACAGTTCTAAGTTGCATTGTTACAGTGGAGATATTTTGGTTATATATATCATGGTTACATTGTTGTGTTTTGTGTTACAGTGATGATCACGCAAAGAAGACTGGTGAATTTTTCTGGAAGAATATCATTGATAAGAAAAAGAAAGCTAAATATATCCTCAGTAAAGAAGATGCAGAGAGGTAAGTTCTGTGTAGCAGTTTATGAAATATTACTTGGTCGCAAACAGTTTCACTTTTCTTATCAGTTCTTCGTTTTTATTATAATCCAATGTTAAGCAAGGAAAGGTGACAAAACAGGGAAAAGTCTTAGGGCTGACACTTACTTCAATCATTCATTGGGCTTGACAATTGGCAGCCTTCAGGATGATGTATATGATTATGCACTGTTATTTGTTAGACTTAGCACTGTCTTGGATGAGTGTGGACTTTCACCAACCACTGTATGCACAGATGCCAGCCATTCCGTGTTTGAACCCTTGAATTATGCTGTTGCACTTGTTCTCCCCAAACTATCAAATATACAGAAAACTTTTATGCATCAGTGACACGAAGTATTCTACAGCAAGACTGTGCTAACCAATGAGATTACACTGGTATACAGGTCTCTGATTAGATGTTCTGAAGACAAAATCTTGTCGTTATATCAATCAAACTTTGGTGATGTACAGTACAACTACAACAATGTTTAGATCTCAAAACACCACACTGTCTTTCTAAAAAACATTTCAGAGTTTTATGAATGTGTGGATCATGGTAGTGTTAAGTTTACATGAAATTAAGCCATCTTTATGACTTTAAAGCTTCAGTTATTGCTATCATCTCTGTATGCTGTTACACATGTTATTGTATTAGGTAGTAATGAACCCTCATGTTGCAGGTTCAGCAACAAGGCGGACACAGCGGTGACTGTGTACAGACAGAGGGTGAAGACACAGCTGACACAGGTACGGGCAACCAGGGCTTACGTCATACTCAGGGGTGGAAATAACTTTAAAATTGATAGTGTACTCCGGTATAGTGGCACATGTAATGTCACTTGCCCTGATACCTTTTCCAGTGTACCGACCGTTTTCTTGCTGATTTTTTAAATAAACAACATAATTAACATTGGAAAGTCAACTGGACACCAGTACAGTGTGATATACAAATTTGCTTGCCTGACAGAAAAAACACTGGACTCGGACGTCGGGCAAGGGGTTATTTCCACCCCTGATACTATGTACTCGACCGGGGCTGAAGGTATACTGTGTACTGGACCTAGGCACTTATACAAGTTTTCTGATTCAGTTTCGTTGGTATTTTGTGAAATAAATCTGCAATTATCCAGCATCTTAGATCTCTTTACTGTTGTTAGTGTTAATAAAAATATTCGGGACTCATTTTCAGTAGAGTAGGTTTTCCAATTTAATTCAAATTTTGCAGCTGAACAAAAGGTTTACGTATGTGATTTCGTGTGTGTTAGATGAATGTATTCAGGTACATGTGATTTGTCTGTTCCAGATTGCGAGCAAGATACGAAGTCAGGTTGCCCAGAGAAACCAGGTGACCAACAGACCAAGTGTTAGGATGCAGGCGCCTTGGACCCAGGTGTGTGAACAAGGGAGATTACTCTACCGGTACATCTCCTGACAAGGGAGATAACCTGAATGTATCCATCTGATTGAAAGTCCTCATCAGAGGGGTTGTGTGTCAGAGGCTGTGAGAAATGTACTGTTTAACAACTTTGTGTCCACAGGATTGCTTCAGTATAAAAAATGAACTCAAGAGCAGATTATTAATTTGAACAAGGGCATGAAATCAAATATGAAGAAATTGCTTGATATATGAGGCTTCTTCAATGTTTAAGCAGTTCTGTGATAAATATTTTGAAGTAAGCTTATTATGACATATAGTAGTCTTGTCTTAGCAGAAAATCTTATCTTAGCAGCAGAGTGTGAATTTAGAAGGCTGTTTTGTATTGCCATGTATTGCAAGTGACTATTTTGTTAGAAGTTTCCTGAATTCTTTAGACATCTACAAAGCAGATATCCCAGCATTCAGTTCCTGGTAATGTGACTCCCAGAATGTCCAGTAGCCATGGCAACAGTCATGCTGTTGGCGTTCCAGGAAAGAAGACAGTTTCAGCTGAGGCAGTTGGCTTGACATCCATCGTTGCTCACAGCGATAAGGTAGGTCTTCAGGAGGTGTTGTGGAAATTCCAGGTGAGACTGGGTGCACAGTATCGCATGCTTGTTGTAACCGTGTAGGGAATCTGGTGTTAGATTTGGTCCACTGCAGTCTATGTGTGTGTACGGGGTGCTGTAATGGACCAGCAGAGATGCCAACTTCTCCGATTCCGGCGGAGTTACTCCGATTTTTCCAAGGAAAAACTGTTCTCCGATTTGATGTCCAAAAACTCTGATAAATTATTCAAAATGTTTTTAAAAATAATCCTAACATCTAATTTATCGATTGTGTTGTTTACGTTGCCACTCCTCTTGTCCATTTGTAAAGGTTGGCATCCCTGGACCAGGTGGTCTCTGACTTAGCTCACTGCATGTCATTGTACCCCAAGAACATGGAGACTTTGCTCACAGTATCGAGCACTGCCTCATCTGGTCTTATTTACAGTCCTCCATCAGATAGCTGGGTGGTGGGGTAGCCTGATGGTTAAAGCGTCCGCTCGACACACTGAAGGCCCGGGTTCGATTGCCCACATGGACACAATGTGTGAAGCCCATTTCTGGTGTCACCTGCCGAGATATTGCTGGAATATTGCTTGAAACGGTGTAAAACATACTCACTCAGTCACCCATCAAACACCTGGAATACTGCTTTTTTAAAAATGCAACCAGTGTGAATCAGTTGGTCATCTCTGTGACTTTGTACTTAGCCTGTTGTTATACATGGCCTGACTGCATGGCTGTGGAGTTGTTAGGAGTGACCTCAGACATGGGGAGTTCTGTGTTAGAATAGCTCCAGATCATTGAGTGGTCATGCCTGGTGACAATTTGGGTTGATTGCCAATCATTGCACCCTGTCAACCTTGTTCACAATATTAAGGGGCGATGGGGTAGTCTAGTGGTTAAAGCGTTGGCTCGAATCCCAACATGGGTACAATGAGTGAAGCCCATTTCTGGTATCCCGTGCCGTGATATTGCTGGATTTATTTCTAAAAGCGGCGTAAAACCAAACTCAGTCAGTCACAATATTAACGACTCGATTGTCTGGTCAAGATTTGTTTAGTGGCTGCCTTCATTTTGCTGAAAACCAACATTACAGCCTCATCTGACAGTGTTTCCTCCTGATGAACAGAAGGACACGTTGATTGTTGGCAAGGTGGAACGGTTCATGTATGCTTTGGGCCTCCAAAATAATGCCTTTGTTCTGCTTTTAAAGTGAATTAAGCAATAATTGTTGCATTTAAAAGCTGAGACTGTTTTTTCCTCAGCTTTCAGAGGTGGAGGATAGAAAGGAAGGGGAGGGCAATGTGTTCACTGGTGCCACGGCCCCCTGGATGATGGAGGAAGATGAGGATACTGGGTCTGGGGAGATAGGGCCATCAGTGCCAGAGTACAATAAACACTGTAAGTATTAGGTCCTGTCTGTGTGATGGGCACTGATCGAGTCTGGGGAGATAGGGCCATCACTGCCAGAGTACAATAAACACTGTAAGTATTAGGTCCTGTCTGTGTGATGGGCACTTATAGGGAGGATACAAGGAAGAGTAACATTCAAGTGGGGATAGGTTGGTGATTTGCCTGCCAGGAGGTTGGGTACTGCGGTGGATCAGCACTAGATCCTGTGTTGACAGTTGTGTGATACACATCTAAAATGATTCCAGAGAGGATAAGTTAGTTGGGTAGTGATATGTTAATAAGGCCAGTTAGGTGTTTTTCTGGGTAGTCTGATCTCTAACTCTAACACAGACTTTATTCAGACATTTGATGTATTTAATTTATGTATTGGTGTTGGTAATACACTTTTGAAGCATTTTCACGACACACCAAAGGCCTGTGTTGGACTCTGCACATAGCATATACACATGCACCTGATTCTTGTGGGTCCTGAACATGTTGCTGGAGAACTGGAAAAAGCATGGTGAACCACCAGCTGCCCACTGTACTCCATAACCAACTGTTTAAATACATAAATCTGTTTCAACTCTGGTATAATGTAACTTACTTTTGATAGTGTCCTGTTTGTAGTGTTTCAATTATGCTGTGTTCTTCCTCAGTGGAGAGAGAAAAGAAAAAGAAGTTGCCAGCTAACCGTGTCGGTGCCAAGTTTGATCACAAGTCGCAGACATCTGCATCATGGCTGCCATCCTTTGGAGGTGTCTGGCACCAGGGGAGACGACTCAACTCTAAGTAATTCACCATCACACTAACCATACGTCAACTTTATTCACCTTTGTTCCTCAAGTGGATTCCAGGGTAGAAGGAGTCCTCGGTTAACTAGGCGTGGGATCTGAGGCAGATAATTTCAGTCATTGATTGCCTCCCCCCTCAATTATGTGCAGACAGTGAGTGAGTGAGTTTAGTTTTACGCAGCACCCAGCAATATTCCAGCTATATGGCGGCAGTCTGTAAATAAACGAGTCTGAACCAGACAATCCAGTGAGCAACAGCATGAGCATCGATCTGCGCAATTGGGAACTGATAATGTGTCAACCAAGTCAGCGAGCCTGACCACCCGATCCCGTTAGTCGCCTCTTACGACAAGCATGGGTTACTGAAGGTTCATTCTAATGTGCAGACAGCTGTGACTTTGTTGAAATGACCAAAGGCATAAAATAGATAGTAGTGTTATTCTTAATTTTTGCTGTACACAACATAGCAAAGTAGAAAGCCACTTTAGGTCTGTAGCACACTGTATTGTAGTAAGAGTCAGTAACAATGAGGAATGTGACAATCATGTTTGTGTCTAAGCTGACTGTGTGTCCTGTGTATCCAAACACTGCTCATGCTCCAAGCCGCTCTTTGACTACCGACAGCCGCGAAAATCTCAGGCAGTTAAATAGGAAAGCTGAAGGTGGGAGGTGGTTTTATACCAACACATGTTTAGAGATGGCACTTCAAACAAGGACTAGTGGGCCAGGAGTCAGGATAGTTGCCTGAGTGTGGTTTCTGTGTTAAACTGTGGTATCTCTGTAAGCTGGTATTATAAAACTGGATGTAGCTTGGACCAGTAGCAGCATGCACAAACACACACACCATAGCATGTTGCTATCCAACTTTAATACCGGTGGGGTAGCCTAATGGTTAAAGCGTTCACTTGTCAAGTTTAAGACCCAGGTCGATTCCTCACAAGGGTACAATGTGGGAAGACTATTTCTGGTGTTCCCCGCTGTGATATTGCTGAAATATTGCTAAAAGCGGCATAAAACCAAACTCACTCACTCACCCAATACTGGTGAACACAACATGTAGAGCACATTTAACCACATCATGAAATGGCTGTAATAATTTTTCCTTATCCTGACTCATGCTCTTTTGCTTGTCTTCTTCTTCTTGCGAACATAGTGGAACACTTGTATCTCCTTATTTGAAGCTCCCTTCAAAATAAAATCACTAATTGGTACTCACCACGAGTTGCTCCCCTTTGCTTCCCCTGGCGGGAAAGGTGTCGCCACCCTCTGGCCATGTGCTTCACTCTCTCCTTCTTCGCCCAGTGAGCAGGATGTGAGAGCGCCTTGTGTCTCCTTACACACCATATCCTTTGATAATCTCTTAGTTTTTACCTCTCATAGGTTACTATAGAGGTATAGCTAGTATCCTTTACTATTTGTATTGATTAATTATCGTATTTCTACTGTTTATTCACGTGTATTCGTGATTGTTCAGTTAGCTTTACGTTGATGAAAATCTGTACGATTTGTAGATTACGTTTCTCTGCCTCCGATCCACATGTAATATGCCCTAGTTGTTCTACGCCGTGTAGGCGTTTAATTCCGCGTTGCAGTTACTGCATTAATTTATCTCATTCTGCATTTAATAAATATCACCTTTTGCGTCTTAAGACGCGTGCTGCAGATAGATCACGCAAACAAGGGCAAAACATGGCAGAGAGTCCAGATATTCCATCCAGTCAGCTGCTAGCGATCGACCCTCTCCGTCTGGTGTTCTGCTAGAGACCCCTGCGGCAGAGGCGATGGGACGCAGTCCGTTACCTCGAAGAAACGACCGGCCTCCCCAGACATCTCGTCATTGCAGACCAAGTCTAAGAGGGCCTCATCGTCGCCTCAACGCAGATTGAGGACACCCAGGGCAGCGCAGACTTCCAAAGGAAATCACGAAGACAGCAAGAACTTTCTCAGCCGAGATCGTTCCAGCAGCAGAATTGGGCCTCTACGATGATCAGCCGATAATCATCCCCGACTTACGGCAGAAGAAGCGACCGGTGTCAGCGACTGTGACTTCTGCAGAGATCACCATGCAGCCTGATGCCTCTACACCGGCGTCAGACGTCATTGATGTGAACCCCATCGCAGAAAAGGCGCCGACGACTTCGCCACAGATCATCCCAGAAGACATGATCGCGGCAGATTATGAACATCATGGAGGACCACTACAAACCGCGCAAGCAGGGTCCGAGCCAACGAAGGCTCCAACGTGAACAGCACCCCAGAGGCACCCCCGCCAACGTAGCAGCCGAAGACGATGTCACCTTCGCGAAGGAAGTCCCGCACCACCTTGACGAAGGACCTAGATGTACAGCCTTCGGCGAAGGCCTTCGCTGGCGGGAGAGATCATCACCATCTTCGATTTCATCTCTAGATATGGACTCAGACCATCAGACATCACGGAAGCCTTCGCGAAGGTCATATCATCGATCCCGGACCGACGCCAAATGAAGCTTCGCGAAGGCATTCGCGAAGGACATATGATTCCAGATCTTCATCATCTAGAAGAACATCGAGGGACTGTCAAGAGCTTCGAAGCTATCAACATTCACCTCACAAGTCTCGAGAAGATCATCCCATAGACGATCTCCCTTCGTTCATCACCAGGTCGATCACCCGTCAGATCTCCACATAGAGCGCGGCGACAAGTCAACTAGATCGCCACAAACCTCATCAGATATACAGACAGCTACACGCGCGGTCGAAGAGCATCTACAAATTGTTAATGATGATGGTTTTGAGGATGATGGAGGAATCATATTTTCTGATGCAGAGATACACGGTATTGGATGGTCAATAACCTAGATCTCACATCACCATCTAAAAGTGGCAATACAGCAGACGTATTTGATGAAGGAAGATGATCCAGATGCAATCACTCTACCCCGATCGACCTGGATTAGGCAGTGCCACAGAATCTAGATGCAGCTTTCCAGAAAGCTTACGAAAGTTCAGATACCACATCTGCCCAACTTTCAAGCCAAGAAGTTCTCCACGATAACATGGACTCCTTCTACAAGGCCCAGGACATCGATGAGAACTATAAGATCATCAGCGATGTAAAGAACAAGATTTACAAGATGGATGATCGCAAGTTGGCTCATATAGAAACCATGACGAGGCGTATGTTCTTTGGGTTAAATAGATCTAGGGCGATCAATGAGACTCTTATTACTAGATTCGGGATTCCCGACGGCCGGAAGATGATAGAATGATTTATTCTGCCTTACTTATGCAAAAGAAAGATCAGCAGTTTTTAACGGATCATCTTACATCTGTTTCAGCAGCACTGACCTTAGCTCGCGTCGTCAAGGCCTCCTCGCCTCCTGTAATTGGGGAGAACTTTACAGCCCACTTTATACAGCCCGTGGTCGACAACATCCATCTTTGACGGAGAAATCGACAAAGTCGCCAAGGAAGTCTCTAAGGATTCCAGGGAAGTCCTTATGATTAGATCGATGGACACACTAGCCAAGCGTCATTCGTCAGACTTCACAGAGATACTCAGGCAGATCTAAGTTCACGGGCCTACAAAGAGCAAGAGACAGGAAGATAGCCAGCTCTAGAGGTAAAGATTCTTTTAAATTGCGCCCATACGGCAACTATAGAGGAGGATCAGGAAGAGGCAGGACACCCAGAGGTTCCCGCAATTATAGACGCTGAAACACAGGTTCGGAACGACTGGAGTCTTCCACCCCCAGCCGTTCCAGTACAGCCAGCTCAAGTGGGTGGACGCCTCCAACTACACTGGGAAAACTGGGGAATATTGCAAGACCTTTACGTCTCCAACATTCTTCAACACGGATTTCGTATCCCTTTACAGGCCAAGCCTCCGCTGACAATCAAACCCCCCAAGTTCGATTTACAAGCGCAACAACTACCAAAGATAAGAGAGGCTGTTTCATCACTCCTATCCAAACAGGCCATAGAAGTAATAGATCAAGCAAACGTCGAACCAGGTTGGTTAGTAAACTTACGCAAGTCGGACCTAGTACCATCGCAAGACCTGCAGTTCCTAGGTATTCGATTCATCACAAATCGCAACCGTATTTTGGTACCAGAAGACCGTTGGCTCAAGATACAGCAGACCATTCCACCAGCTCTACTCTCTCCGTTACCACTGCGACAATGGCAGAGCCTACTAGGTCTTCTCACATCAGCCCAAGACATGACTGTCACAGGCAGATTACAGTTACGTCCCCTACAGGTCCTCATCAACGCACATCTCAACGATGTACAACCATTCAGTCTACCGAAACATCTCAGACCGCATCTACTATGGTGGACCAAGAAATCGAATGTCTGCGAAGGGATTTGTTTAGCAGAGCAGGAATACAAAACCCATCTGTATGTAGATCGCAGCGTCACTCCAAGGTTGGGGAGCTCATCTCACCAACCACACGATATCAGGGTTATGGAATCAGCAAGAATGCAAACTCCATATAAACAGTCTAGAAATGAAAGCTGTAATCAACGCCATTCTACATTGGAGCACATTTCTACAAAATGCGCCCTAATGATCCATACAGACAATTCGACAGTGGCGTTCTACATAAACAAGCAAGGCTCAACGAGATCGATGAACCTTTTGAACCTAAGCTTTCAACTGTTCGATTTAATACAAGATCTAAATCTACATGTCAGAGCAGTGCATTCCGGAGCCAGAAATATACTAGCAGCAGGCGGCTCTCTCTCGGCCTCATACCACCATCAACGACAGAGTGGATGATCAACAGGGAAATTTTGCACAGATAATCAAGCAATTAGGAGCGCGCTTAATAGACCTATTCGCCACGCGATTCAACAATCAGCTACCGACATTCGTGTCACCAGTCCCAGACCCCCAAGCTTGGGCAACGGACGCTCTAAGTCTTTCATGGGAAGGCCTCAATGCGTCGCAGCGTTCCGCCGCCAGCAATAATACCTCAAGTATTACAGAAAATCAGACAAACACAGAGCCTACAACTCACTTTGGTCGGCCCTACTGGCCGGCCAGAGCGTGGTTTCCCATACTAATTCAAGAAATCGGTCAACCAACACTGGAGCTACCCAAGCCGCGCAAACCTGTTAATTCATCCTCACACCAAACAAGTGCACGGAAACCCAGCAATGTTCCAACTACACGTATGGACTGTATACAAATGTGTTTAAACAAGAGAGGATATTCTGCCAGGGCGGCAAAAGCAGTCACGCTTGCCTTACGTTACTCAACTCGTAACTTGTACAATGCGACGACAAGTGGCACAGTTTCGAAAATTATGCAACAAAGAAAGGGTTTACAGCAAGAGAGGCTTCACAACCTCAAGTGGCAGACTATTTGTGTTACCTACGCCAAAACAAACATTTAAAAGGTTCAACGATATCAACATATCTTGCCGCGCTTAGTTCTGTAATCACCATGAGAACGGGTGTCAAATTGACAAGATCTCCAGAGTTACTGGCCTTACTACGAGCTTTCCGATTGGAGGACCAAAAGCGGAAGTTCCACGCCCCAGCTTGGGATCTGAATGTAGTGTTACAACACCTCACGAGTGAGGTCTATGAACCTTTGGAATCGACAAACTTTGAATTTCTCTCACAGAAAACACTGTTTCTGCTATCGCTAGCCACAGCAAGAATGTCTGAAATTCACGCTCTGGATTACGAGAGGATACAGTTTGATGACAATCATAACACAGCGCACCTCGGATTAAGATGGGATTTCATCGCAAAAAATCAACTGCCAGGTCAACCAGACAGATTATTCCACATCCCGGCGCTATCCTCTATTCTCGGATCAGAAGATACACAAGACCTATCACTGTGTCCGGTAAGAGCGCTCAAAGTTTATTTACGACGATCCAAAACAAGGAGAAGATTTTCAAACGTTTATTCATCCCCTTATCGCCACGAATCAAACAGAAGTGTCACGGACCACAATATCTATTTGGATAAGGACTGTCATTCTCCGTGCCTACAAGGCAGCAGGCTTGAACCCACCAACAGCATCAAATCCACATGAGATCAGGGCACTGGCCTCTACCCTCGCCTCTACACGGTAACTGTTCCTTGAACACGCATTATGGAAGGATGCTATTGGAAATCTAACATGGTATTTGCTAATCACTACCTGAGAGACATCACTACAGAAGATGTCTCTGGCATTCACCATTCGGACCACTGGTCCTCGCCAGCAACTGACAGTCCCTCGTGAGGCGTTAAAATATTATCCTCACAAGATTAATATGTATTTTATACATACTCATCTAGCTTATAACTCTCACGGAGTTTTAGGGCTATGTATATATGTTCAGCTTAAGTATTCAACCTTAAGCATATACTTTGGTATAGTCAATTTCAGTGCCTCTATCAGAGTCACCTATATATATATATATAATTTATATGTATTGTTCAATATATTCATAATGTAATTCCCTTTAATGGCTTTATATAACCTATGGTTTCTTTATACAGGAAACATCCTAAATCTAAGCCTTCATGAAGTTCCCGTGAGGGGATATTACAGTATATCTATACAAAATCACTAATTATAAATCCAAAGTATTATGTGTACCCACCTCCGTCCGTAGAGGATGCTACAAGCAAAAGAGCATGAGTCAGGATAAGGAAAATATGTAATTTTAGAGTAAAATTGATATTTTATACTTATCCTGACTCATGAGGTTAGCTTCCTCCCATCCTCCCCACATAACACTTTGGATTTCCCTGTAAATTCAAGTGTTGGGCTCGCTAAATCAGGAGAGAGTGGAGCACATGGCCAGAGGGTGGCGACACCTTTCCCGCCAGGGGAAGCAAAGGGGAGCAACTCGTGGTGAGTACCAATTAGTGATTTTATTTTGAAGGGAGCTTCAAATAAGGAGATACAAGTGTTCCACTATGTTCGCAAGAAGAAGAAGACAAGCAAAAGAGCATGAGTCAGGATAAGTATAAAATATCAATTTTACTCTAAAAATTACATTTTCTGACAGAAATACTACATCCACTCACATTACCCTGACTAACATCTATGCTGTCGACTTACAGGATCCAGTTCGAGAGGAGGACTGGTGGAAAGGCAATGCTGGCAAGACCGGACACCTCTCAGTTGCCACGCCAACCAGAAACTGTGATACCCTACAAACGGAAGAAGAGAGAGTCGGAAACAAACACATCCACAGGAATACAGCTCATCTCCTCACCACTGGTTGAACAAGCTGATCCATACACTGGGCATCAATACCATGACAGCGTTGCCAGGGTGATACCTGTCTCATCTTCCTTTGTACAGCTGCCGGGGGTCAGTTTCCCTGTATCTGCAGCTGCAGATGGTGGCGGAACAAGCAGTGCTGATCAATGGGAGCAGGAAGCGGAGACGGTGAAGGTCACTCCACGTGTCAGCAGGACAGAAACATTGGCCTTTGACAACGTGAACAGTAGGGTTGAAATCAGGAGCAAGGATGAGGGACCATATCAAGGGGGAAAGGATGTACAGGTTTCTAACACAGCACATGATAGCATACAGAGAACTTTGGTCAGTAATCAGACCTGTTCACATGATTTACAGCTATCAGTTGGATCATCCTCAGTGTCATTGTTCCCAGTATCTGTGAAGAATCAGCCTGTAGGACGGGCTTCAGATGACAAGCCCCCAATAAAGAGAGGTCCATCTCCTGCTGATTTAGTTCCATACAAACGTAAGAAGAGGCCAGTGAGAGTGACAGAACCAAGCAAAACTATGCACAGTGATGTGGGTCACATGTTCACCCAGGCCTGTGATCACGCCTTCACCCACCAGACACAAGGAAGTCAGCAGGGGTACTCAGGCTACAAGAACACCAACCTACCTCCACCTTCTGTACGACCCATGACTCCACCTCCTCACAGACACTATATGACTCCCTATGGTGGAACCAACACCCAGTCCTATCCTGGCCACAGTGTGAACAATGGTTACGCATACAGACATCAGGTTGTTAGGGGAGGCAACTTTCACAGTAACATGCCTCCGGTACAACCAGGGCTTCAACATAATGGCACATTGCCTCATTCTTCCCATACAAGCCTACACCAGATTTATATGTCTGCCAGACTGCCAGTACAGGCTCCTACTGCTGTTGGTTCCTCAGCACCAAATACATCCTATGGTGGACTTCAACATACCTTTGTCAGACCAACAGCCCAGGCTATTCTACAGGGTTCCTCAGCACCAAGTACATCCTATGGTGGACCTCAACATACCTATATCAGACCAACAGCCCAAGCGGTTCTACAGGGTTCCTCAGCACCAAGTACATCTCAAGGGAATGGGATGAACTTGTTTCAAAGCATCAGTGCGGCAGTGAGACTGCCTCATTAAACCAGCTATTGACTGAGTGAACACTGTAAGTGAACCAAACGTTGTCAGTTCTGAAAATGTTAATAAATATTGTTTTCCGTTAAATGTTTGTGCCGCTTAATTTAGCAAAATAAGGATGAAAGATGTGGTAGCCCTGGTGTTGAAGTTTTTGTTTAATTCGGTTTTCAATTCAGATATGCACAACAGTTTACATGTATACTACTACAAGCAAGTACAGGAACACATAATACTGTGTAAATGTTTCTGTGTAGGTCAATCTGACAGTAAAGTTGTAATGTGATAGAATGTCTTCATGATGCTCGTGGAACATTGCAGCTGAAACTCTGAAGGAACAAATTGTTGTTATATTGTGGTAACTGTCAAAATGGGGAAAACGTGTAGATTGCAATGGTGTTCTGGTTTTACTTTGCCCAACAATATGTAGCATAACCATATGAATGGAAATTTCACTGATATTCTGTATAGGCCTGAGATTGTGGGACCACTTGTCATTCCTTCACTAACTTCATTGTGCCATGTGCTGAGCAGTGAAACAAGGTCACATTGGCAATGGATTGTTACTGACGTTCTTACCCAGAGGAGCCTTGCTAAAGTTCCCCTGATCTTGTCCCGCTTGAACATGCATCTGACATGTGTCGTGGCTTTCTTGGATATCATGAGTTGTTGTTTTTTGTTTTGGGTTGGTTTTTTTTGTGTGTGTTTTGTTTACCTTTTCTTGTTTTTTGGTGTGCACGCACAAGACAAACATATTCTAAACAATTACTGAACTTGGTACTCTTCCGACTGATATGAATTCTAAATAAACGGTCTTGTCTAACAAACATGTTAAACATGTTTCATTCCACAACTCTCTTCCCACCCCCAAAACCGTAAGAAATGACCAATGCCCTAATAATTTAAAGATATATAAAAATAACTGATTTTAATCAAGAAAACATAGAACTGTATCATTTCTTCATGCCTTTTGCCCTGCCTTTTTGTGTTCAGTTTTCGTGAGGGGAGGTAATCACGGACTGTCACGTGGTCGTACACTGCAGGCTGAGTGGATGACACATACATGCTGCTAGTACTACATAGTATACTCTGGTTATAATGCCACCGTTTGTCCAGGAGAAAATATGGCATTATAACCAGGTAGGACAGTTAGCAGTGGCCCTATGCAATCAACAAGGTGACTGAGGTGATGTCGCCTGCCCAGCATCTAGGGGCTGTAGGTGACTTGTTGTAGGTGGCAGGATGTGGATTGTCACGTGTGTTATCCTATCTGGGATTACAAAACTTAAAGCTTTAATGAGTTTGGTCAATTAAATTGAGTCATGTCACTTAACCAATTAAGGTATGTATGCTACATACAGCCAGTGCAATTGGCACTATAACAAGGGAAAAATTACTTTTTGTTCCAAATACCATTGACATATGGCATTATATCCAGTTTGGCTTTATGACCAGGGTATTATATAGACAGGAAATCCGTTCTGGCAAAAACATGGCATTATATCCAGGGTGACATTATAACCAGGCTGCACTGTACTACCAATATTGCCAAGATGTGTCATTTATCGATATGATTTTACTGCCCAATGTCTCTTTCAATGAAACCTCAACATAATTTCAAACCAGACCAGGACGCTTGACGTCAAATAAATAAAATAAATAATAATTGCTTTGTATAGCCCCTATTTCCAGCGATATGCAGCTGCTCAATGGTGCTTTACACGTTACAGTTCAATCACTAGATGAGAAAAGAAATGTTTTGAGTTTTCTCGTAAAAGTTGGGAGAGAGTCACTGTTCCTGATGTCAAGGGGGACCGTGTTCCACAGGGAGGGAGCTACAACCGAGAAGGCACGATCTCCAGCCTTTGTTGATGTTGATGGAACAACCAGTTTCTCCTTCGGGGCAGAACGTTAGTTTCTAGATGGGGGGTAGACCGATAGCAGGTCCTTTAAATAAGTAGGTGATGACTCAACATAGCATTGTACATCAAGACGAGCAACTTGAAACTAACCCGATGTCTGATGGGCACCTTCTAATGACACCTTCACAGACCCTTGCGGCGTTCTGTCAATATATCTACATCTGTTCATATCACACACGTCAGACCTGTACTATCCTAAATATCATGACACAAGGTCCGTCAAATACTTGATACATTCTTTTCTTATTGAGTTTATTGATTAATGGCATACTCTTCATCACCTCATGTCAAGAGTTATGGGATAACTTTCCCTGTGACTGACTTTCTGCCACCATGAGTTAACCACTGACTGCTGTCTATGTGGGAAGCATGTATCCTTATATCTCATCTAGTAAAGCAAGTCCATGTCCTTCACGTTTCTGCTTGATGTTCGAAGAGAATGGTTTCAGAGACGAACGGTGTCATCTCCTGAATATGCCACAGTCCTGTTTTCACCACTGTTTTAGCAAAGTAAACATTTTTAGCTTATTAGGAAATATACCCAAAGTTTAAGAAGCTTGTATCAAGAATTTATTATAGCATATAATGGTTTTCTCCTTTCTGCTTCACATTGAAAGAAATCCCACACCTGCAAAATGAACCATATCAAGTTCTTGACTGGCATTGTGTGAGGATATTGAAGATAGTACGTCTGAGAGGGGTACATGTTATTTCGTGACCCAGAACGTTTGTTTGTTGTTTAACGTGACCCCCGGCAATATTTCAGCTATATGGTGATGGTCTGTAAATAATTGAAGGCAGTTCAGTGTTTTGACATCATTAGTATCTACGATGACATGTGTCAACTTAGTCAGCGAGCCAGACTATCTGGTCACATGACTCGCCTCCTACAAGAATGAATTGCCTGTGTGTAGATTTTAGGCGTTTTTAACATTGATGAACCTACGGGTAATGTGCTGACACAGGGAAGATTATGTTTGGAAGGATGCTTGGGAAAGTACGAACCTCTTCCTGCTTCTAAAACAGACTGTTCTGTTGCTGCATCAAATGATAACACAGAAACAAATGTTTAAAAAAAAATATTTCAATATATTCTATATGCACAAATATTTTTATACAAGATACTCAATATTAACAGACTTTGATCCGAAGTAAATATAAATCAATTATACGCTTGTTTGTTAGCAACGGCAAAATGACACATTTACTCACATCAAGGCCTGAGGGCCTTTCAAATGTCATTAAAATATAGCGTTCTCAACATTTAGAACGTTGATAAGACTGTCTCTTTCTTGTGAACATTTAGCGGAGGGGGAATATCACTGTTGCAAATGTCAGTCACAAGATAGTCCGAAGCAAAGGGATTTCTCATCAAATCATTTGAGAATTATTCCTTGAATCGCTGTGTTGAAGAGAAATAATTCGTCACACATTCGTCACATGCCAGCAAGTAGTGATTTACCTGACACTTAGGTGTGCTCACAGTGCATCGTGATGCAGGTCGATACTGTCAACACAAACACTCCTACAACACAACACAAACTCTCCTACAACACAACACAAACTCTCCAAGAACATAACACAAATGTGTTGAGGTGGGTTGTCAACGAAGTCATGACAATAAAGTGTAAGCAAACAATCCGAGATGACGGTAACATTATGGCATTCTGAATGTACCTGAGACATGCTTTGGTTGGACATGCACCTTCCACAAGTTCACCTCCAGGAGTACGCTTACCAAGACCTAACTACACCAATGTCTGTCTCCTCAATGTGTGTGTGTTGCCTGCAAAATCACCACCAGTCGTACCACTTTCCAGGAACTAAATACATCCATGTCAACCTCATCAATGTCTGTGTCCCCTACAACTTCACCTCCAGTCGTACCACTTTCCAGGACCTAAATACATCCATGTCAACCTCATCAATGTCTGTGTCCCCTACAACTTCACCTCCAGCCGTACCACTTTCCAGGACCTAAATACATCCATGTCAACCTCATCAATGTCTGTGTCCCCTACAACTTCTCCTCCGACCGTACTCCCTCCAACACCTGGTAGATGCCCTCCTCCATCTGATTCAGCTGGATGTAGTCGCCTTCATCTTCCAGTATCCTTTCAAAGTCGCGTGATAGAATGTCAAAGGTCGGTCGAGATGTATCTGAGTCATTCCAACACCTTGACATGATGGCGTATCTGGCAACAACAAAAGTACAACTATATGGATGCAAAGTGAAACGAAACACAAACAGGCATACCTGTCAGACAAGAAAAATACACAGGCTTCGAAATTTAGGTGAATACTCTCTACTGATAAAACCAGAGTAATGTGATTTATTAAATTAAAACCTCAGCCACCCCACAATCAACAATATAAAAAAAAATGCAAGATGAAAAAAACCCACTTATTTACAAGACGTTTAGTTCCGATATAAGGCTTGGGGACAAACTGTACCTAATGTCAGGAATGACAAAATGCAATACAATTTCACGTTTATCTCTACCGCACACAAATAGCATGCCATTATTCAAAGCTTTCTTTATAGTTCTTCCCTAATAACGGCTACTCCAGATCAGAATAACATGATGATGTCTCTCAAGTAATTTTCTCACTAATCAGACCTTTGTCTTTGTGTTGTTTGAACTACACAAGCGGTTTCTATAAAGACTGGAACTACTCTGAATTTCTAATACTCACGAATACTAACAACACTACTTCCAATGCACAGGACTGAGGTCCGTTCAATACTTCCTAACGACATTATCTGTCTTACACTCTGGAGCCCGGTCAACATTAGATGTATACTCACAGGTCCTTGTTGCACTGTGGCGGACAAACCAGCTTCTTGCCCTCGAGAACTGACGTCATGACCTGTTGCCCTGACATGCCTGGATAGGGGCTGGACCCTGCAGACACATGATAGACAAAACATAAGCACAGGGCCCGGTATACTTTTTTCTTTTTCTTTGTTTAACGCCGCACTCAGCAATATTCCAGCTACACCGCGGCGGTCTGACAATAATCGACTCTGGACCAGACACTTTTATACTTACTTATTGGTATCTGAATCTGGGGAAGCACCAAATATCACCCTTTCATTTGAGTCTAATTGAAAATGTGCTTTCAAATCTTTACTGCTAATAGGGGGTATTCTGTGGCAGCTACTGGCTGTCCAACCGATTGTGTCAAAATCATTGTCTATCTCGCTGCCATTGGAAAAATTCATTTGGTTGTTTGCTTACCGTCGCACTCAGCAATATTCCAGCTATATGGCAGGGTCTGTAAATAATCGAGTCTGGACCAGACAATTCAGTGATCAAAAGCATGAGCATCGATCTAAGCAATAATTTATTGGGATACGATGACACGTGTCAACTACGTCAGCTGGCATGACCACCTGATCCCTTGGGATCTTAGGCTTGGTTGCTGAAGACCAAATCTAACTCGGATCTTAAGAACAAGCACAAAAGGATCTTGTCGTCAGATTTCATTGATCTGCAAAGACGGAGATGATCACTATCCATCGTAGGTTATTACAATACTGACATTAATCTGGAATATTGCCAATCAACGACAAGAAGAAAACCCATCAACACCTGTATGGCATAATTATCCTTTACGTAGTGGCCGCAGTAATTTTTATGACAATGGCATATAAATACTCAAGGCTTTGCAGACGAACCAGAGGTGGATGTCAATAACACGAGCAACGGTTGGTGAGGACCTATTTCACCCTGAACCCACCTGTGATACTTCTATGCAACATGATGCACTTATACAAAAAATCTGTTTGCCTGGTTGATGATGATGAGGTTGTTGACAACGATGATGATGGTTACCTACCTAGCGTCACGATCTCCCACAGCAGAACACCAAACGACCATACATCCGACTTGGACGTGTGAACAGAATCTCGCAGACTCTCGGGGGCCATCCAACGGATCGGGAGCGGACCCTTTGGGAGTAAACAAGAAGGTGAGTGGGTGAGTGACTTCTCGTGTGAGCTTACCGTCCCTTTCAGCAACATTATGCGTTGTTGGATCACAATGCAATTTAGTACCATACGAATTATGACAATCATACATGGCCGCTTCGTCAGGATCAATGGGAAAATTGTCTCCAACCCGTAAGTGTCAATGAAGATTAAAAATAGCAAGGCATGTCAACATATCACACAGAATCTGCAGACAGAAAGGCAGAAATACATGTCGATGTTTTAGACTTAATCAAATGTGAATGCTAATGATATTTAATGTAAGTGACACGAGGAAGAGCCTATATATATATCTGTTAAGTGGAATCTTATCTTTGAAGATGAATTCACGGTGGTACACGAACATCTGTTTGTAGTTTTACAGTGCCTACAATCTTGCCTTCTAATGCCACTTTCTAATTGCTTCGACAGGATAACAACCAACCTTGTTTGTTCTCTCGTAGACATCAGCTCCTTCAACGTCTCGGGCGAGACCGAAGTCCGAGACTTTACACACGTGTTTCCGGTCTATGAGAACGTTCCTCGCCGCTACGTCCCGGTGAATTATCTGTGCAGAAATATGAACGTAAAGACATGCTAAATAATATGAAAACCAAACTTTAACACGTGATGGATTTAAAAAGAATAACGTCGTTAAATAAGTATCCCTATAAAAGGTGACAACGTTTTAATTTGGCATTGACTGGAAATTAAACACAGAATGAAAACACTGAATAAGACTTTTCCTGCCGGCTGTTCAGATAGAAACATATTTTCACGATGCACAAATCCCAAATGGATTTCCCAAAGTGGAGTATGTAAGAAAATATACGAAGTCAGATTCCAACTAAATCTGTATATCATAACTCGGTTCTATTATTGTTTGGTTTAATTTCAATATATAACTGTGTGCGAAAACAACTGGTAGCATGAATTAACGTGCAGGAATTCTGTGCAGTGTGATTATGTCATTTAAGAAATAACCTTCGTCAGTGAATGCGTCAAGGGCAGATTTATATCAGAGATAGATCAGAGATACCATGTTCCTGGAATAGCGTGCATACTCTGGTGGTCATGGACGTTTGACACTTTGAGTAATGTTTACCGGGCAGAAGGGGACATAACTGCCTGATTTATCTGAATATGCAGGTGTACGAGATTTACCTTCTGTGCAGCTACATGCGCCATTCCCCGGGCTATCTGAAGGGCAAAGGACAACATATCTTTAGGGGTCACGAAGGACTCCTCTTTTGGCGTTTGCTCAGTAGTTTTCTCAGGTCGACGTTTTCTTAAGTAGGTGAGAAGGTCGCCGCCATTGACGTACTCCATGACCATCAGAGCTGGGTCTGAAAGAAAGATTTTGTAGAGGTGGGTCATTGGTGGTTGGAGGTTACCAATGTACATGGTTCATTGGATGTTGGTGATAAACTCTTTAGATGGGTCCCTGGAGTCAGGGTATAACCCTGTAGGCGGGCCATTTCAGGCCGTGGGGTTAAAGTGTGTAGGTGGGTTACTCTAGGTCAGAGTTTAACTCCATTGACGTTCAGGTAGGGGGGTAAGTTTGTGAACGAGTAGGTGGGTGTCTGGTGTGACATAGCACATATGAGATCGAAGTTAAGACTTATGATTTATGATTTTGGGAGATCGGAGGGTCATATTCGGGTGTTAATCCTCAACATAGGTCAGAACGGGTGATTGGAGACGGAGGGTTTAAGTGATTGAGAAATCAGAAATCGTGTTGTGAGTGAGTGAGTTTCGTTTTACGCCGCACTCAGTGACATTCAGGCTATATGGCGGCGGTCTGTAAATAACCGGGTCTGGACCACACAATCCAGTGATCAACAGCATGAGCATCAATCAGAAATTGTGTATATAGGGTGAGGAAATACTGTGTTGTTGTGAGACAGACGACGCATTATCGGAGATTGCCAGTTGTCACAAGGTGAGTTACTGATAGTCGGTTAACATTGGGAATACACATAATCGGGAAGTATACAAATGTCCATCAACTGGACCACTGTATAGGCTGAACTACTTCACGCCTTGCACACCAGGTGAGTGAGTGAGTGACTGACCACTTGCGGTGACACAGCCGAGGTAGGCTACGACGTTCGGGTGAGTGGGCAGCTTACGGACAATGGTCAGTTCGTGGTAGAAGTCTTCCTTCATAGCGTCAGTGGCGGTCTCTGTAACAACACGTGGCCAGTGTAGATACATCCGTCGTAAACACATGCAGTAACGGGTCGGGTTTGATGAATTACAATGAGATTTAACTTCAAATGAACTGACATACAGTCACTGTGACAATGAGTTATCAAAAAGCCCCGTTATCACAGCAGGCCTCAGTGAGGTCGATGATCGTGGGTTCGAATCCATATTTCGCTTTTACAGTGCTTCTGGGTTTGATAGCACCGAGCTCGTTGGTTTCACCTAACAGGAAAACGCTTTATACCTTTACGCTTTCCTCGACCATTACCTGTAATACTTAAATTACTGATCAAAGCGGTATAAAACCCTGTGGACCCACTCACTTATGACTTGATCATTTATTAACCTGTTTCTCACCTTTGACCATCTTGACCGCAACCTCCTCCCACTTGCCAGTTTTGCTGATGCTGAGGGCTTCTGCCATGACCACACGTCCGAATTTCCCCTCCCCTAAGGAGTTGAGGAACCTCAGTCTACCCCGGGGAAACTCGTCACCCGTGGGGGACAACTCCGAGTAAATGTGAGCCTGTTGAGAAGGAAGCTGCCGTTATTCCAATACAATATATTCTCCTCGTGGAGGCACATGTGTTGTGTTTAATAATAATACATGTAATGCAGCTATACTACCCGTGTCAATTACATCACAATAACCACGTTTTGTTGGATTTATGTCAGCTACCATTAAACATAAGTGTATACTGTGATTGGATTCACTTATCATTTCTTTGAAAAGCTTGGAAGTGACGGCAATACGGTTATTGCGGCGGTCGCAGTAGAGTGGCTTGAGATTAAACAATATCGACACTTTCAGTGAGTGAGTGAGTTTAGTTTTACGCCGCATTCAGCAATATTCCAGCTATATGGCGGAGGTATGTTAATAATCGAGTCTGGACTAGACAATCCAGTGGTCATCTGCATGAGTATCGATCTATGCAACTGGGATACGATGACATGTGTCGACCAAGTCAGCCAGCCTGACCACCCGATCCCGTTAGTCGCCTCTGACGACAAGCATGGGTTACCGAATATGAAATCTAACCCGGATCTTCACGGGTTCGACATTTTCAGAACATCACTAGACAGTCACAGTCACACACACATCTCCCACTCACCTCATCGTCATTGACGCTGTATGCCGAATTGTAGAAGCCTGACGTGGGTGATGGTTTCGGTTTGGGGATGTCAATCAGTTCCTTTATGAAAACAAGGTGCATTTGCTTGAATAATTAAAGCAATAAACGCCATTGCTATATACATATTACGCAGACTTTATATATGCTTTCTCCAGTCTGTGGCTTGATATTGTGGAATGAACACAAAAGGTTCAGGAGAGTTGCGTCCCTTTCCCTACCGGGATACGCAGGTAGTGTATTCAAATCTACAAAACGACTGGTTTGTTAGCTCTATACTGAAACTATTCTGTCTCCAAACTCCGCTGAACGTTCTGTTCAGAGCCAGACAATGTACTGCAATCCAACTAAGTCGTCAGTGACTTCTTCAAGCATTTTAATCTCATGTCCAAATTGATAACAATTCAATATTCAATGGTTATAAACCGTCAGCATTTCGACTTTATCGTCATATGATCGACAGATATCAGCAGCAAAGTCAACTGACTGGTAAAACATGATGTCCCCTTGAATCACCCAAACTGTCACTTCAATTAATTACAAAAGTAGCAATGATGACTCAGTCATACTATATGCAGAACTTCACTTAAATAACAATGTTGCCTTACCCTCTCTCTGTTGCCCCGACGTCTGCAGACGATGACGACAATGACAACGACGATAGCAACGATGACAACGGTGATACCAACACCAAGGCCTATAGCAACTACATTGTTGCCTCCGGTGTTAGCGGCGGGTGGTTGAGTTGATGAACCTGCAACAGGGGAGACTACTCTAACTGCAGATGGACAGAGAAACCCGATGCCGGAAGTGAAACTGTTACGTACATTCAGACAATGCTACTAATGTACTCTTGAGCAACAAAAGACATGGCACTGTCTAGAGGGTTATGAGCGCTGATTTCCTGTATCCTAGATGTACTCATGGGTTTCGGAATGACAAATCTTGGGCGGTGAGGTAGCCGAGTGGTTGCATCTTCGCTCGTCACGCAGAAGGCCAGTGTTCCATTCCCGACATGGTTACACTAAGTAAAGTCCATATCTTGTGTGCCATACCTTTATATTGCTGGAAGCTTGCTGTTAGCGACATTAAACCATACTCATCAACTAGAAACTAAAGTATGTCCATCCAAACAGCCAAGCTAAGTTTTAACTGCTATAAGCGGCGGTAAATCGATCTCACTCACTCACTTGTCACAACGTAAAATGTAAAGCTCTTAAAGTTTCTAAAATAGATCCATGTTATCCACATTTGGATGACGACGAGTCTAGTTTCCTTGGTAGAATACGCTACCCTGCAGTAAAGGCGCAACCTACACATTGAACAAGGCGGCGCTGACTGCCCATTCTCGTTCAGCATCTATTGCTAAAGTGTATATATCTACTTGTATCTGCTGAACAAGTATGGTGTGAAGTTACTAAGACAATATAGTGCAGATAGATACTATAAAGAGCTATATGCTATCCATCTACTGTCATATTATATCGCCCGGGATTGTTTTTACCAAGTGTCATTACTCATTAGTGAAAAAAAGAAGTTTTTTCCGCCAATTGTTACAAACTTTGTGAAAAAAGCCCATTTGACTGTATCACATATACTTTTCAAACCAAGTCGGGGATCAAGAAATACAAAGACGTGTTGTGTGACGGGAACTGGCGGATTGGAGACACGGATTTATAAAAAAAGTGACTTAGTGTAAGTTGACAATCAACAAAACTTGGTAGCGGTATACTGTGAGTGTGCAAAAGAGCCGGACAACAGGAGTGTGCAGTACAAAAATCAAGGGTTCAAATAAAATGGTTTTGTTGCCACGATAGTCATTCTACCATTCGTACAATTTGACATAGTCTGAGTCGACCTCCTAATGACAACCTGAGCGAGTACTGTCCACTCCTCTTGCTGCGCCTACCCCAGTTAGTGGGTGTTGTCTTCCGACCATGTGCCATGTGCACTTTGGAGGTAAAGGTCAGGGCTTACGGTTGTCAGTTGCATTCTGATGACAGGCTGAAGGTGGTTACGACACATGCATCATGGACATGAACGTTGTCGGCGTGCACATGGCGTGAACCTGCCCCATATCATGGTAGACCCGCCTCCAAACCTGTCAGGTTCGCATGGCGCTCGTCAGGACGCCTTCACGTCAAATGCTAACCAGAAAGCGATGGCTGTTTCTGGATTTATCTCTAAACAAAATGTTACAACATCGGTTATTCCCCAGTATCTTGGTTTTCAATACCTTTGGCGTCTAGCTGAAATGAGTCAATTCCTTGACATCGTACAACATGTGGCTGCCGAGCATGCGCACTATTTATGCTGGTTCTGATTTCTGGTGGTCTGGCCAGTAACTCAAGTGGCTTGGCAAGTGGGCATTACTTTGATTGACTGTTTGGCTCGATTTAGGCGGAATTTCAACTATGGGCGGTAATGTTGACCCAGGGCGACCTACGCGGGACCGGTCATTCATATTTTGTTTCTGCATAAACCTCTCCTGGAGTCGACAAATCACAGAGTGTGACATATTTAACACTCACGGTCTATGTGCAAATGTGTTATGCGTTTTGGTTCCGAAATCGTTAAATCTGGTCGTTCTTTTGTTTACGTCAATTACGTCATGATCCCCTACTTAATTTTGAGAGTATATGATATTAACATGTTGTTTCTTCTAGAGTGTTTATCTGGCAAGGATGCAGGTTTGTAGTGACTGTCAATGTAACTTGTAACAAATACTGCCAAAATATACATAGCCATATGAATTTATATGTTTCGCAATAGACAGTATTCTTAATCCACGTGGTATCGATTTCTTACCCATAACACTTGAAACCGGAAGACACGTGACCATGTCTGCCTGCAGGAGAAAATCCACCATGCATTCGCACCGGAAGGAGCCGAAATAGTTGACGCATGTCTGATCACACTGGTGATCAACCTTGCATTGGTTGACATCTACTGGGGCGGCAGTGGTCGCTAGAGTAAATAGGTTCTTTGGCGTCACTCGAGGACCCTAACCACGCCCTAACCCCGTCCTAACCAAAGCCCAACCACGCCCTTACCCCGTCCTAACCACGCCCTAACCAAACCCTAACTACGCCCTAACCCCGTCCTAACCACGCCCTAGCCACGCCCTAACCAAACCCTTACCACGCCCTAACCCCGTCCTAACCAAAGCCCAACCACGCCCTTACCCCGTCCTAACCACGCCCTAACCAAACCCTAACTACGCCCTAACCCCGTCCTAACCACGCCCTAACCCCGTCCTAACCACGCCCTAACCAAACCCTTACCACGCCCTAACCCCGTCCTAACCACGCCCTAACCAAACCCTAACCACGCCCTAACCACACCCCAGCACTAACAATTTCAGAAGGACGGACTATGTCCCACACTTTTCAGCCCATTTTCGTCTAGATCTTATTTCATTTCGTTACTAATCAGCTTTCTGCAAGATTTGTTAACTTGCACAGCGTTATATCTGAAACTGCTCATGTTCCTGCGTCGTGTACTTCCGGCTCTCTGTCTCGGGGTGGCAAGCTTCATATTAGCATGTTGATGACATAGGACTGCAAAACGACCGTGACTGGAATTTGATCTTGTATTGAACATCTTTTTTCCAAATACCGCCGTAATTAAGTTCGTGATTTGGTAACATTTGCCTCCCATTCGTGACCCATTCGTACTTTTCCATAACACGCCAAATAGCGACTCGTGCCCCTCTAGAAGGATTTCTGATTTGCATAATATATACATCAGTACTAGTTCAAACAAGAACGACAACTCTATTTCGTGGTGACGAATGATGTTCCTCCATTTGTTCACAGTAAGGAGTAATAAAGTATATAGTCTGTGACTACCTCTACTGTAAAACTACGAGAGTTGATCTAATCTTGAAGGACACTCTGTGGTACAGCGTGGTCAGGTTGTTAAGATCTCTGTCAGGGGTCAGGGGTCAGGGGTCAAGGTAGGAGTCTACGAGTGTCACCTGGACATGTTGCTCGTGTTACGACTGAGCTTCATATTAAGAGGGCCGACCCCGTGCAATTGTAAGCCATATGGTGTGCAGTTACAGTAGTACGCCAGCATGCAGTTATCGCCTGTAACATGTGTGTGGACTGAATGTGTGATTGTGAGTTTAAAGCTGCTTTTGCCGCTAGTCCAGCTACATCATGGCGCGTCTGCTTTATGTGGGATGAAAACCCGAAGTGATGCACGCTGTATAGAGCATTCTCAAAAATACCTGTTGGGTTGACAGGTTGAACAATTTGAAACATGTCTTCAAAGCACTTTGATGAATCCTTACGAACTGAGTGCGAACGCCACAAAATGAATGAAGGAACAAGAACTCACTCTGAAAGGTGAGAAGGAAGAAGGAACAAGAATAAGGTCTGAAACGTCAGATGAACGAAGGAACAAGAACTCACTCTGAAAGGTGAGAAGGAACAAGAATTAGGTCTGAACGTCCAGGTGAAGGAAGGAGCAAGAATTATCTCGAAACGTCAGAAGAAGGAAGGAGCAAGAATTAGGTCGGAAAGGCGAGGTGAAGGAAGGAGGAAGAATTAGGCCTGAAACGTCAGATGAAGGAAGCAGCAAGAATTAGGTCTGAAACGTCAGATGAAGGAAGGAGCAAGAATTAGGTCTGAACGTTCAGGTGAAGGAAGGAGCAAGAATTAGGTCTGAAACGTCAGAAGAAGGAAGGAGCAAGAATGAACTCTGAAAGGTAAGAAGGAACAAGAATTAGGTCGGAAAGGCCAGATGAAGGAAGGAGCAAGAATTAGGTCGGAAACGTCAGATGAAGAAAGGAGCAAGAATTAGCTCTGAAAGGTGAGAAGAAAAAAGGAACAAGAATTAGTTCGGAAAGGCCAGATGAAGGAAGGAGCAAGAATTAGGTCTGAAACGTCAGATGAAGAAAGGAGCAAGAATTAGCTCTGAAAGGTGAGAAGAAAAAAGGAACAAGAATTAGTTCGGAAAGGCCAGGTGAAGGAAGGAGCAAGAATTAGGCCTGAAACGTCAGATGAAGGAAGGAGCAAGAATTAGGTCTGAAACGTCAGATGAAGGAAGGAGCAAGAATTAGGTCTGAACGTGCAGGTGAAGGAAGGAGCAAGAATTAGGTCTGAAACGTCAGATGAAGGAAGGAGCAAGAATTAGGTCTGAACGTTCAGGTGAAGGAAGGAGCAAGAATTAGGTCTGAAACGTCAGATGAAGGAAGGAGCAAGAATTAGGTCTGAAACGTCAGATGAAGGAAGGAGCAAGAATTAGGTCTGAACGTTCAGGTGAAGGAAGGAGCAAGAATTAGGTCTGAAACGTCAGAAGAAGGAAGGAGCAAGAATGAACTCTGAAAGGTAAGAAGGAACAAGAATTAGGTCGGAAAGGCCAGATGAAGGAAGGAGCAAGAATTAGGTCTGAAACGTCAGATGAAGAAAGGAGCAAGAATTAGCTCTGAAAGGTGAGAAGAAAAAAGGAACAAGAATTAGTTCGGAAAGGCCAGATGAAGGAAGGAGCAAGAATTTGGTCTGAAACGTCAGATGAAGAAAGGAGCAAGAATTAGCTCTGAAAGGTGAGAAGAAAAAAGGAACAAGAATTAGTTCGGAAAGGCGAGGTGAAGGAAGGAGGAAGAATTAGGCCTGAAACGTCAGATGAAGGAAGGAGCAAGAATTAGGTCTGAAACGTCAGATGAAGGAAGGAGCAAGAATTAGGTCTGAACGTTCAGGTGAAGGAAGGAGCAAGAATTAGGTCTGAAACGTCAGAAGAAGGAAGGAGCAAGAATGAACTCTGAAAGGTAAGAAGAAACAAGAATTAGGTCGGAAAGGCCAGATGAAGAAAGGAGCAAGAATTAGCTCTGAAAGGTGAGAAGAAAAAAGGAACAAGAATTAGTTCGGAAAGGCCAGGTGAAGGAAGGAGCAAGAATTTGGTCTGAAACGTCAGATGAAGGAAGGAGCAAGAATTAGCTCTGAAAGGTGAGAAGAAAAAAGGAACAAGAATTAGTTCGGAAAGGCCAGATGAAGGAAGGAGCAAGAATTAGCTCTGAAAGGTGAGAAGGAACAAGAATTAGTTCGGAAAGGCCAGGTGAAGGAAGGAGCAAGAATTAGGTCTGAAACGTCAGATGAAGGAAGGAGCAAGAATTAGCTCTGAAAGGTGAGAAGAAAAAAGGAACAAGAATTAGTTCGGAAAGGCCAGGTGAAGGAAGGAGCAAGAATTAGCTCTGAAAGGTGAGAAGGAACAAGAACTAGTTCGGAAAGGCCAGGTGAAGGAAGGAGCAAGAATTAGGTCTGAAACGTCAGATGAAGGAAGGAGCAAGAATTAGCTCTGAGAGGTGAGAAGAAAAAAGGAACAAGAATTAGGTCGGAAACGTCAGATGAAGAAAGGAGCAAGAATTAGCTCTGAGAGGTGAGAAGAAAAAAGGAACAAGAATTAGTTCGGAAAGGCCAGGTGAAGGAAGGAGCAAGAATTAGCTCTGAAAGGTGAGAAGGAAGAAGGAACAAGAATTAGTTCGGAAAGGCCAGGTGAAGGAAGGAGCAAGAATTTGGTCTGTAACGTCGTGATAAAGAATAGAGTTGTCATGTATTTATGGTCTTCCAACTTCTAAATGTATTTCAAGGACTTAAAACGGCGTTTTCGTTACTCCAGAGATTCAGTTAAACTGGGATATTTCGAAGTAGAAACTACGGTCCTAACGACTTGTCATAGTCTACAAAGTGCTAGTCAAGCGTGCAGTGTTAACGTGTCATGCAACTAACTATATATTGTTGATGGCAGTACCTTGGAACCTTGCACCTATAGTAGCTGCGCTATGTTAGAGTATTCTACTTAATGAGTGAGTGACTTTTAGTTTTTACGCCGCCTTTAGCAATATTCCAACACTATGACGGCGGGGAAACCAGAAATGGTTTTCACACAGTGTACCGATGTGGGGAATCGAACCCGGGTCATCCACGTAACGAGTGAACGCTTTCACCACTTGGCTACCCCACCGCCCTTCTAAATAATGAGTGAGTTGAGTGGGTTTATCACTGCTTCGAAAAGCATTTGCGTTAGATCAAGGCGTTCTGTCTTCATGTGGGAGAGAATCCCGAAGTGATGCAGGTTTTACACATTTGCCACTTCTTTGAAACCCACTAAGACGCTTGTGGTACTGACAAACCACTAAACATATATGGCGAGAATCGAGATTCGAACCCACGACCATATGTCCTTGGCGATTCAAGGACGCATCACTGCACAGAGAACAACCGTGTCTTAAACCACGGCCCATGTCTTAATTAATTTTCTCTCCTGTGTAAATAATATAATAATAATTTTCATCACAAGTCATGGATGAGAAATACGGTGACAGCTTATCAGACTAGTCTAGAGTAAGTCTGTTACATAGTACAACACCAAATGTTATATGTGCTGGTATATATATAACATTATATTCAGAAGAATTACTGCATGGTATATTTTACAAGTACATCACTAAAACGTTAACCATTTTGGATGAAGCTGATCCATAGTTGATCGGGACCCGTTTCACAAGCTAATGGTGTGTGGTCAATGTACCGTGGCTCAACATTCTAGAACCCCGTTTAGTTCTGGACATTGTTATAAACACCAGAGTCAGCCAGACAAGGTGTGATATACACAATCCAATGCAGCTGACAGGCAAAGAAGAGAGTGTTTGATGGACTTTCCAATGTCCTTGAGCTGCCGAATGACCCGAGGGTATTGTCCGTTTATCATGTTACAGCTGTTACAACTGGCAGTCATACCTCACGGCCACTGTGTGAAACGAGGTCCTGCTTCAACAAGTACTGTTATATTTCAACAATGTGACTAAATAAATGATAATATTATATAACAATTATATGTAATAGACCCTCGTTAACTCGAAGTCTAGGGTCCGTCGATAATATATGGAATTTTGCGTATTCAAATATGATCGGAGCAATTAAGTATACACTTCAGAATTTGGTGGAAAAATAAAAAAATAATATTCTTTAGTTCCAAAGAACAAGTCATGAACTTGCATGTGAAAACCATGGTTGAACTTACCCGTACATGTCCCGCCCCTCCTGTCAAACCCAGTGGCACAGTGACACTCATAGGACCCCAGGGTGTCCACACAGATCTCGTGCTGGCCCCAGTCACACGTGGCCTCGCCCGTCACACACTCGTTGACATCTGCAACTCAGAAACACACACCTTGAGCACGTGATGGGGTAGATAACTGGCTGAATTAGCTGTAAAACTGTGGGCATCAGTTACTTATTTTGTATTATTCATTTCAGATAGGTAGACAAAGACAGGGAGTACACAACTCCATGTTAGGGCTGGTGACATATTGGCAACAAAGACAGGGGTGGAAATAACCCACTGCCCGACGCCCGAGTTTTTTTTTTTCTATCGGGCAAGCATATATGTATATCACACTGTACAGGTGTCCAGTTGACCAATGTTAATTATGTTGTTTATTTAAAAAATCAACAAGAAAATCGGCTAGTATAGTGGAAAAATGATCGGGGAAAGTGATTTTACTTGTGCCAATGTACACTAGCAATTTTAAAGTTATTTCCAGCCCTGAAAGATTTACAAATTTTCAAAGTAAGAAAATATAGATACTAGTATACAAAGTCAGGGAGTGCACGACTCCAGCAGTAAACTTCATGGGTTACAGGCATGCTCGAGCTAGTTATACAAGGAGTTTACTAATTTCAAAGTGTAATAATCTAGGTACACAAAGTCAGGGGGTGTACCACTCCAGCAGGCATGTTTGAGCTGGTTATATATCAGAAACAAAGAGTAACTAATTTCGAAGTGTGGAAACATAAGTACACAAAGTCAGGGAGTGCAACACTCAAGTTACAGGCTCCATGGGTTACAGGCATGCCCGAGCTGGGGCATCAGTAACGTCGTAGCAGATCACATGAGAACACCAATTTCTGGAATCTTAAGTCTTTTTAATCACGAATTGTGAGACCCCACTATTACACCAACAGAAACATACAACGATATGAAGCAAAACACGCATCATTTAAAAAACCAAAAAGCAACGACACCGAAATACACGCCCGCCCGCACGCACGCACACAGAGTCTTTACGACATTCGGAGATATACCGTCGGCCTGACTCACCTCTCAGTGTGACGTTCGCGGTGTCGCGACCCTCGTCGTTGCCGGCTACACATTTGTACTTGCTGCCGTAGTCAGTCTCCTCCATTTGGTTGATAGTCAACGTTGTCTGGCTGTAGAGGGCGCCGGTTATATAAGTTCGGTAAAGAGTGTACTTGCTGTAAAAAAACACATTGAGAATGAGTCGCACGGCGTTTGCTATTAACACATTTGACACCAATCGTTTGTGTTCGGAGTGGTGAAAATGAATAGTTTGTTTTCTCCCCAAACATATCATATCGTCCAAATATCTTCAAGAAACAATGCAATGATCTAATTTTCATAGAACAAGATAGGTGTTTGCTTACGTTGAATTTCGCAGTTCCTGGTTTTTGTAAAACCAGCCCAGTGTCGTGGGTCGTGGATTGGCATTGACCCGACATGTCAAGGTCACGGCGTCTCCTGGGAGGGCTGTTACAGTCGTCGTACTTAACGTCACGACCGGCGGCCCTAGATTGAAGAAGAAGCAAACGGAATGTTGAATGTTTACGTTTCCAGTATTGGGTGTCAGGCTATAAAAGCGACAGAACTCGTCAGTCTAGTTAATGTATACAGATAATTGCATAACCTTCGTAATTAAATCGTTCACCCAAGGTATAAATCGTACACCCAAGGTATAAATCGTACACCCAGGGTATAAATCGTCCAACCTACCGTTATATGCAAGTGTGAGTTGAAATAACTGGAGGTATGGTCACAGTTCACTCACTCACCTTCCACACGACTGGTAGGTGACTCGGTTAAAACTGCCGTGTAACGACATTCACCATCCTTCACCATAAATGGCGACAGATGCCGTGATGGACACTGGGTATACAACATTCACCATCCTTCACCACAAACGACGGTAGATGCCTTGATGGACACTGGGTATCACAACATTCACTCACCTACAATACGGATGACCACAGACTAGGACACCTTGAACCAGGAACAGCGGTAGATGCCTTGATGGACACTGACATATAACAACATTCACTCACCTACAACACGGATGACCACAGACTGGGACACCTTGAACCAGGAACAGCGGTAGATGCCTTGATGGACACTGGGTATAACAACATTCACTCACCTACAATACGGATGACCACAGACTGGGACACCTTGAACCAGGAACACCGGTAGATGCCTTGATGGACACTGGGTATCACAACATTCACTCACCTACAATACAGATGACCACAGACTGGGACACCTTGAACCAGGAACACCGGTAGATGCCTTGATGGACACTGGGTGTAACAACATTCACTCACCTACAATACGGATGACCACAGACTGGGTCACCTTGAACCAGGAACAGCGGTAGATGCCGTGATGGACACTGGGTGTAACAACATTCACTCACCTACAATACGGATGACCACAGACTGGGTCACCTTGTACCAGGAACACCGGTAGATGCCTTGATGGACACTGGGTATCACAACATTCACTCACCTACAATACGGATGACCACAGACTGGGTCACCTTGAACCAGGAACACTGGTAGATGCCTTGATGGACACTGGGTATCACAACATTCACTCACCTACAATACGGATGACCACAGACTGGGTCACCTTCAACCAGGAACACCGGTAGATGCCGTGATGGACACTGGGTATCACAACATTCACTTACCTACAATACGGATGACCACAGACTAGGACACCTTGTACCAGGAACACCGGTAGATGCATTGATCGACACTGACGTATAGCAACATTCACTCACCTACAATACGGATGACCACAGACTGGGATACCTTGAACCAGGAACATCGTTAGATGCCTTGATGGACACTGGGTATAACAACATTCACTCACCTACAATACGGATGACCACAGACTGGGACACCTTGAACCAGGAACACCGGTAGATGCCTTGATGGACACTGGGTATAACAACATTCACTCACCTACAATACGGATGACCACAGACTGGGTCACCTTCAACCAGGAACACCGGTAGATGCCTTGATGGACACTGGGTATAACAACATTCACTCACCTACAATACGGATGACCACAGACTAGGACACCTTGAACCAGGAACAGCGGTAGATGCCGTGATGGACACTGGGTATAACAACATTCACTCACCTACAATACGGATGACCACAGACTGGGTCACCTTGAACCAGGAACACCGGTAGATGCCTTGATGGACACTGACGTATAGCAACATTCACTCACCTACAATACGGATGACCACAGACTGGGTCACCTTTGAGCCAGGAACATCGGTAGATGCCGTGATGGACACTGGGTATAACAACATTCACCCACCTACAATACGGATGACCACAGACTGGGACACCTTTGAACCAGGAACACCGGTAGATGCCTTGATGGACACTGGGTATAACAACATTTACCCACCTACGATACGGATGACCACAGACTGGGACACCTTGAACCAGGAACATCGGTAGATGCCTTGATGGACACTGGGTATAACAACATTCACTCACCTACAATACGGATGACCACAGACTGGGACACCTTGAACCAGGAACATCGGTAGATGCCGTGATGGAAACTGGGTATAACAACATTCACTCACCTACAATACGGATGACCACAGACTAGGACACCTTGAACCAGGAACAGCGGTAGATGCCGTGATGGACACTGGGTATAACAACATTCACTCACCTACAATACGGATGACCACAGACTGGGTCACCTTGAACCAGGAACACCGGTAGATGCCTTGATGGACACTGACGTATAGCAACATTCACTCACCTACAATACGGATGACCACAGACTGGGTCACCTTGAGCCAGGAACATCGGTAGATGCCGTGATGGACACTGGGTATAACAACATTCACCCACCTACAATACGGATGACCACAGACTGGGACACCTTGAACCAGGAACACCGGTAGATGCCTTGATGGACACTGGGTATAACAACATTTACCCACCTACGATACGGATGACCACAGACTGGGACACCTTGAACCAGGAACATCGGTAGATGCCTTGATGGACACTGGGTATAACAACATTCACTCACCTACAATACGGATGACCACAGACTGGGACACCTTGAACCAGGAACATCGGTAGATGCCGTGATGGAAACTGGGTATAACAACATTCACTCACCTACAATACGGATGACCACAGACTGGGACACCTTGAACCAGGAACAGCGGTAGATGCCTTGATGGAAACTGGGTATAACAACATTCACTCACCTACAATACGGATGATCACAGACTAGGACACCTTGAACCAGGAACACCGGTAGATGCCTTGATGGACACTGGGTATAACAACATTTACCCACCTACAATACGGATGACCACAGACTGGGACACCTTGAACCAGGAACAGCGGTAGATGCCTTGATGGACACTGGGTGTAACAACATTCACTCACCTACAATACGGATGACCACAGATTGGGACACCTTGAACCAGGAACACCGGTAGATGCCGTGATGGACACTGGGTGTAACAACATTCACTCACCTACAATACGGATGACCACAGACTGGGTCACCTTGAACCAGGTACACCGGTAGATGCCTTGATGGACACTGGGTATCACAACATTCACTCACCTACAATACGGATGACCACAGACTGGGACACCTTGAACCAGGAACACCGGTAGATGCCTTGATGGACACTGGGTATCACAACATTCACTCACCTACAATACAGATGACCACAGACTGGGACACCTTGAACCAGGAACACCGGTAGATGCCTTGATGGACACTGGGTGTAACAACATTCACTCACCTACAATACGGATGACCACAGACTGGGTCACCTTGAACCAGGAACAGCGGTAGATGCCGTGATGGACACTGGGTGTAACAACATTCACTCACCTACAATACGGATGACCACAGACTGGGTCACCTTGTACCAGGAACACCGGTAGATGCCTTGATGGACACTGGGTATCACAACATTCACTCACCTACAATACGGATGACCACAGACTGGGTCACCTTGAACCAGGAACACTGGTAGATGCCTTGATGGACACTGGGTATCACAACATTCACTCACCTACAATACGGATGACCACAGACTGGGTCACCTTCAACCAGGAACACCGGTAGATGCCGTGATGGACACTGGGTATCACAACATTCACTTACCTACAATACGGATGACCACAGACTAGGACACCTTGTACCAGGAACACCGGTAGATGCATTGATCGACACTGACGTATAGCAACATTCACTCACCTACAATACGGATGACCACAGACTGGGATACCTTGAACCAGGAACATCGTTAGATGCCTTGATGGACACTGGGTATAACAACATTCACTCACCTACAATACGGATGATCACAGACTGGGACACCTTGAACCAGGAACACCGGTAGATGCCTTGATGGACACTGGGTATAACAACATTCACTCACCTACAATACGGATGACCACAGACTGGGTCACCTTCAACCAGGAACACCGGTAGATGCCTTGATGGACACTGGGTGTAACAACATTCACTCACCTACAATACGGATGACCACAGACTAGGACACCTTGAACCAGGAACAGCGGTAGATGCCGTGATGGACACTGGGTATAACAACATTCACTCACCTACAATACGGATGACCACAGACTGGGTCACCTTGAACCAGGAACACCGGTAGATGCCTTGATGGACACTGACGTATAGCAACATTCACTCACCTACAATACGGATGACCACAGACTGGGTCACCTTGAGCCAGGAACATCGGTAGATGCCGTGATGGACACTGGGTATAACAACATTCACCCACCTACAATACGGATGACCACAGACTGGGACACCTTGAACCAGGAACACCGGTAGATGCCTTGATGGACACTGGGTATAACAACATTTACCCACCTACGATACGGATGACCACAGACTGGGACACCTTGAACCAGGAACATCGGTAGATGCCTTGATGGACACTGGGTATAACAACATTCACTCACCTACAATACGGATGACCACAGACTGGGACACCTTGAACCAGGAACATCGGTAGATGCCGTGATGGAAACTGGGTATAACAACATTCACTCACCTACAATACGGATGACCACAGACTGGGACACCTTGAACCAGGAACAGCGGTAGATGCCTTGATGGAAACTGGGTATAACAACATTCACTCACCTACAATACGGATGATCACAGACTAGGACACCTTGAACCAGGAACACCGGTAGATGCCTTGATGGACACTGGGTATAACAACATTTACCCACCTACAATACGGATGACCACAGACTGGGACACCTTGAACCAGGAACAGCGGTAGATGCCTTGATGGACACTGGGTTTAACAACATTCACTCACCTACAATACGGATGACCACAGACTGGGACACCTTGAACCAGGAACATCGGTAGATGCCTTGATGGAAACTGGGTGTAACAACATTCACTCACCTACAATACGGATGACCACAGACTGGGACACCTTGAGCCAGGAACATCGGTAGATGCCGTGATGGACACTGGGTATAACAACATTTACCCACCTACAATACGGATGACCACAGACTGGGACACCTTGAACCAGGAACATCGGTAGATGCCTTGATGGACACTGGGTATAACAACATTCACTCACCTACAATACGGATGACCACAGACTAGGACACCTTGAACCAGGAACATCGGTAGATGCCTTGATGGACACTGGGTGTAACAACATTCACTCACCTACAATACGGATGACCACAGACTGGGACACCTTAAGCCAGGAACATCGGTAGATGCCGTGATGGACACTGGGTATAACAACATTTACCCACCTACAATACGGATGACCACAGACTGGGACACCTTGAACCAGGAACATCGGTAGATGCCTTGATGGACACTGGGTATAACAACATTCACTCACCTACAATACGGATGACCACAGACTGGGACACCTTGTACCAGGAACATCGGTAGATGCCTTGATGGACACTGGGTGTAACAACATTCACTCACCTACAATACGGATGACCACAGACTGGGACACCTTGAGCCAGGAACATCGGTAGATGCCGTGATGGACACTGGGTATAACAACATTTACCCACCTACAATACGGATGACCACAGACTGGGACACCTTGAGCCAGGAACATCGGTAGATGCCGTGATGGACACTGGGTATAAATACATTCACCCACCTACAATACGGATGACCACAGACTAGGACACCTTGAACCAGGAACATCGGTAGATGCCTTGATGGACACTGGGTATAACAACATTTACCCACCTACAATACGGATGACCACAGACTGGGACACCTTGAGCCAGGAACATCGGTAGATGCCGTGATGGACACTGGGTATAAATACATTCACCCACCTACAATACGGATGACCACAGACTAGGACACCTTGAACCAGGAACATCGGTAGATGCCGTGATGGACACTGGGTATAACAACATTTACCCACCTACAATACGGATGACCACAGACTGGGACACCTTGAGCCAGGAACATCGGTAGATGCCTTGATTGCTGTAGTAACTGTAGGTGACTGAGAGTTGGGAGTTGATGGCGCCCATTGCATCCGTCCAAGCGACGATGTTGCCACCAGTCAGTGTCGTCCATGCCGCCCCGTTGGAGCTGAAGGACCAGGTGATCTAACAAAACAAAATATTTTCGGATACATCATACCTAGGCTACCTGGAAAGCATGTGTCTCAAAGCCCAGACCATTATACCAGCCTGCTGGTGATGGGGAAATCACATTGTTCCCTTGTATCTAGAGGGATACAGACTCAAGACGTTTAACAGTTGTATTGTGTTGATGTCACAATCAGGGCGAAAATTTGGATTCGAACATACGATATTTTGTGTAGGGCTACTAAAGCGATGCCTTACTTATTTTCAGATAATATGTTTTCTGGCGTTGACAGACATTAACATACTTATAACAATAAGTGACGTCATGCAAAATGTTCTACGTTACAGCACCCGTGTCTCGGAGTAATGTGGTTACAATTGGGTTAATTCTGTAGATTATAAAACATAAATCACGAATATATTCATCAATGTATGCGATGTTTTAAGCATCAATGGTGGTTTTCTTACCTTGCCTGCGTTTCCCAAGTTGACGCCCTTACACTGTACAGTCAGCTCATCGCCCAAGTTAACACGTGTCCCATTATTCTCGGGGGTCACCACAGACAGGCGTGGCGCGGCTGGAAACAATCAACACAAATACATACAATGTAACGTTTGGCATTATTTCAAATGAGTTATATTTTAATTACCTATTGTTCACGACTGTATTATTAAAGCTATATGACAGCGAGTTGTAAATGATTGGGACCAGACAAACCAATGGTTCATGTATGACAGCGAATTGTAAATGATTGGGACCAGACAAACCAATGGTTCATGTTATGGGCAACGACACACGCTGTCGGAGAATGACAACCCGTAATCAACCAAGTCAACCAGCCTGACCAACCGATCCATTAAGATCATCGCAGGACTCGGCCTAACCCGAGTATCTACTGCAAAACATATACAATGACTCCTTCCTGTTTTGTTTGTTACATCTATACAGTGTCTGCAAATACCTGAGTCTGGGTTACCAGTGTATGAAACAAGCCATAAATCAAGCCAGACATCAGCCCAAAATCGATTTAACCAGACCAAATATGGTGAAATTACTGAGATGTATGGAACATATAATGTTTTTACCAGACCATCGGGTTGGCTAGCTGTAAATTTAGACCGTCCGTCATAAACCTAGACCGTCTCGGGCGGGCCTTATTTCATACACTGGGGTTTCGCAAACCAATGGCTGACGTCTTAAGCATCGATCTACGCAAGTGTGATACGATTACATCTATCAACGAAGACATCCTGATCATCCGATCCGGTTAGTGGCCCCTTACAACAGGCATGGCTTACTGAGGACCTGGGACCCAATCCACAAAGCGTTCGCAGCACTATGCCATTCGTCAGCCTGTGATATAGTATAGAGTTACGAAAAGTCGTAACGTTACGAACGCTTTGTGGATCGGGGCCATGTACCTTTAAATGGAATCCGTACCCACTGACAATGTCTCAGTGCAATTACGACACCAATTGACGGTGAACATTAAAATGGCATTGCATCAGAAAGATTGATTTAAAAAGATTGCAGAAATAATGAAATTATGCAGCATATTATTGATTCTAGTTTGTTCGGAAAATTGCAGGTGTCGAAATTGTTAGCGGGCAATGAACGGGAGATACCACCCACCTGTGACCCACCACTGCCTCCTGACCTGGCCCCGGGCGTTCTTGGCCACACACGTGTAGGTCCCCAGCTGTTCCTGGGTCAGGGGGAAGACGGACAGTGTACTGCTGGTAACAATATCAACTAGGGGCACCGTGGTGCTGATGGTGTACCTGCACAGATTGACATGGATTAATGTACCTGTGAAGATTAGTGTACCTGCACAGATTGACATGGATTAATGTACCTGTGGAGATTAGTGTACCTGCACAGATTGACATGGATTAATGTACCTGTGAAGATTAGTGTACCTGCACAGATTGACATGGATTAATGTACCTGTGAAGATTAGTGTACCTGCACAGATTGACATGGATTAATGTACCTGTGAAGATTAGTGTACCTGCACAGATTGACATGGATTAATGTACCTGTGAAGATTAGTGTACCTGGACAGATTGACATGAATTAATGTACCTGTGAAGATAAGTGTACCTGCACAGATTGACATGGATTATGTAACCTGTGAAGATTAATGTACCTGGACAGATTGACATGGATTAATGTACCTGTGAAGATTAGTGTACCTGCACAGATTGACATGGATTAATGTACCTGTGAAGATCAGTGTACCTGCACAGATTGACATGGATTAATGTACCTGTGGAGATTAGTGTACCTGGACAGATTGACATGAATTAATGTACCTGTGAAGATAAGTGTACCTGCACAGATTGACATGGATTAATGTCCATGTAAAGATTAATGTACCTGGACAGATTGACATGGATTAATGTACCTGTGAAGATTATTGTACCTGCACAGATTGACATGGATTAATGTACCTGTGAAGATTAGTGTACCTGCACAGATTGACATGGATTAATGTACCTGTGAAGATTAGTGTACCTGCACAGATTGACATGGATTAATGTACCTGTGAAGATTAGTGTACCTGGACAGATTGACATGAATTAATGTACCTGTGAAGATAAGTGTACCTGCACAGATTGACATGGATTATGTAACCTGTGAAGATTAATGTACCTGGACAGATTGACATGGATTAATGTACCTGTGAAGATTAGTGTACCTGCACAGATTGACATGGATTAATGTACCTGTGAAGATCAGTGTACCTGCACAGATTGACATGGATTAATGTACCTGTGGAGATTAGTGTACCTGGACAGATTGACATGAATTAATGTACCTGTGAAGATAAGTGTACCTGCACAGATTGACATGGATTAATGTCCATGTAAAGATTAATGTACCTGGACAGATTGACATGGATGAATGTACATGTGAAGATTAGTGTACCTGGACAGATTGACATGGATTAATGTACCTGTGAAAATTAGTGTACCTGCACAGATTGACATGGATTAATGTACCTGTGAAGATTTTTTAGTGTACATGCACAGATTGACATGGATTAATGTACCTGTGAAGATAAGTGTACCTGGACAGATTGACATGGATTAATGTACCTGTGAAGATTAGTGTACCTGCACAGATTGACATGAAGTAATGTACCTGTGAAGATAAGTGTACCTGCACAGATTGACATTGATTAATGTCCATGTGAAGATTAGTGTACCTGGACAATTGACATGGATTAATGTACCTGTGAAAATTAGTGTACCTGCACAGATTGACATGGATTAATGTACCTTTGAAGATTAGTGTACCTGGACAGATTGACATGGATTAATGTACCTGTGAAGATTAGTGTACCTGCACAGATTGACATGGATTAATGTACCTGTGGGATTAGTGTACCTTGACAGATTGACATGAATTCATGTACCTGTGAAGATAAGTGTACCTGGACAGACTGACATGGATTAATGTCCATGTGAAGATTAGTGTACCTGGACAAATTGACATGGATTAATCTACCTGTGAAGATTAGTGTACCTGGACAGATTGACATGGATTAATGTACCTTTGGAGATTAGTGTACCTGTACAGATTGACATGAATTAATGTACCTGTGAAGATAAGTGTACCTGCACAGATTGACATTGATTAATGTACCTGTGAAGATTAGTGTACTTGTTTATAGGGAAACGAGCTGGACTATACCGAGTAGAGCATATGACCGTACCTAAAAATTAAAACAATAAAACTTGGATCGTACAGTGCTTTCATGGGGCGGTATTGTATTCTTGTGATTAAAGGTTTAGTCCGTTACGCTGTGGGTTCGGGTTCTGTTCCTCAGGTGCAATGTGAAAATGCAAGTCCCCACAAATTGACGCTCCTAAGATCGGACAGTCACCTGTGATATCAGGTGAACTGAAGACAGAGTTGACGGCCATGTCACTGATACAGCGACATGCATGTACGTGTGTGAATGGCTTCATGCACTGTCATCCGTGTCTTCGCCCACTACTTTCCATGCCTGGGTAACAACAAGCAACATCTTTTGACGTATTTTGATGTCTCCACGCGTCCGTCCGGGGTGGACTTACCCCCTAGCTGAACTGTACAGCTGCGTCCCGTTCATGAACCACTCTATTTCAGCACCTGGCCTTGCCTTGACGGTACACACGATGTCCATGGAGTCTTGCAAGGTGGACGCCAGCTCTCCTGGGGGCGTCGTTTGATTCAAGTCAAAAGTGGGCGCACCTGTTACAAGATACGCTTGAAATGATGTATGTATGCGGGCTGTATCTGTACAAATGTACATTTGAATGGGTTAGTGCATCAGAATGCACGGATAACATGCCTAACAAACAAATTATCATAATTCGAAACAGCGATCAGCGGATCCTATCTCCAGCTAATGACGTCATCTTATACGATTGGCATACCTGTGCCCTTTGGTAGTACCAGCTACATTTCGTTTAACATACAGATATGGGCGGTACGGTTAATGCGTTCCCACGTCTCCCTGAATCTACACATACCAACTACCCAAACCCCACCTATTTTTCCTTCACGCTCTCTCCCTCACTTACTGACATTAACACCCATCCACCCACCCACGGACCCTGCTATACCTTCCACTCTGAGTTCCACATAGTCGGTGTAGTCGTTCTCGGGCGTCAGTAGATGACAGTAGTAGTATCCTTCGTATTCATATCTCACTGCTGCCGTCTGTAGCGTGATCACCCTCCTGTTTCGGCTCTGTACCACCTCGGTGACGGTGTAGTAACCGGTGGAGTTGAGGATGACGGGGTTGATGCTGAAGTCACCCACGTACTGCCAGCGCAACTGCACAGACAAGTCGTCCCGATTAACATCGTTGTTTACATACTAAACAGTGTACGGACCGTGTAGCTTAACTCAATAGCAATCAGCCGGAATGGTCTCACCATTTTACATCTTTTAAAAATATATTTTAAAAGTCTTTTGGAAAAAGTATATTTAAAAAACAATTGTTCCGAAATATACAGTAAAATTCCGCTGTGTCGAATCTGAAGGGAGGTAAGCTAAACATTCGTGTTACCCGAGGTTTGATACAACCCAAAAAGATGGATAATGAGGAACACTTACTTCGAGACAACCCTATATTCAACAAGGTCCGACACAACAGTGCTTAACTGTAACGGAAAACTATGTTGTTATGTTTTAATAATTTCGAGCTGTTTTGAAACTAACGGAGAAGCATGAAGCACACTTTTCTCTCTGTTACTGGGACGGTGGGGTAGCCTAATGGTTAAAGTGTTTGCTCGTCACGCCAAATCTGGAGCTGTTTTGAAACTAACGGACATTTCCATGAAGCACACATTTCTCTCTGTTACTGGGACGGTGGGGTAGCCTAATGGTTAAAGTGTTCGCTCGTCACGCCAAATCTGGAGCTGTTTTGAAACTAACGGACATGTCCATGAAGCACACATTTCTCTCTGTTACTGGGACGGTGGGGTAGCCTAATGGTTAAAGTGTTTGCTCGTCACGCCAAATCTGGAGCTGTTTTGAAAATAACGGACATGTCCATGAAGCACACATTTCTCTCTGTTACTGGGACGGTGGGGTAGCCTAATGGTTAAAGTGTTTGCTTGTCACGCCAAATCTGGAGCTGTTTTGAAACTAACGGACATGTCCATGAAGCACACATTTCTCTCTGTTACTGGGACGGTGGGGTAGCCTTAATGGTTAAAGTGTTTGCTCGTCACGCCAAATCTGGAGCTGTTTTGAAACTAACGGACATGTCCATGAAGCACATTTTTCTCTGTTACTGGGACGGTGGGGTAGCCTAATGGTTAAAGTGTTTGCTCGTCACGCCAAATCTGGAGCTGTTTTGAAACTAACGGACATGTCCATGAAGCACACATTTCTCTCTGTTACTGGGACGGTGGGGTAGCCTAATGGTTAAAGTGTTTGCTCGTCACGCCAAATCTGGAGCTGTTTTGAAACTAACGGACATGTCCATGAAGCACACATTTTCTCTGTTACTGGGACGGTGGGGTAGCCTAATGGTTAAAGTGTTTGCTCGTCACGCCAAATCTGGAGCTGTTTTGTAACTAACGGACATGTCCATGAAGCACACATTTCTCTGTTACTGGGACGGTGGGGTAGCCTAATGGTTAAAGTGTTCGCTCGTCACGCCAAATCTGGAGCTGTTTTGAAACTAACGGACATGTCCATGAAGCACACTTTTCTCTCTGTTACTGGGACGGTGGGGTAGCCTAATGGTTAAAGTGTTTGCTTGTCACGCCAAATCTGGAGCTGTTTTGAAACTAACGGACATGTCCATGAAGCACACATTTCTCTCTGTTACTGGGACGGTGGGGTAGCCTAATGGTTAAAGTGTTTGCTTGTCACGCCAAATCTGGAGCTGTTTTGAAACTAACGGACATGTCCATGAAGCACACATTTCTCTCTGTTACTGGGACGGTGGGGTAGCCTAATGGTTAAAGTGTTCGCTCGTCACGCCAAATCTGGAGCTGTTTTGAAACTAACGGACATGTCCATGAAGCACACATTTTCTCTCTGTTACTGGGACGGTGGGGTAGCCTAATGGTTAAAGTGTTTGCTTGTCACGCCAAATCTGGAGCTGTTTTGAAACTAACGGACATGTCCATGAAGCACACATTTCTCTCTGTTACTGGGACGGTGGGGTAGCCTAATGGTTAAAGTGTTTGCTTGTCACGCCAAATCTGGAGCTGTTTTGAAACTAACGGACATGTCCATGAAGCACACATTTCTCTCTGTTACTGGGACGGTGGGGTAGCCTAATGGTTAAAGTGTTCGATCGACACTCCGAAGGCCCAGGTTTGATTCCTAACATGGTTACAATATGTGAAGCTGATTTCTTGTGAAGCCGTGATAGTGCCGGAATATTGCTAAACGCAGCGTAAAGCCTAAATCACTCATTCACTCACTCACTCACTCACTCACTCACTCATTACCTGAACATCTTTGATCCCGTCTATACCGGTCACTACACACTCTAGCTCCACGGTCTTTCCCACGGCTGCTACTAAACGCGTTCCATTTCCGTTGGGGATGCGAACAGTGGGAACAGCCTGCGCCACCAGCAGGGTCAACGACGACACCACCAACAACTCTGAAACACGGAACATGCAACAATGAATGTGTATCCTCGTACAACACTTAATGTATAAACACAAAAGGGTATCGCATCAACTATGATATTTAACCCCCATATAGTTATTTATATTCATATCATAATCATGTTTATTTGTATGATTATTTTAACACTCCTTACTTTGATTTTAGATATATGCTTGCAGAGATCGAATTCAAGCATCACTTGCAATACGTGAACCTGTCACAAAGCAAACGGATCCTACAGATCAATTACGAGGAAAACAGCAGTGGATTTCGTTGTTGAAAAACAAATATGGGCCTCCTCAGCCGACAAGTGTTCGAAGAACTGTGTATGCGGAATGCTGGCATGTCAATTGGGGCTATTGCGTGACTGACCAGCAACCATCAGCAAACCAATGCAGGACAACCCCGAGCGCGTTCCTTAGATGCATCTCATCAGCAACTCCACCTTCAATCCAGATCAATCCTGATCTCAGTCCCATTGAGCATGTCTGGAACATTATGAGCCTCACAGTAGGCCAGAGACATCCCCATTGATGCATTGGAACACGCCCTCCATCAAGAATAAACCGCAATACCCCAACGTCAAATTCAACGTCCGATAGAGTCATTGAGGAGGAGGGCGAGGGTTGTTCTTACAGTTGGCGGTGGGTACACCAGATATTGGCAATGCGTTCTGTTATTGATACTTATCTGATTTCTTGAAGATTTTATGCCATAATCTTGAAAATGACTTATACGATCATACTTATCAACATTACAAAATGAATACTTTTTACCATGTTTGCTTCTGTGGCAAAACCTGTTTTTCTTTCACCTTGTCTTAAGATTTGTTATTTAGTTATTCCACGAATGTCAGTTTATCGAGATAGTGATTTGAGATTTGGATACTTTCCTTTGGCTATGGTAACATACTGAAACTATGGAAAATATGGGATGTTGCGATACTTGTATCCATGTGTATATAACTTTGATCACAAATGTACTCTTTACATCTCATGGAATGTGTCTGGACGGATAACGGCGACTGGTTGTTCTCTGACAGTGACCCTTGATGTATCAACAGATTATTCCCAGGAACTGGGTTACAGGAGATAACTGCATAATTCGTGCTGACTTCACGGTTATACCGCTGGCGTATATGATATAGAAGGTCTGACGTTAATTCAGCGTTGGCGTGTCAGTAATTCTAGCTAACATCCAGTCAGCGCACACGTCTTTACGTCACAGCAGTATATGGAAGAAAGGAGTGAGTGAGTTGAGCTTTACGCCGCACTCTGTAAATAATCGAGTCTGGACCAGACAATCCAGTTATCAACAGCAGGAGCATCGATTTGCGCAATTGGGAACCGATGACATGTGTCAACCAAGTCAGCGAGCCCGACCACCCGATCCCGTTAGTCGCCTATTTCCACATGCATAGGTTACTGAAGGCCAATATTCTAACCCGGACCTTCACGGGTCAGTGGAAGAAAGGAAGCCACCTTGTGTGGAAGAAAAACGAACTGTCGCCTACCGCGTCAAGGACACTCAATATTCAGAATATAATGTACACCCATGTTGAGGTCATGCACACACCCCGGAGTAATGGAGTTTGGAGTGTGGGAACGGGTGTTCGGATTCGTTTGTTCATTTCCTCGCTGAAATTTTAATATAACCGAGAACGTGACATGTGTACAACAGACACGACGTATAACCATATGTGCCATTACTTATACACACGTCACGAGTCATTCACACATTCACGAGGGGTGTGTGAAGATGCCCGCGGGTCTTGAGGAGCTGATGAACATTGTGTGTTACTTTCTGATCCCCTTCGGGCTGGAGATCGGAGAGCATACACTGACACAGAGGCTTCATCAACCCTGCACACTGACTAAGAGTCACATCAACCCAAGACTACCACCTAGTCTCTGAAATGACTATAATTTACACACACAAAAACAATAGGTCTTACGTTATGTTAATAATCTCCAAAAGGAAAACTGAAGAAGTTTAGACTTGCCATACATTCTAGACTTGCATGGTCTTTCTTGGATATATTTGTTTCAGGGTCTGTATGACAGACTACACCAAGCCTAGAAATCCGAGAACAATTATCAACGCAAGGGGTACATCAGGTGTTCTCCCATGACGCAGACAGGCAGTTCGCAGACGCCTTAAAACAACAACATTTACGGTTCAATGAACAGATTAGCTACTACATCATAGAGGGTACATCAAAACTAGAGATCCGAGAATATTGAATAACATAGAGGGTACATCAAAACTAGAGATCCGAGAATATTGAATACTAGTAACATAGAGGGTACATCAAAACTAGAGATCCGAGAATATTGAATAACATAGAGGGTACATCAAAACTAGAGATCCGAGAACATTGAATAACATAGAGGGTACATCAAAACTAGAGATCCGAGAACATTGAATAACATAGAGGGTACATCAAAACTAGAGATCCGAGAACATTATTTTACCTCTGAGGGCACATTAAGCCAAGAAATCCAAGAACACTATTATAACACAGAAGGTACATGAACCCAAACAGTCAACATCAGTAACATCAGCCAAGGTTGACTGCTTCAGGTAATACCTGTACCTTTACCTGTCGTACACACAACAACAATGCGTAAGTGCACACGTACCAGTAGAGTAACTACCCCTTTATTTGTACATCGCTGACCTCCACGGCTTTTCCTTTGCCGAGCTTACTGTCTAGCCAATTATGTTAATTATGTTGTGTTTTATATATACATCCCCTCCTCTTCTTGATGTTCTGTATCGAAACGTCGCACTCACGTTATAAAAGAAGTTGTTATCCATAAAGTGTGTTCAAATTTGTATGTCCTAACTTCTAAAATGACACTTAGAGAAGCAACGCCTTATTGTTATTTTTACATAGAGGGTACATGAAGCCTAGAGATCCTAGTTTGGACTAAAGAAGCAGGTGGAAAGTAGAAAACACCAATCACTGTATAGCTAGCATGAGGTTAATTACTATACATATAATCCCTGAACTTTCCTTGCCTTCTAATCCATCATCACGATAGGCGTGATGTACGGGAGCATTTGAAGCCTTGTGTGTGCACACACTGTGGTAATCCAATGCGCATATTTGACGTGAAGTAATTACTTTCATACCTGTCGTCCTCTATAGCCAGATAATGACAGCCAACGGTTGACTGCTTCAGGTAATATCTTGGCACTTATACCTGCGGTGTTAAACGCTCTGATGCCCACACACAACAAAGCCTAAGTGCACAGGTAGCAGTAGTGATCACGGATAATGGCTGTCCAATGGCGGAATGCGACCTCTGGGTAGTAAAACCTTCGGCCATGGCCATGGAATTGAGAAGTTACATAACCTTGAACATATATGTTTGATTTATCTATGAAAGTATGAGCAATGAGCTAGTTCTTGATACCAAACATGTCAGTTAAAACAAACCCTGACACCTCGTATCATTATAGCATACAACACCTGGTGTCATGACCCATCTTCCGACATCATCAACCATCCATCCTTACAATGCATCACCCTATTCCACATCTTATATCCAACGAAATCCTCCCTTGAAAACCATTTTCCAGTTCCTCAACCATCCTCTATTCAAATCCAAACCTACTTCACTCTCTCCCAGTATTTCTGTACCATCACACTTTAGGATCAAGATGCCATAGCCTGCAATTTTCCTTACACAAATAATAGTTCAAACATGGATCAACATCTTATTGAGAATATCGCAAATGCCGACAAAGCATCGTAAAAGCGGACAAAACATCATAATGGAAGACAAAACATCGTAGAGGCAGACAAAACGTCGTAGAGGCGGATAAAACATCGGACCATGCAGCGGAAACTGGCCCTTCCCACTCCGACACGCACACACACACCGTGACACGCTGATCCCGAGGGGAGGGGGCAGCAGGACACTGACGTCAGTCCCCCAGGGATGCTCCAATATGGCTGCTACATCATCAAAGGTCTTTACAGTGCACCACCAACAGCGAGAGTGACGCGTTTCTATGAGGTCACGGTTTATTACTGTACTTGATATATAATAAAATGTGAACAATTCAGTTTTGCAATATTTTGTCTTGAGTTTATGTGTCAGTATGACCTGTGTAAAATACTGCTAACGTATGCTGATCACAATAAGTTACATATAAGAAGAGTATATGGATGGCAACTTCTTCTTATAACACGGCGTTTCTGGGCTATTTCTTGCCCCTTCTTCATCACCAGAAGAAGGGGCAAGAAGTAGCCCAGAAACGCCCGCTCGTGTTATTCACCATCTTCTAAATGCCTCTCAAGGATCTCAAAATAAGTGAAAGTACACACATTATTTCACATTACTGTAGATATTATGTCCTGTCTGTACTGACACGGTGTTCGGGTAGTACAACATTCCGTCATTGATTGGTCCGCAGTTGTTGTAAAGACATCGCACTCTGTGACCACGACTCCAGAAATATCCAAGTCAGTCAGGTGATAAGCGACATACATGCTCTACCATTGTCTAAATTGTTGTACCACTTGCACACTCTGTGACATGATGCTACATACGATGCTACCTAGGTAAACATGAACTAAACCATAATTTGCTAAAGATCAAAATTTGATGGATGAAAGATGTCATCCAAGAAATAAAGACTGAAATATCCAGGACACAATGATAGGGTAGCACCCAGCTCTAAGACCTCAGTATTGCGATGGATGGACGGGGGTGTGCAGTCATGGGTACGATCTGCTAGAAAACTGTTTGGTTGGATCGTGACGGAATCGTTGCACATCAACATCAGGGAGTACAGCAACAGTTGGTACGGGGGATTGTAGGACATGGACACATGTATGTCTTTTTGGTGTGAAAAAGGTCGCTTAACGAACGAAGAATTAATCATTGTTTGATGGGCATTCTAGAACGAAATTCTACATCGAAACGTCGCTCTATGCAATAAATAAGAATTTGCATCTCGCTGTGCATAGTTACGTCCCTTAATCGTGACAGGATCCGCTAGCAGAATCTGGGATACGAATCAGTTAACATTGCGAGTTGGTCATTTTGAACTCACCACCTCTACTAACCTACCTCCGTGATATGCACGGGGTATCTGAAATACTAATCAACTCTCAAACCAAATGATCGGGTCGATAGTAAATACTTCCATTTCTGTAACTCGTGAAGGTCTTCAGCAACCCATGCTTGTCGTAAGGAGCAACTGGCAGGATCGGGTGGTCAGGCTCGCTGACTTGGTTGACACATGTTACCGCATCCCAACTGCATAGATCGATGCTCATGTTGTTGATCACTGGATTGTCTGGTCCAGTCTCGATTATTTACAGACCGTCGCCATACAACTGAAATGTTGCTGAGTGCGGCGTAAAACTAAACTCACTCACTCCTTTTCTGTCCATTCGTTTATAGCTTAATGGTGTTTTAATCTATGATTTTCTGTACATATGGTACGAAATATGTCCCTGCAAATATGCACACTGGTTGACTGACAGAAGCAAAAGGCCATGCAGGCTGGTACACTATAGGTGGTAAACATAGGCCCCGGGACAAGCTGTGATGATGGATTGACAACAACAGTGTGGATGACGGGCGCCTTTGTTTGTGTGTCAGGGGATTGTGATACATGCAGCAATTCACCTTCCCGTGCACTGTGCTATGTTGAGAGAAATTGGCTATATGTACTATGCTACATGGTGTATGACTGGCTGTATGCGCTATGCTATATGACTGGCTGTATGCGCTATGCTATATGACTGGCTATGTGTACTATGCTATATGGCGTATGACTGGCTATATGTTCTATGCTGTATGACTGGCTATATATACTATGCTATATGGCGTATGACTGGCTATGTGTACTATGCTATATGGCGTATGACTGGCTATATGTGCTATGCTATATGACTGGCTATATGTGCTATGCTATATGGTGTATGACTGGCTATATGTGCTACGCTATATGACTGGCTATGTGTACTATGCTATATGGCGTATGACTGGCTATATGTGCTATGCTGTATGACTGGCTATGTGTACTATGCTATATGGCGTATGACTGGCTATATGTGCTATGCTATATGACTGGCTATATGTGCTATGCTATATCGTTTATGACTGGCTATATGTCCTACGCTATATGACTGGCTATGTGTACTATGCTATATGGCGTATGACTGGCTATATGTGCTATGCTGTATGACTGGCTATGTGTACTATGCTATATGGCGTATGACTGGCTATATGTGCTATGCTATATGACTGGCTATGTGTACTATGCTATATGGCGTATGACTGGCTATATGTGCTACGCTATATGACTGGCTATGTGTGCTATGCTATATGACTGGCTATGTGTACTATGCTATATGGTGTATGTCTGGGTATATGTGCTATGCTATATGACTGGCTATATGTGCTATGCTATATGACTGGCTATGTGTACTATGCTATATGGCGTATGACTGGCTATATGTGCTATGCTATATGACTGGCTATGTGTACTATGCTATATGGCGTATGACTGGCTATATGTGCTATGCTATATGACTGGCTATGTGTACTATGCTATATGGCGTATGACTGGCTATATGTGCTACGCTATATGACTGGCTATATGTGCTATGCTATATGACTGGCTATATGTGCTACGCTATATGACTGGCTATGTGTGCTATGCTATATGGTGTATGGCTGGCTATATGTGCTATGCTATATGACTGGCTATATGTGCTATGCTATATGACTGGCTATGTGTACTATGCTATATGGTGTATGACTGGCTATATGTGCTATGCTATATGACTGGCTATATGTTCTATGCTATATGACTGGCTATGTGTACTATGCTATACGGCGTATGACTGGCTATATGTTCTATGCTGTATGACTGGCTATATGTGCTATGCTATATGACTGGCTATATGTTCTATGCTGTATGACTGGCTGTATGTTCTATGCTGTATGACTGGCTATATGTTCTATGCTGTATGACTGGCTATATGTTCTATGCTGTATGACTGGCTATATGGGCTATGCTATATGACTGGCTATATGTTCTATGCTATATGACTGGCTATATGTTCTATGCTGTATGACTGGCTATATGTTCTATGCTGTATGACTGGCTATATGTTCTATGCTGTATGACTGGCTATATGGGCTATGCTATATGACTGGCTATATGTTCTATGCTGTATGACTGGCTATATGTTCTATGCTGTATGACTGGCTATATGGGCTATGCTATATGACTGGCTATATGTTCTATGCTATATGACTGGCTATATGTTCTATGCTGTATGACTGGCTATATGTTCTATGCTATATGACTGGCTATATGTTCTATGCTATATGACTGGCTATATGTGCTATGCTATATGACTGGCTATATGTGCTATGATATATGGTGCATGGCTGCCTATGTTCTATATGCTATATAATGTATAAGTGTCAGTTATATGCTGTACTATGTACGACTTTGAGCTGTATGCCATACAATGAACAAGTGTGTGCTATGCTGTGTGTCACTGACTGGCTTCTGATTGTGTATATCATGTCCAGTTAGATGATTGTGAGTTCAGAACGGTACAATGTAGCAGTCGATGCACGTTGATGTGTGTAAAATACGGATGGCTAATCGTATTAGGAATCTATTGTATAACATATATTATACCTTAACTGAGTATCAGATGAATGGATTTTGTGTCTCGTTTCCAGAAAGATGGATACAGCCTTTCGTGGCTTGAGGCTTTCTGTTGCTGTTCACTACAACACACGGCGCGTAAATAAATCTCATTCTTCCTCTTTTATTTACGCAAGTGACTATATTGAGAGTTGGAAATTAAATATTCATCAACATCGGCTACAAGAAACAGTAATTGGTGATCGTCATGCTCTGGTTACAGCTGAGCAGCAGCTACGGGTTCACAATGCTGGGACGTTAGGAACAACGTTCAACTAGATCTTAAGACGACCAAAAACAGAATAAACGTTTTTATATAATCACAAAATCGGAAGTATGATCCTTGAAATGAATAATCATATTATATATCACGACTTTCAGACAGTATCCAAGCATTTAGTCAGTATTGACCAATCAGTGTTTGGTGATAGAGGGTTGACGTGAAGTTACTTTAACAAAGATGTCTCTCTTTACGGGTTGATCTGACTTGAGCTGTTCGCTGTTTTTATTTTTTGTTTGAAATATATCATCTGGTGATCGAATGTGTCATCTGCCTTGATGTGTGATCTGATTGGCCATCATAAGACACAGTGATCATACACCAACATTATGTCTGGTCAAGGAAGCATAACGTGTCTTCGGTCATTTTTCCTTACATTGGATACAGACACAGGTCTTACTTGTGTGATTGTGATGATATTTACGATGTGTATTTACGTCCGAAGTGTGACCCTTTGTTGGGCCAAGTCGGTCAGTCATACACCAAGCACCAGTACACCTGAACCAATGTGTGTAAACGCTCTATTAGCCAGTGAAGTGATTCTTTCATGGTCAGACATGTCCTTAACGCTGTTGTATGTTCGTGTAGAGTCCGACTCGGCGCCGTCCAATAGAATTGCACGTTTGGGCGACGGAGATTATTAGGGAATACCGTCAGATTAAATGTGTGCTAGAAATCAGACAAAAGTAACATTACCTGTAAGGGCTATAATTTGCGCATGATTTGTTTCGTGAACTATGTGTTTACTTCAGTCATATTGCGTGCATTTAAACACATTTAGAACTGATGCGCGCGAGTGTGTGTGTGTGTGTGTGTGTTTGAATACATCTCCGTGAGCGTTCTAAGCAATAGTTGACACAGAAATAGTCATTATTGACATGCAGGTATAACAAAGCTGTAGCACGAGCATGTGATAAAGACAATGATATGTTCAAGTTTTTAGCCTCGTGAGACGTCTAATTTGAACAGTAATGGATTTTTTAAAAACCCAATGTCGGAAATAAACCACAGTCGTTGCTATGTTGCCTTTTCCGATATTGCCTACTTTTTCACCAGCGAAAAAATCACCATGCAGTTGTCAAATAATTCTTCACACAATCATACAAAAACCATGACACAACATCTTACCTGGCAACAGACCTGGGTGCATCTTGTTCACGTCACTATACAACGTTAAAAGTAATATTCCGCGTGCAGTACTCCACTCGCCGACACCCGTTCACCACACACCCGCCTCTCGGCGCTAGACTGCAGCTAGATGTGGACAACTGTGTGATCACCCTGTGTCACCCCTCACCTCAGAAGTCGAGAACCGGTTAGCACAGATCACTGAAGCATGAATGAATAGAAAGACAGTCCTGTCGATTACAAAAGAATGCCCGGGCGCATTTTATCCAGGCCCGCAGGCGATGTCGGAGTTGTATCCAACAGGTTTCCGTGGCACCTAGATTTACCCAATTTGACGCTCTGTTGTGTCAAGAAGGGGTGTTTGTCTTGCAGTGTACAAGGTGGACTACAGACGTCGTGTTGGTACAAGCATATTGTCATGGTCTAATTAAACCTGTTTTGTTAAGACATTATTGCATTATAGAGTTAATTTGATTCAGACGAGATGCTCTGTTGATTCAGCAAGCGATATGTTTCTTACAGGACAAGAATTAGTGATGTGTTGGTACAAGCAAATTGCCGTGGGGGTAATTAAAACTTATTTGTTTCAAAGACGAACCATGTCGCTAATGTTCAGACGTTATTGAATCCTTTATAAATATCTTGTCATAAAAAACGATGTTATTAATATGTTTAAAAAGTGTTGTTGAAAAGAAAAAAACAAATATGGATAGCTATTTCATGACATATACTCTTTCATTTGTTCTAGACATGTCAGTCCCTAGTGGTACCCAACGGTTATCAATACTGGACAATTCCCCACTAGGACATTTCCGCACATGACATTTCGCCACATGACATTTCCCCACACCTGTTTTGTAACCAGTAGGACAATTCCCTACCCATCACAAATAATGAATAAACACAAGCTGAGATTGTATATATATATATTGTATTAATATAATTAAATATATAAAATCATATAATGAGCTCATTTTTCATCAGCTCACTCCGTTTATCTTGGAATTTACTTGGAATGGGGAATCTTTTTCATTTCAGAGTTTGTGATCTGACAGCATTTTACCAGAATATCTCTACATTATTGTAAATCTCATGTTATCTTGGAGAAAGTTAATATTGGAGAAGGTTATACAGTTATATGTGGCCCCTGTCAGATGGGCTGATGGACACAGGAAATCATTAATTGCATCATCTTGAGTCCCATTTTGAAACCCACAGGAAATCATTATAAAACATTCTAATGACCTTACTGACCAACATACCCCTAATGCACAGATTAGTTAATCCCACCCCCCTTAACAAGTGAATACACATAATGCACAGATTAGGTAATCCCATCCCCCCTAACAAGTGAATACACATCATGCACAGATTAGGTAATCCCATTGCCCCTAGCAAGTGAATACACATCATGCACAGATTAGGTAATCCCATTGCCCCTAGCAAGTGAATACACATAATGCACAGATTAGGTAATCCCATCCCCCCTAACAAGTGAATACACATCATGCACAGATTAGGTAATCCCATCCCCCCTAACAAGTGAATACACATCATGCACAGATTAGGTAATCCCATCGCCCCTAACAAGTGAATACACATCATGCACAGATTAGGTAATCCCATCCCCCCTAACAAGTGAATACACATCATGCACAGATTAGGTAATCCCCTAACAAGTGAATACACATAATGCACAGATTAGTAAATCCCATCCCCTAACAAGTGAATACACATCATGCACAGATTAGGTAATCCCATCCCCTAACAAGTGAATACACATCATGCACAGATTAGGTAATCCCATCCCCCCTAACAAGTGAATACACATCATGCACAGATAAGGTAATCCCATCCCCCCTAACAAGTGAATACACATCATGCACAGATTAGGTAATCCCATTGCCCCTAGCAAGTGAATACACATAATGCACAGATTAGGTAATCCCATCGCCCCTAACAAGTGAATACACATCATGCACAGATTAGGTAATCCCATCCCCCTAACAAGTGAATACACATCATGCACAGATTAGGTAATCCCCTAACAAGTGAATACACATAATGCACAGATTAGTAAATCCCATCCCCCTAACAAGTGAATACACATCATGCACAGATTAGGTAATCCCATCCCCCCTAACAAGTGAATACACATCATGCACAGATTAGGTAATCCCATCCCCCCTAACAAGTGAATACACATCATGCACAGATTAGGTAATCCCATCGCCCCTAACAAGTGAATACACATCATGCACAGATTAGGTAATCCCATCCCCCCTAACAAGTGAATACACATCATGCACAGATTAGGTAATCCCCTAACAAGTGAATACACATAATGCACAGATTAGTAAATCCCATCCCCCTAACAAGTGAATACACATCATGCACAGATTAGGTAATCCCATCCCCCTAACAAGTGAATACACATCATGCACAGATTAGGTAATCCCCTAACAAGTGAATACACATAATGCACAGATTAGTAAATCCCATCCCCCTAACAAGTGAATACACATCATGCACAGATTAGGTAATCCCATCCCCCCTAACAAGTGAATACACATCATGCACAGATTAGGTAATCCCATCCCCCTAACAAGTGAATACACATCATGCACAGATTAGGTAATCCCATCCCCTAACAAGTGAATACACATCATGCACAGATTAGGTAATCCCATCCCCCCGAACAAGTGAATACACATCATGCACAGATTAGGTAATCCCATTGCCCCTAGCAAGTGAATACACATAATGCACAGATTAGGTAATCCCATCCCCCCTAACAAGTGAATACACATCATGCACAGATTAGGTAATCCTATCCCCCCTAACAAGTGAATGCACATCATGCACAGATTAGGTAATCCCATCCCCCTTAACAAGTGAATACACATGATGCACAGATTAGGTAATCCCATCCCCCCTAACAAGTGAATACACATCATGCACAGATTAGGTAATCCCCTAACAAGTGAATACACATCATGCACAGATTAGGTAATCCCATCCCCCCTAACAAGTGAATACACATAATGCACAGATTAGGTAATCCCATCGCCCCTAACAAGTGCATACACATCATGCACAGATTAGTTAATCCCATCGCATCTATTGTACTACAAATTTGTGATGTTTGTGGGGAATTGTCCTACTGGTTACAAAACAGGTGTGGGGAAATGTCAAGATGGGGAAATGTCATGTGGGGAATTGTCCTAGTGGGGAATTGTCCTGATGGGGAAATGTTCTACACTCGGGTATTATACGGTCCATCAGACTTGAATACACATGATGCACAGATTAGGTAATCCCATCCCCCCTAACAAGTGAATACACATCATGCACAGATTAGGTAATCCCATCCCCCCTAACAAGTGAATACACATCATGCACAGATTAGGTAATCCCATCCCCCCTAACAAGTGAATACACATCATGCACAGATTAGGTAATCCCATCCCCCTTAACAAGTGAATACACATCATGCACAGATTAGGTAATCCCATTGCCCCTAGCAAGTGAATACACATAATGCACAGATTAGGTAATCCCATCGCCCCTAACAAGTGAATACACATCATGCACAGATTAGGTAATCCCATCCCCCCTAACAAGTGAATACACATCATGCACAGATTAGGTAATCCCATCCCCCCTAACAAGTGAATACACATCATGCACAGATTAGGTAATCCCATCCCCCCTAACAAGTGAATACACATAATGCACAGATTAGGTAATCCCCTAACAAGTGAATACACATAATGCACAGATTAGTAAATCCCATCCCCCCTAACAAGTGAATACACATCATGCACAGATTAGGTAATCCCCTAACAAGTGAATACACATAATGCACAGATTAGTAAATCCCATCCCCCCTAACAAGTGAATACACATCATGCACAGATTAGGTAATCCCATCCCCCCTAACAAGTGAATACACATCATGCACAGATCAGGTAATCCCATCGCCCCTAACAAGTGAATACACATCATGCACAGATTAGGTAATCCCATCCCCCTAACAAGTGAATACACATCATGCACAGATTAGGTAATCCCTAACAAGTGAATACACATAATGCACAGATTAGGTAATCCCATCCCCCTAACAAGTGAATACACATCATGCACAGATTAGGTAATCCCATCCCCTAACAAGTGAATACACATCATGCACAGATTAGGTAATCCCATCCCCCCTAACAAGTGAATACACATAATGCACAGATTAGGTAATCCCCTAACAAGTGAATACACATAATGCACAGATTAGTAAATCCCATCTCCCCTAACAAGTGAATACACATCATGCACAGATTAGGTAATCCCCTAACAAGTGAATACACATAATGCACAGATTAGTAAATCCCATCCCCCCTAACAAGTGAATACACATCATGCACAGATTAGGTAATCCCATCCCCCCTAACAAGTGAATACACATCATGCACAGATTAGGTAATCCCATCGCCCCTAACAAGTGAATACACATCATGCACAGATTAGGTAATCCCATCCCCCCTAACAAGTGAATACACATCATGCACAGATTAGGTAATCCCCTAACAAGTGAATACACATAATGCACAGATTAGTAAATCCCATCCCCCTAACAAGTGAATACACATCATGCACAGATTAGGTAATCCCATTGCCCCTAACAAGTGCATACACATCATGCACAGATTAGGTAATCCCCTAACAAGTGAATACACATAATGCACAGATTAGTAAATCCCATCCCCCTAACAAGTGAATACACATCATGCACAGATTAGGTAATCCCATCGCCCCTAACAAGTGCATACACATCATGCACAGATTAGTTAATCCCATCGCATCTATTGTACTACAAATTTGTGATGTTTGTGGGGAATTGTCCTACTGGTTACAAAACAGGTGTGGGGAAATGTCAAGATGGGGAAATGTCATGTGGGGAATTGTCCTAGTGGGGAATTGTCCTGATGGGGAAATGTTCTACACTCGGGTATTATACGGTCCATCAGACTTGAAGTGCTTAATAGGCAACGTGACTGATGATATGGAGGTTAACGATCCACTGAATAAAGGTTTGTTCGTGGATATACCGCTTGAACCTACAAGTTTGATCAACAAGATTCTGTCGGGTACTACGGCACTGGTCGGTTTTTAATTGCCCCATTCACAAAAAAAGGTATTTTGAACGGATGCTCTAATGATAGGCAACTGCTCTTACTAGTTCTATAGCCCTAGTCTATAAACATTTGGGGTTAGTCTACAGAGTGA